TATATTAGGTGGGAAACAGTGTAAACACGTCTTAAATGCCTTATATTTTGATCAAAGGGGGGCCTCAGAATTCAGTTTTTATTTACCAGACCTTATCTTTAAAGCTGGAGTTTAAATTTTAAAGACACACTCGATGCATGAGAGTCATAAGGTGCTCATGTCATCAGAAAGGATTTGCATTGTAAAGAAAATAACAGTATTCAAGTTATCACACAAGAAGAAAAGCACTCAAATCAAGAAACAGAAACTAATAGAGAGATATGCAGTCCCAGCATTAGAATTTTGACTGTGACACTGATATGAGGGTATTTTTTTAGCATTCATGATATAATTGACGAAATCGAGCATTTATCTCCGGTTTACGCTGCTGAACACCTAAACTGCACCTTGACTGTGTTCAGAAAAAGAGAGCAAGTGAAGGGGGATTTTGTGTCCAACCACATTTTCATAATTATGACTTTATTCCTCCTGGCGTTTGTTTCCTGTCATTTAATGTTGTGTCTGTTTTTTTAGTGCCTGTTGCTGCAAAGAGACCTCAGAAGCCCAGAAGGTTAAAGAAGAGCTCTACTGTAAGTCGGCTTGTTCTCACTCATCACACAGACACGACATGTATACTGTACGGTCATTTGTTCCATTAAATCATACAGTAAACTTATTCACTTATTAGATTTGTAAAAGTGTATTTATTTAAGGAAAAAGGATGAGGAGTTTTTCGATTTCAGAGTTGTTATTGAGATTCATACAAGAGGGAATTTGTTTCACGACTGCGTGATTGTCTACAGGAGTTTATTGCCGACTCTTCATTCAGTTATGAGCTTGATAATTCTATTTAGTTTTATTGCTTCTCAAACACAATTATTTATTTAGAGTGCTTCATTGGTTTTATATCTACAATAAAAATGTCAAACAAGTACATACAGGAGAAAACTACTCAAACTAATGATCATCAGTATTTCCACCAATCCAGTTCTTGTGATTTTGTAGTGACTGCCCGCTCCAGAGACGTGAGCTTTTTCTTATTTGCACAAACACACTGATTGGATTAGTGAAAGTAGGAGGATCTGAAGATGCTGGATAGGACTGCTATTGTACAAAATGTTTTTCGAGTAAACCAAGTGTTCCAAGAGGTCCTTCAAACCCTGTAAACACATACTTTCTGCAGCTAAAAGCACCAAGAGGATGTTTACCATGGAGAGTGGAAGACTACTACTGTTTGCAGAAAAAGTTTCAATGCAGACAAGATGTTTACCCTCCTCCTCTCTGTCCCTGTGCACAATATGCACAGTATACATTCGGTCTTTGGCTTAATCTTTGGGCTACATTCCTTTCATTTTCTCACACTCTCTCCCCCCCTCTCCTCTCCCAGCCTCGAGTAATACAGGATGATAGTCTGACATATGCAGAACTGGAGCTGGTCAGAGCGCGTCCACAGCCCCCTGCCTCCTCCACTCCTGACCCCTCATCCTCCAGCCCAGACACGGTGTACGCTCAGATCCTCTTCCAGGAGAGACAGCTGTGAACTCAGCAGCTCTGGACACATGGATGTCAGGGTTCCTCCAAGTTAAAGACATAGATTCAGCTCTCCAAAGCAGACTGGGTGGCATTCAGAGGAGAATATATTTATGAACTATCAGTATGGTATTTAGCATTTGTTTTTTTGGCTGTAAGTATAATACAACTGTCGGTGAATGAGGGTTTTGTGATTCCTCGGCGCAGTTCCATTCCAGCACAGCAGTTCTTTCGGGTCTTGTAATTCTGTTGTCTTGTTTGTTGGCATCGCTGGCCTGTGAGCCAGATGTTTATAAGAATGCTCTTTATGTTCTGCATAAACTCAGGAGACTGTGTGGAAAGAAACGGGGATCCAGGCTCTCTTACTGCAGTGTCGTAAGGCATTGCACCACGTTTCAACTACATTTTTAATTACTGCACTAATACAACAATTAATAAATATACACCTGGATCTGACATGAAAGAGTACGGTCTTTGATTTGTATGAATACCGGTTTGAATTATCTGGATTTAACTTCACCTAACATAACATAAAAATCATCCCTGCACACTAAGAAGCAACCTCACCACTGAAATAAGACAGAGTGAGAATTTGGATATGAGTGAGTGCCAAACATGTTGAAAACAAAGTTAGACATTTTGGGAAATGCACTTTTTTGATGTCGAGCCCAGGAAAAAGTGAGAGGATCACTGCCTCAATCATTTTCATCATTAATACATCTATAAACATGAAATCACTTCGCTTAGAAAAAAGTCTGGATGAGGGGGAGACTACAAGCCTGGTTTTACCCAGAGTACAAAATCTGCAACTCTTACGTTTTTTTAGTTTACATGGTTTGACAGAATGTTTTTCAACACTATTTCTTCACTTATTTGAGTCTCATTGTCAACACAAAGTTGTGAGGAAACCAGTAGAAACCCTAACCATGAAAAAGTCCAGTGCAGAACCCCAGGGGAAAGCTGCTGCAGGCTATTTACAGCAAAAGTTTTACAGCTAAGGGTTTGTTATCAGGCTAGTCGGGTCCTTATTTGTGGACTTCAATGCTAAGCTAAGCTATCCTAACTGGCTCGAGCAGCTTCATACTTTCTGCAGAGGTTCAAGAGTTGCCCTGGATAACGATTGTTTTACTTTCTGTTTAAAAGCTGGAGACTGATATTAGCCAAATATAATCTAGTAATCTTAATTTCAAAAGACTTATATTTTATTTCTAAAGCTCTGAAGAAATGTCAGGTTGGTTTATTTCATAAATATCATTTGGTTTTCTCATAATGTGTCCAAAACTATGTCTTGCACTGGGCATATTCATTCAGCAGGACAATAAAGATTTTAAATAAAATAAAATATAAAGAAACCTGAGAGGTTGTAAAGTCCTTATTTTGATTTTCCAGCATGGCCGAACAAAAAGGGACAGGAAGTGTTCTGCGTCTGATTTCGAAGTCTGGTCAGCAAGGCAGAGGCATAAACAGCGGCAGTCATTATACCCAAGTACCCAAGAAAGGTGAGGGGTGTAGGCCATTTTGTGAAGGTCAGTGTGTGAAATATGTGATGAAGATGGAGACGCGTGGAGCGGGAGAATGATGCACATCCTCACACCCCTCTGTCTGTGAGTGGGAGAGACGGAGCGACGGAGAGAGAGAGAGAGATCATCATCCCCCACAGTTCAAACTCACTGACTTGGATGAACCCGCTAATGACTACATTTATTTAAATTAGACTAATTGTAATCATGGTTAATAATTAGCTTTACAGTGCATTATAATTGGGTTAGGCTACAAGATGGTTCTGCCTAGGTGCAATAATTTATTTGATTTAATTATTCTGAGGAACTCAATGGTTTGACATTTCATATCATAAAACCAGCGGCGTAGAGAGAATGGAGACGGCCGTTGTCTTTAGAGAAGGTCATTGCTCGCTCTCTGGGAAAATTATGAGGACTATTTTCCACTCTATTAAGCTACTCCACTTAGCACAATTAGCCACACACACAAAGGTTAAAGAGAGAGACCTCTTTCTTTATGATAGAGAGGAGTGGTGCATGTGCACGAGAGAGCAGGCGAGAAAGGCAGACACAGAGAGACCCACTGAAATCTCGACGGTAAACCTTCTTTAAAAATAGTAAATTATTCAGAGTGTGAGAGAGGAAGAAATATACTTTTTAAAGATGAGGAGTTTTTGGCAGGGTTAAGAAAGACCCTGAAATTAAAACAGAAAGCTCTATATGACCTACAAAAATAAAATAAAAAGGGGCCCTAGTGGCCTAGTGGTACAGTTTGCACGCCCCATGTACAGTGGCTAGAGTCCGGGTTTGAAGCTGAACCATCAGTGACGAGTCTGACTATTTGTATATGTTTTTAAAATATCCACCAGGTAGTTGTAAGCCCAGGAGATGAACAGCACACTTCAACACAGTTTTTCTTATCAGCTTCCATGGTGATGATATTGTTAGATTGTTATTTAAAAAAAAAAAAAAGAATAATTGGATTTTTCATCATAAAACACAACAAGAAGACATTATCAGTACAAAAACAGGAGGTGCTGATTGTCCACAGGGGGCGCCAAAATTAAGACTACAATAAAAGTTCCTTACAGGAGCATCAGTGTTGAACCTCATAATTGATTTCTTCAAAAAAGTCTGACATACCCCCGATGGTGCTGTTGAAGCCCTGCAGTGTTTGGTCTGATATGGCCAATAGTACACAGTGTACACTTCATGTCTAAGTATAAACACACACACACACACACACACACACACACACACACACACACACACACACACACACACACACACACACACACACACACACACACACACACACACACACACACACACACACACACACACACACACACACACACACACACACACACACACACACACACACACACACACACACACACACGCAAAGAGCGGAGACAAGCAGAAAGGCCTCTTCATTTGTAATACACACATGCTTGCCTTGATCTCAGTAAACTGGTGGAGAAATGCTACAATAAATGAACTAACGAGTTGAAATTGTCTTTGTATCCAAATGCCAAATTTCAAAGAAGATTGAAAACACATGGTGAAAAACAACAAAGCTGAGGAAAGAATTCACAACACACTTAACATCCTACATTTACCAAAGCAAAACAAAAACACACTCTCATAGCAGTTAATACTGACTCGTGAATACTAACTTTTTTTTTTAGATGAAATGTTTGTTTGTCGGCAGTTTGTGAGAATAAGAGATCCCTGAACATTTCAGTTATAAAGACTTGAGAAATGATCGCTCGTGCTTCGAGCTTCAGGCTGCCCACTTTAACCACTGACTTCTGCTGCGGCTGCTGGTTAGATCGTCGTGCAAATTCAAACAAAACATTCTGGAGAATTTTCAGCAGGATCTACCCTTTATGAATCCTCTACAAAAAAAAAAGATACATTTCAATTAAATTAAAAAATCAAAAATATAATAGATAAAACCCGGTCAAAGCAGGAGACTTAGGAAAACTGTTGTTTTAAAACATTTTTTTAATTGTTCATTATTTACAAAGAAAAATACAGAATTAAATATTTATGAAGGAGATACATCATTATTTACTGCCTGAGACTTGAATGTACCTAAAAAAAAAAGTGTAACATAGCTGTCTCTGATTGCACACACACACACACACACACACACACACACACACACACACACACACACACACACACACACACACACACACACACAGGCCTGATCTGACACACAGCAGGTCTCAGTGCCCCGCTTGTGTCAGACCTGAGGCGCTGATGGATTTATCTGTCAGAGTCTCTCTGGGAGGATAAAGTGTGTGAAGAGATGTTGTCTGGAAGCACGATTGTACTCGGTGTCTGCCACTTCTCACTCACAGGTCCAGGTGAAAACTCGGCCCCAGGCATCGCCCGCCAACAGAGTGGCATGGCTCCTACACGGAGGAGAGAGTGCTTGAGTAACATGAAAATCTTTCCACATTTTAAGCAAATGTTAAATACTGTAAAGAACATAATATTCGTATAATGTGAGTGAGATACAGTTAAATGACACTTCAAACTGTTTTTTTCTTAAAAACTACAGTAATGGTTAAATGCATTTGAAACTGTGAGATGTAAACTAACGAGATGTAACGAACTGTACCTGGACATGGCCAGAACTGTGATGGCCGGATTGTTCTTGAAGCGACGTTGCGACACAGCCTGATTTCTGTTCAGCTCCAGACACAACACCAGATGTCTCTCCCAGCCTTTCGCCTGGCATGAGCTGCTCACTGCGGATACATCATTAGAAGAAAAATCAGAATCACAGGGCAGGTTGTCCACCCTGTTTTTAACCCCCACCAAAAAAAAATAAAAAAATAAATGCATTAACTCTGTGTTTATCTGTGGTCAGCAGGCTGTTAAAAGGAGAAAAAAAAATCCCCTGAATATAAACGCCTCAGTGTTACGTAAAGACTTGTCTCAATGTAATTTCCCAAGCATAATACTCCTATGAGGTGATGCGAGGCTGTAACCAACGTATGCCAAATTGGATCTGGGTATTATTGCTTTCTAAATTATACAAGCACACACACGTCAGCAGAATTACTCATCAGTGTTTACTGCCTCTATGTTTAATAACTTTATAACAACATAATTCCTGCTAGCCCTAATGCTAGTGAGGGATGGGGTAAGCATTACAAGCCCTCATCTGTGAACCACGCTGTCTGGCTGTGAGATGAGCGGTTAAAAATAATCATCTCACACTTAAGGATTTATCCAATTAGATAGTGAAGGGATTCTTTCTGAAAGAAAACACAAGAATCCTATCTTTTTGTGCAGAAGCATCTCGGGCAGTTTAACGGTTTCGCTACTGTCACACACTCAGATCATCGGCGTCGTTGTAAATACAAAAACATATATGCGTATCCTGTCCTTCTGCCTGTAACATTACCGTCTCTCTCTGCTTGGTCTTGCCCCGGGGACACAGGCGCTTCTGGAGGGCCAGGTAATTGTGTTCTTGTGTACTCCGTCTTCCATATCTGTATGAGAGACACATAACGAGTAGCAAAATCAGACGTAATTCAACATAATAACAAACACACTCACATACGCACCAGCATGCACACGCACATCCCATAACTCAAGATAATAATAAAGTAATAATACTGTCTGTGTGTGTGTGTGTGTGTGTGTGTGTGTGTGTGTGTGTGCTGTGCATGTGGCATGGACACCCACTCCCAAGTGGAGCCTAATTTTGAGTTTGCAGCTTTGATTGCAGAGAGGCAGCATATGCTTTTATGAATTCAAACACCACACACACACAAACCCGTATGCTGTTATTAATACCTCGATGGACATCCAAGCTGCTACCTGTGAGGCTAATACCAAAGTAATGACTGCTGCATTTGAATACAGTGCACTGTATAAAAACAAAGCAACCTGTCCGTCTGATCTATTAGACCTACAAAGACTTTCTCTCTCATACAAACATTGTGTGTGCACAAAAAAAATAAAAAATAAATTACCCGTATTATGCCGTCTGCACAGCCCGTGACAATGACGTTCCTGGCATCCCACTCGTGCCATTGAGTGAAGCTGACACACAGGATGTCTGGCAGAGGCCCGCAGGAAGTGTCCAAGCAGGTCAACAGCTGACCCTTCATGGTCCACAGGTAGAGCACAGGTCCTGCACATGACGCAATCTCACCCTTTGACAGAGCAAAAATGATGTTGACACCCCATGCGTGTGAATATAAAACAAACACAGAAAGGACATGCATGCTGACAACAATGAGAGTACTCCCTTCCTCATGCTGTGGGCGGAATCAAGAGGAACAACATGACTAGCCAAAAATGACAAGAGATGAAAGGCAGGATAGAAAAAAAGTGTGAGAAGAGAGTCTGTAGAGAATACAGAAAAGGGCAAATCAAGAAGGGGGACTTACAGTCAGTTCATTTATAGCCAGTGCAGAGATGCTGCTTGTGTGTCCTGCAAGCTGGGTGACGTAGCTTAGCTCCTCCATATCCCACAGAATACAGGTGAGGTCATGTGAGCCGCTAACTATCAAACTGTGGACTTCAGACACAGCCAGGCACGTCACTGAATCTGTGTGGCCGTATAACGGCTGTGGAGAACAACAGGGTCAATCTGAGTGTGAATGTGTGTGTATAAAAACATTTCAGATGTCATTGTTGAACCCTGTGTTACTAAAAACACCTGCAGACAAACGCACCTGTCGGAGTTTCATGTGGTTAAGTTTGTCCTTGTTGATGGATACGTCCCACACACACACAACCCCGCTGGTTCCTGCAGTGACGATGGTGGTTGCGGTGGGGCAGGAGGCACACAACGTCTCCCCCCAGTCACACAAACTCTCAAACACAGCAAAGGTCTGGAGACAGAAGGAGAGACTTTGATCATGAATGCAATCACTTCATACGACGGAACCATTTCTTTGTTATGTTTTAGCATATAAGCATATCTGATAATAAAATCACGTTGTGGTTTTGTCTTTTGTTTTTTGACTCTATAACTCATGCATGCAGCACTTTATATGCAATATGGCCAAGCTCAATTTAAACCCTAATATGGCAGAGACAACAGAAACACAGAGCTTGTAAGGCTAGAGAAAGTAACAAAGTCTGACTGTACATTGCTTTAAAGAAATCCATTGATACAGATAACACAGCAGTGTACAGTGACAGAAAGAGATTGAAGCTCTAATCTACAAAATGTAGAAATCTCCTGACTGGTTTGAATAACCAAGATCAGCATGCACAGTGAGTCACCTGATATAGTTCAGTTAATGTGAGGGGAGAAACTTTATTTTCCCTTTGAGGAAATTTGTCTTGGCCTCAAGTGCTGCACACATCTGCCTTCTCAGGAGCATCAACAAATAAAAACATTTCAATATATATCCACATGTAAAAGGAGAAGCAGCACAGTCAGTGACTGCAGGGAGCAAACACACAGATATCATTAATACATCTTTTGCTTCTTTTAGCAAATATCTTGTTGTGGCTCAATTAAAATGTTAAAGAAAAGGTTTAAATAGGAATGTTAAATACATTCAAATGTTTTAAAAGATGAGACAACATGTTTTCAGTTACATTATTCATAACACCCTATGATTTAAAAGAGGGCTGACACGGCCTTTGTAGTCTGAATCTGTTTACGGTGAAGGTTACGGCTTCTCAATGTTCTCTGGCAACGCGTGATATTTCTGTGAGGTTTAAGTTGTCGTGGAAAGTCAGCCTGACTGTTCTTTCTTCTTTGTGTACACGTTGTATGCAGTATTTTGTTCATGTATTGAATTATTCCTCACTGTTGTAAATATTTTTCACCACATCTTTGGAGGCCAACGTAAATAAATTACACTAAAAGTAGTTTTTTGGACTTTGCCTTGTTTTCCCCAGATGTTAGGGTGTTTGAAAGAGAACCCGGATACGTGCACATACCACTGAAAACCACAAAGAGTCTATTGTATATTTTACCCATAATGCACTAGATGTGCAAAACATTGTGTGTGGCTTGATTGAAACACAGCGAGACGCTTCAAATGTTTGTTTCTAAATTGTGTAAGATAACATTTCTATGAATATGCGAAATACTGATACGGAGCGTCATCTTGTGCATAAATCAAAAGCAGATAAACTTTTCTGTTTTATAAGTTAAATCAATCTATTAGATTCTCACATGTAAAAAAAAAACAAATGTAAACTTCTGCCCAAGATTTGTGTTTTTGTCATTTCAGTTTGAGTCATGTAACTTTGTAAAGCTTGAAGATTAGAAATACGATATATCCTCATCAGGGGCATTAAAACAAACCTTCTCTGTGGCGTAGTGTCCCAAGGCACAGCTGTTGTCAGGGAAGCCCCAGCTGAAGTAGCAGCCCAACTGATGCGACAGGAGGAGGCGGTTTCTCTCCAGGACCACGACCTCCTTTTCCAGACACAGAATCTGACCTACCGGGCCCCTCGTCAGCTCTGCAGAGAAATGTACAGTGTAACTGAGAAAGGGACTATATCAACGACAGAATTCATTCACCACTCATCATATGCACCCTTTAAAAAGTTAGGCAGTAAGGAAACTATAAATGACCTCATTCTGCCTTTCGTGTGTGTATCAAAATAAACTTGCCTGGTCAAATAAAGGTAATGGCTGCTCAGAAATGTGACATTAAAGTATCCTAGTCTCAGTACTAGTACAGAAGAATTTCATTAAACTGGCCATAGAAAGATGGTCAATTAAAACAGATATTCTCTGTTTAAAGAATGAAGACACCTTGTCCAAGGGGGAAACCTGCATCCTAGACATCACAGAGTCTATACAGTAAGAGAGTGTGTGTGTGTGAGACAGAGAGGCTGTAATTGTGTCTGTAATTGATCAATTCATGCAGGGACAGGCAGAAATCATTACATCCCATAGTATAGTCTGTTCTTCTTCTTTCAGGGGATTTTTAGAAGCAGAAGTGTCTGCACTGGTCGTAGCCTTCTTCCTCCTATTCATCTCTATCTGCTTATTGATCAGATCAGACACTCTAAGATTTAATATGAAATGTAATTTGCAGGAATCCCTCCCTGAGCATTCACAGATTCATCTCCTCTCCCTCAGTGAGCCTGTAGGGATATTCAGATTATTAAGTAGGGCTCAGCGGAAGAGTCATCTCCATATTGTAGCTCTAACAGATAGCGCCTTCCACCTTCCATAGTGTAAATTAATCTATGGACACGCTCGCTCCGTTTTAACGATTCCCTTTAGACGGAGAAACATCGTATATATAATAATTGACATCAGAGATTGTGAGCACATTAAAAGGAGAAACGGTGATGCAAAATATCGCCGAATGAAGACGACGACGACGACGACAACCGGTTAAATTCTGTTTTCTCAGCCTGCGATAGATATTTTGATCCAGTTGTTTGGATACATCTGATTTTTATCAAAGCTTTAATGATTTGCTTTTATTTTGTAAAACAATTCTGAAGAAAAGGCATCTAAGAGCATACATTATACGAGGCTATCACCCAGCAGATGAGTGTCATAGTTAAGCACAAAGCAGGTAGAAATATTGATGTTTATACTTCTTAATGTTGTTTATATTTCTTGTGTTTCATATTTCTTATTGTAGTTTTTTTTTTCATTTGTACCTATTTTTAAATTGATAATTTAGATGTCTTCATTTATTCCTATTTCTGTTATATTTGATCTCTCCCTCATTTTAGTGCAGACATTAAAGGATGTTCACTGTGCGACCAGTAGGAGAGAAAAGTATAGCGTGGTTGAAATGCCTCGTCATGTTTTTGATCACTGTGATTTTTTTTAATTATACATTTTTGCATCTTATAACTCACTGATCATCTTTTCCAATGTATTTTGTATTTTCTCATGGATGTTTTTGCTAAGCCCCTCAGACACGTACCAGGTCCGTCCTGAGCCACTCAGCGACTTCTTTGTTTTTGATGGTCGCAACAATTCCTTTAAGGTTTAGATGTTAAGACGAGCTGTTTGAGCTAGTTGTACCTCTGAACGGCTGCGCTGTGGTCCTCATTTTATCCAGTTTGAGGAAAAATGGAGTTGGCTGTTGTGGGGATCCTCCGTCTTTCTTGGAGCCACTGCGAGGTGGATGTGGCTTGGTGAAGATCTATGAAAAAAAAGATGATTCTTATGATGATACAGCTGCCTGCAGGAAATAATAATATTGACACAACTCTCCCTCTGGTGTGTTTTTACCTGTTTGGGAACCTGGCCAAAGTTGCTGACATATCCCAGTATTGTGCTCTTGATGATTGGATCCTGAGCATCCTTCCTGCCGCTCTGAGCGTAGAAGTAAGGATGGTACGTGTTCACACTCTCTACAGCAGCCGGGCCTTGTTGCCGGTACCCGAAAATCAGGTCGATCCACAGGTGGAGGTGGGAACTCACATAGTCGCTTTCCAAGGCCTTAGGGAAACAGTGCAGGAAATTGTCGCACAAACTAAGACCACAGAGTCAATATTACAAAAGTACTATACCCGCACTGTGCAGTCTTAAAATACAGCAGTGAGCCGGGTTATTACAGAGGAACCGAAACCATCAGTCAAACTGTTAATATAAGAGTTAAGAAACAAAAGAAACTTCTATGTGAATGCACAACCAATCAGATTATTCAGGTGGAGTAGGAAGTCTCCAACAGCAGAGCGGTGTTATGAGCATATATCCATGTTTGAGTTAAAGAATCATTTGAGCAGAATTAGCAAGAGATTGGTTTTGAAGAGTAAATAAGGAAAAGTGGGCATTATGACCAGCATGTGTATCCCTGCATCCAAGGATAATAAACCCGTCCTAGAATATCAGGAAACCGAAAAACACAACACCCAAAAAAACATCATAACGAGGATATATTGTTCTGAGTTAATTTGTCTATGGGAGAAAAAACAATCTTCCAAAGTCACTAATTTTATGAGAATGGTGAGAACGGTGGGCAATATGAGTAGTTCAGTAGATTACAGAGTGATAACCATCTTAGATGCCCCAGGAACAGAAAAAGGGAGGGTCACACTGAAGAAACAAGGGAATAGAGAGAGAAGAAGAGATATTATGATGACCTGACACAGGGAAAGAAGATAAATGAAGTAAAGAAAGACAGAAAAAAAGGAAGACAGACAGGAAGGAAGCAAAAAGGAAAGACAGAAAGAAGTTAAGCAAGCAAACCAGAAAAAAAAGATGGAAAGACAAAAAGAGATGGACGGAACCGCAGAAAAAAAAGACAAAAAGAAAGAAAAATGAATCAAGGACAAGTAGAAAGACGGGAAGAAACAAGTTCAGCATGAAAAGTAAAAAAAAAGAGGGACTGAAAGAAAAGAGAAAGAAAGAAAATAAAACAGAATAAAGATAGAAAAAAGGAGAGCGATAGGAGAAGGACAAATAAAAGACAAATAGAAAGACAGGAAGAGAGAGAGAATGAAAAAGAAAAAATAGTAAGAAAGAAAGAATAAAAGAATGATGACAGACAGGCTAAAGACAGAAAGAGAGAGAGAGAGAAAGAGAGAGAGAGAGAAGACTAAAGAAGGAAATATTCAGGCAGATAAAAAGGCATTGTGAGAAATGAGGAGTCTTGTGCCTTCCTTGAATGGTGTTAAATGGGCGTTCTGTCCTTCAGCGTCCTTCATCTGAACATCAGCTAAAAAGCCTTTTCATGCATTTCTTTGATAACAAAATGAATCTGAACACTGTTGTGGAAGAGAGCGAGTTCTAAAAGACTCAATGGGACACAATGGCCTTGAGAGAATATGTGAAAAAGGACCACTGCTGTGGTGAATAAGATCTGTCTCTCATTCAGTGGCAGAGAAAATAGAGACAACCAGGCTGAGTGCAATCAACACGATTACAGCGGATACTTGTGTAAGATACTGTAACAATGCATTTTCTGTGTAAATACAACAGCTTGTATTGATAAACATTATTAGGTCTTGTGGGAGAAGACCCTCTATGTAAGAGGCAGGCTTGGTGCGGTCGGTGTCACTGACCTCTCGATGGACTCTAATGAACTCCTGGGAGTCACCTTTGGCCCACGGAGGCAGCTCCACATCGCCCAGAGGGGTACCGTCCTCCATACAGCCTGAAAGAGGTGGAGAAAACACAACATACATTATGCTTGGATACAACACATCACTATGGGGCAGCTTTTAATTTTTTTCCCCTTCAATTTAAAACCTACACGGCAACATTCAAATGTCCACATACCAGAAAACTGAAAAGATTTTTTTTTTTCTGATTTGCTTCTCATATCACGCCACATCCATCACTACAGAGTCTCCACCACAAAGGCCAGGGTTTGACAACTATTTGAGCCTTTTGCAGCACATTATCCCTTCTCTTTGTTATCATTTATTCATCAAAAAGTCTAAAAATATACACCTTAAACAAAAAAGCAAAGGAGTCTACAAGAAGACTCCAAGGGTCATTTCAATGAATAAAGCAGGTTAAATCCATTATTGGCTGTAAAACTAGAGAATATTTATCTTTAGAATTATTTTATGTACCTCCATGTATGTCCAAAAACTACTTTAAAAGCTACACTGCCAGGGTGTTTCAATCAATTACGTTTTGCATGTTAATCATATAAATAGTATTGGATATTAGGTTTCAATTACCGGTATAAGTTATGGACAATTTACTGACCGCTTTTCTCTGTTGTGCAGACGTGTCATACATTAATTTATGTATGTATGTTTATACATTAATACATGATCAGGCCCCACCATTACTCAAACAGTGTGTAGGAACAACGCTAGGGAGACCAGGGCTTCAGCCAAAGGTGACAGTTTGCTCCTGTATTTTTGGACAATCAGCATTTTCAGTTAGTCACAGAAGAGTGGCATCAATTCCCACCCATATCAGAGATGACTTTCAGTATTTGTAAAATACAAACCTCACAGATTTTGTGTTATTTCCTTGTTAATTGTTTAGCACCAATACACCAAGTCAAATTCCTTGTATGTGGAAATGTACTTGGCAATAAAACCTGATTCTGAGATTGTATGGAACAGTCTTTAAGAGAACGTGAAGTTGTTCTGTAAAATGTCATTTTTGATGTGACATCCTGTTTGTAAAGTTTGTATTTTTTAGTAGTTTGTGTTTGTGTTGTGGGATGTTTTTATTTTTTTTTTTTTTAGATCTAACTGCCTCGGAAACACTGATGTGAAATTATCTTTATAGCTAACTCTGGCTCAACAATTGTGCATGGCCCCTGTTAAATAAAATAATGAACTACAGAGGTGTACATGTTGCAGAAAAGAAATTCCTGTCAGCCACAAATAGGGTAGGACAGATGGTTCTAGTTGGAGGATAATGCATTGTTTTTTTGATCTTTCATGGGATTTGTGGACACGGAGAAGAAAAAGATACAACGATGCTTTGATCCTTATCCATGAGGAGGACATAACTCAAAAAGGGGCTTCAAAAAGGGGAAATGTCTTCACAGGAAATTCACACGTTCATTCAGATAAAGAGACTATGGTTTAGTGTCTGACCCAGCTGGATGTGGTTGGAGTTGAGCAGGAAGTCCGGCAGGTAGAAGAACTCCGGGATCAGCTCTCTGACGTCGCTCATGTTGTCTCTGGAGGCCGACTCCCACTCCTTCTTCACGCTGTAGAACATACGCTCGGGGATATCAAAGCCTCCCTGTGTGGAGACAAGACACAACAGTTGCTCAGCGTGTTGTGGAAACCAAACTTTGCAATCGGCATATTAATAAAGTCGTCTGCCCGATTCGGCGGAGAGAACCATATTTTATCGTCTTCATTGTATTATGTAAGCAGGAAATATTTGCAGCTGCTGTTTGAGGGAAGCTTTTCATCTTTCTTAAAAAATTCCATAATCTACGAAGCAAACCTCGTGAGAGAGAATGTAATTTGGAGTAAAACAATTACCTCAATGAATGAAAATAGCATATATAGCGCTAAACTCGGTTAGAGATGTAAATCCGGTTATGGATATTACTACACGGCTGTTATGTGCTTCAAATATATAAAAAAAGGCGCCGTAATTCACCAGACTAACATCTTTATTGCTTTATTCCGAGTATCAAATATGCATGCCTTTTCATTATAATCAATTGGATGCTGTATTGTAAATTGGTAAATCTGTGGCTATTTGCATTGGCTGCTTTTAGATGCTTTCTGTAATTATTTGCATATATATTAAAATCTTTCTGTAATCTGCTTTCATACCAAAATCAAGCTCGGGAAAAGGAGAGAAAAAACACTCATTTTGAGGAGATACTTTTATAGATTTGAGCTTGTATCGCCCTTTTCTCGTCTTCTGACTACTCAAAGTGTTTTGTCACATCCACACACTTAAAGTGACCATCAGAACGAACTAATCCCATTCATACACAGTAACAGGAGAGGGAGCAATAAGGGGTTAAGTGTCTCGCCCAAGGTCACATCGGACATGTGGCTGCAGGAGCCGGGGATCGAATCCCAGACCTTCCTGTTGCGAGAACGACCGACTCTACCACTGAGCCACAGCCAATATAATATCGATTCTATGTTTGAGAGAGAATCCTGCCAAAATTGTGAATGTCCATTGACACTGTGGTTTGCAGGAGGTTCTTCGGAAAGTGGAATCGTAATAAAACACAATACATTTGAATTTCTTACATTAGTCTACAAGATTTAAGACACAACAGTTATGAGCAGTGATTGTATTCAGAGTATTCCCTAAAGTAGGATCTTTAAGTTGTAGATGGTTTGGTTAATGATTGTTCTGCTCCGTGACTCAGGATGTGTTGATTTGTGTTTATAATTGCTCTCTGTTTTATGTCTGTTACTTGTTTATTGTGCTGCTGTCACTCTTTGTTTTTAGACTAAAAACTCAGACCCAGAGAACAGTGTTGTTTTATAACTATGTATTTAAACTGTGACCTGCCGACATACTGCAGATTAAAAACTGCTTTACGTTAACTCTTGTACACTACATCAAATGGCCATTTTTATTTTTCAATATTGTTAATGGCCTCCTAAAAACTAAAGTAAATTATGAACATTGGGGCACAAACTATTCAAGTCGTTTAATAAAGAAAAAAAGTAAATTTTTGTTCTCAACTAATCTGACATCCAAGAATCCCCACAGACCAATAATTTTAAATCCTATCCTTTTTAAGGATATAAAAATAACCAACTATGATCTGATTCATTTGGATTTATTTCATTGCACTTTGAGGTGTTTGGGTCCACAGCCTCACCTGCAGAGTCTTGAAGGTGTGTGAAAACGGCTCCATCCTGACAAGGAAGGAGGCCACGATGATGGCCGAGGAGTAGTGGGTGCAGTAGTGGCAGCGTGCCGACATATCTCCTGCAGAGTAAAAATTTTAAAGTTATTTGTTATTTTAGAAAGAGGTGTTTTCATTCTCATCACAGTAACGACGAGGAAAAATAAACTTTCAGTGGTGGTCTTGACTGATCTTGATTTAAATTCTGTCCGAGTAAAAACGCTTTTGATTCCGAGACCGATTTCGAGTACTACAACACTAAAGTGAAAAATATAAAAAGGACAACGATGAACACTTACCCTCACACTCGGTGTTCTCCACTTCTTCATATCTCTGAATGAACATTTGTTTCCGTTTCTCCGTCTGAGCTCCCATTGGCTTAGACAGGTCACGGAAAGTTGCAGGATTTGACAGATCAAGAGTCTGTCATGGGAAAAGATAAACCAAAGTTGTAATACTTTTATTACCATATCAATAAATATGAACGACCGTAAAGACAAACGTGTCATTGTGTGTGATGTCACCTCTGAACGGTAGTCAGCGAGGACCCAGGGGAAGACCGGGTACTGCATGAGGTCATTGTACGTCCGCCCAGCGATCGTGTTCAGATGCATCAAGTACTCAAAGTTACTTATTTCCCCTCTCTGGAGGACAGAAAAAAAGAGTTATACAAAGGAGACAACCACATTACAAAACACAGGAATACCACAACAGACATGGAAGTCGTGTTTTTTTTTTTTTTTTACTTTGTCGGTATCAAAGTTTCATAGAACATTTTACTAAAACAGTTTGATTGTTATACAAAACACTGAAATCAACAGAAAAATACATAAAAAATACAAATATCAAAGTATGACTTGTTAAATATTTGCACCATATATAAAAAATACTTTTTTTTAATGTGGATTTTCAATAACAGGGGATAATAAAAAAGTGTGGATTCCCTTTCTTTTTGTTATTTATTGAATTTAATGAATATGTTAGTTCACATACATGTTTATCAGTGTGTGTGTGTGTGTGTGTGTGTGTGTGTGTGTGTGTGTGTGTGTGTGTGTGTGTGTGTGTGTGTGTGTGTGAGAGAGAGCGTTTCTCCTTATTTATAATAGGCTTTGTCAAGAATTAAGATCAATTCGGGGGCACCAGTAGTGCATAGTTAGTGCGTGCGCCCCATGTACAGAGGTTGTAGTCCTCAAAGAGGGCGACCCGGGTTCGAATCCGACTTGTGGCTCCTTTCCCGTATTCAGTCCCCACTCTCTGTAACTCTCTCTCTCTCCTGATTTCAGACTCTATCCACTGTCCCGTCTCTAAATAAAGGTGTGAAAAAGCCCAAAATTAAGCCTTTAAAAAATTAAATAATGATCAACTACGAGTCCAGTAGTGTGTCAGTGCACTGTAAAATCTAGCGTCTTTATCACATTTTAAAGGAAAGTGTGTCTCTGTGTATCTGCTAAACCTATTTGCGATTCCTAATGATGTCCAAAGAGTTAGAAGTTAATCTGCGAGCAAAGACAGATAAAACACACAAAGACGAAACGGGTGTTCTGTGCGTGTTTCTTTCATTACCTGCCATTTAACAAGGGCCGTCTTTTCAACCACTGGAGTCTTCCTAAAGCACAGTAAAAAAAACAAAAAAAAAACCTTGAGTTAGCATCAGAGGCTGATATGAGCAGTGCCTAGCAACACAGCTATTTTGCTTGCCCTGTTACCTAGCAACCAGTGTTGAAATGTAACACAACAGATTCCTGAAGCAGGACTTGAGTGAGGGAAACAGAGAGTTTTGTGTAAGCAGCTGTAAGAGCAGTTACGGGGCTAAAGGTGAGCTACAGCAGGACGCATAAATTACGAGTAGAGATGTAGCGCGGTGTCTTCTGTAGTTTGAGAGGAAAATATAGTAGCACTGTAACTTTGTCTGACAAATCTCTATTGACAAAGTCAGCTTCTAAAGACGAGACTAGAGTGATATTCTGCTTTAAAAGACCTGTGGAGGTAAGTGATTCAAGTCAAACAGGAAAAGAAAAAGAAACTCTGAAGACTAAATAACAATATCAAACTGAAAGCTAAAAATCTTGGAGTGACAACTGATGCAGATCTTGGTTTGATGGCGATGTAAATCAATCAATGTTATTTGTAAAGCGCCAAATCCTAACAAAAGTTATCTCTGCTAAATCTGCTGGATGTTTAACAGGCACTCAGAAACAACAGCACGTCACTCCTGTGCTTCTCAGGTTACACTGGCTGCCCGTTTTCTATGATGTTGATTTGAAGATTTTATAGATTTTTAAAACCTTTGAGAGCTTTAAATGGCCTTCCTACAAAATATAAAAGGGATCTTTGACCCTCAATGTTTTTGGGTGTTTCCTGACATCAGTGGAAGCAGCCGACTTGTAAAGACGACCGGCCCCCCCCGAGACTGTTTCTCTGGCAAACTGACCATTACAATAAGACAGGCCACATCTTTAGCATATTTTACAACCTCTCCTAAATGTCCTCCTTCCTCCTTTGTAAAGAAGGTTCTTCATTATCAGCTGCTTTAATCCCGTGTTTAACTCTTTGTCTTATCTGTCTATATTTCCCTGCTGTTTGAAAATCTACTTTCTTTACTGTTTTCAGTATTTTTGGAAGAACTTTATATTCCTGCTAAGAAATGTGTTACATAAATAAAGTTGATTATTAAAGGATGTTTCTGCTCCATAGCTAAAATAAACATAACGTTCTTCTCCAGCTGTTTTTTTTTTTTTTGTTCAGTCAGCTTTTTGTTCAAAGACTTGAGTAAGTTGAGCAATCCCTTTAACAGACGCTGTGAAGTTGCTCTCTAACAAACGACTGAGTAGAAATACTGCTCTATCAAAACACCTCGTTTCAAAATCCGGTGCCAGGTTTTGTTTTTGGATGAAATTAACCTCCAGATACATCTTTGCATTAACATCTTTACATCGATCTAAACCTGTTTAATCCAGACTGAGAAAACATTAAACCGCTCCTGAAATCTCTTCCCCCTCTGTGGCCACTAACATAGCAATAAAGTCCTGGCGCCAAGCACCCCGGTTGCTAAGTAACACAATTAAACAAGAGGAATCTTGACTTTCCCTGTTTGTTGTAGGGAGGGAAAGGGAAGGGAAATGTTGATCCACACAAGCTATGCTTTCCTGACCTTCTCTCTCTTCGCTTCATCACATGAGACAGGATTACAAGGTATGTTCTGCACAACTTCTACATGCTGAGTGAAGTTTTAAGGTGTGTCTTGTTTAACTGCTTTAACATTGTGACTACACTTATGGAGTTTTCTCTTCACACACAGAGGGGACAGGCTTGGAGATAAATGGCCAGCTCACAGGAGAAAACACTTGCTGTGTTTCTCTATAGCTGAAGACGTTTACTTGATTACAACAACTCCAGGGAAGAAGGACGATAAAGTGCAGTGAGTATGTCTTCATTTAGATTTTAAATGTAAATGAAAGTTTGAATCAAAATAAGGAAGGCGAAGCTACTGCAATGAAAACAAGATTCATGCAAAGGGCCTTAAAAGCAGGTTTGTAAAATACTTTTCTTAAAGGTATAGATCTTCAAAAAGGTTAAAAGCCAAGACCTCACCTTTTACATTTACAATGTCAGACTGTTTAAATGTGTTAAAAACCTCCTTTATCATAGAGGGGAAGAAGTTTGTCTTTAACAAACAAAATATCACCTTCAACATCTTTTTATTCAGTAGGATTCTTCTTAATTCCCTCTGCTTAAACAGCTACAGTTTAAACTATAATATATACTCACTGGTGCTTAGCAGCAGAAAAAGGTAATGAATGGGTTGAGAAGCCCCCTCGTAACACGATGATCAAACACTGACTGAATAAGAGAAGCCTGATGTAAGCTCTGTATGTCTGCGTCAGAGTGACATCTGTTAATGTGAGATCTGAAAAATTCAAACACTTTTCATCTTCTTTTTACAAATGATTTACAGACTTGTGTTTTCCTCACAGGCTACTCATTGAATAAGTTGCGAGGTGACTGTCTCTGTGCACTGTTTCTAACACCAATAACACCTCCTCTTGTCCAATAACTCCTGACCACATTGTTCTGTAAAACTACACTAAATCAATCATTGCATTTGGCCCAGGATGTGTTATCTAATTGCAGGCAATAATTTCATGCAATAGTTTTTCTATAGGAGGTTATAATAGGAACAAGCACCGGTGGATAACCTCTCTCATCCTGAGGATGATGAATGAGGCGAGAGAGGGCCTTGGGGTGTAACACAGACACAAACAACACACACACACACACACACACACACACACACACACACACACACACACACACACAACTTGCTCTTTCAGGAGGGGAGAAGAGCGAAACCCTCATCACACACCATACACCTCCAAACTATCATTTATCAAAGCCCTGATTTGACTCTTTGTGCACATGCACTGTAGTACAGTACATCTATGTATACACGCACGCACGCACGCACGCACGCACGCACGCACGCACGCACGCACACCTGGCCTGAAACGAGCTAAACAGCTCAATCAGTTGAACGTGGAAGGAGCATCAGCACTCATTTGTTTCTGCTGTATTAACCAGTGTCGCCTCTCTCCCATTGTTCCCCTGCATTAGCCTTAATTAGAGAGTGGTGCTCTTAAATACACCCATGGGCAACACTGGGTGAGCACACACTAGTGCAGACATAACACTGCGACACACAGCATTCACAGAGAAACACACACACCGCTCAGGCACTGATACCTCAGAGAGCAGGCTTTCTCTACTGCCCCGGGCCATACATAAGCCCTTTGAATAAATCACATCAGCCTTACACACACATACTTACACATAAACATGCACACAACACATCTATATGCTTTAGCACTGTGTGGTGGTGAAGCTTGGACACCCTCTTGGGAGCAGACGATCACAAAAAAAAAGAGGCTCATCTCTAAATTAAATTGAACTGAACATTTATTTAATGTGTGTTGCAGTGCCATGCCCAAAGGAAAGGGAGCCAAAGGGACAAAGGTGACCCTCAAGATCGCCAAAAAGGCGATACGGATGACCCAAGAAGGACGGCGCAGACTCACCCTCAGCAAGATGGGAATAATCACTTTCCCGAAGTGTATCCTCAAACTCACCAACGTGGACGAGTTGGATCTCAGTCGCAACATGATCCGGAAACTCCCAGATAACATCGGGAGCTTCTCGTCACTCAGGTGGCTCGATCTACACAGCAACAAACTGGAGTCTGTGCCCGAGTCCATCGGAAACCTCGCGGGATTGACCCACCTAAACATCTCAAACAACTGCCTAACATCGGCAGGTTTACCCTCCACTTTGGGTTCTTTGGCCGGCCTCAAGAGTCTCAATCTGGGTTTGAACCAGCTGGACACCCTGCCCCCCTCCATGGCAGCTCTGGACAGTCTCCAGGAGTTAGGCCTCTTTGATAACCTCTTCACTAAGATACCAGAGTGCTTGAAAGAGCTACATAACCTCAATAAGGTGAATACTAAGAGAAATCCTCTATCCTATACTCAGGCAGACATTGACGGGATGTTAAAGGAAAAATCAGAACCCAAAGAAGAAGTGTTCCTTGTCCACAAAAACAACCTGTGTGGAAAATGCTTCAAGAAATGTAAAGAGCAGACAGAGATGAAAGCAGGAGGAGGGAGAAGAAGAGGAGGAAGAGGGGGAGATGGTGACATGTGTGAGGAAAAAAGGAAAAATACTTATAAAGGACTCATGGTGCCAAACTCAGTGGCCGCAGTCAATCAGGATGTGTGGAGAATAAGGAAAGTCAATTAAAAAGGAGCTGCAGGTTTCATCTTAACCTTTAGTTGGAGCCTTGTTCAGACTTAAGACTTGTGATCATTTAAGAAAGACGCAGCGGTGTGAAGTGATCAGCGGCTGACTCTAGAACAAAGGGCATGTTACTTATGTTGTTTAACAGCCAATGTGCTCACTGGGGGGAGTCAGCTGGACAAGTCAGATACAAACTGTGAGCTGGTGAATATAGTAGAGCTTTGGATGAAGGAAAAAGTGGATCACCTCATCCTCTATTTTGGGAAAAGCCTTGTGTGTTTGACTCAAGATGTATAGATATAACAAGTATGACAAGTTTGTTAACGGTCCATTCAAACTCGCTCGCTCCTCCCCCTGCTCAAGCAGCAAGGAGAAAGCAGCAGTGCTCAAATAAGAAAGAGATTGAATGAGGAAAGCACCGAAACAGAAATAAAACTTTTTTTTTAACCAATTGCTTTACAACAGTTCTATTGCACAGATAAAATCTGCACAACTCTTCAGAAAGCGGATGGTTTTGTTTGAATGCAACTAAGCACACATTTAATAGATTTACATGCTTCATGTTTCCATGACACAGACAGAACGCTGACACCGTCTCCTCTCATTGTTTTGGTCTTAATCTGGAAGGTTTCAGAGCGTTATGCACCAGCACATTGCACGTTTTACTTTTACTAGTCTTCGGTCTGAGCTGGTCTTAAGGCAGCCTGTAACACTTCAACAGTATTTACACAGCATTTGAATTTATATCACACATCTACTTTATTGTATTTTCTAAGTTTTTGATTCAATAAAGACAAGAATCCTACATGATGCAATGGTCTTAAAATATCTTTGTTGGATGACTGTGACAACATTTATACTCTTACCTGGCGTTTGCAATGACCTCAGCAACCCCTCTGCCTTTTAATGCCGGCACCACCATGCACAACCTGCACGGGGAAACAGTTAAGATGTGATTCAGAATAGTATTTAAAAATACCTATTTTTTTAACATCAAGTCTCAGGAATATTAATGTGATACCTTTTATACGCAGAAACGTGGTCTCTATTCACGAACACCAGGAAGGCTGAATGCCCAGTTTTCATGAAGACCTCGATAGCATTATCCTGAAAGTAACAGGGAGGCAAAGAGGAGTTCTTGTAACTCAAAACGCAGAAATCAAGTAGAGTTACAGGTATCTGTTGTTTTGTCTCTAGAAGGTATTTTAACTGATCCGCTCCCTTCAAAAGAATACATCTCTCTTACAGAACAACTCATTGGGTTTATTGTCTTTGGATGATATAACACAAAGATATAAACAGACACATTTATTCTAAATTTCTGTTTGCAAATTAACTTTCAACATCTTCATATTTTAATCAAGTAAAATATCAAGTATTTTTTGAGTATGAAATCCTGGCTGATTGTGGGCGGGGCTTCTGGGACATAGCTGAGCTTGTATATATTGAATTGTCTGTACTCTGTCTGTTTGTTTAAAAGGCATTACAAATCATTGAGCAATAACAAATGCAAACAAAGGTGCATGATCTAAAAGGTTAAGTAACATAAAATGTAAATATTATCAAACTAAATCCTGTGTAAACATGATTTCAATCAAATGCATGTTAAACAAGCCATCTGCTGCTGGAGCATTTGGGATGTCTGACCTCTAAAAGGAAACGCATGAAGCGGGCCTCCTTGATGTCCTCATAGGGCCAGTGTCTGCACCGGGCTGTCAGCTGCTCTTTACTCAGCATGCTGGAAATAAAGGAATCCCTCACGCTGACAGAAGAGAGAGACACAAAAGATGATAGATGATGCGTTAGGACAACTGAGCACATGTGGAAATTAATGAAGTGCAGAATTTGTTACCGTAATTAAGTAGAATTTCAAGTACCTGAACATGAGGATTCATTGTTCTGAACCCTTTAAATTGTACTTGCTACACTTCAATAATTTCTGCGTCTTACATTTACAAGATGCTTTTCTTTTACATTTTAAAACCCACATTTTGTGTATGATAATTGAGTATGATAATCACCCTTCTTAAATATATTTTATGTAAAATAATTAAATTTGAGGCTTTTTTAAAAAAACTGATTGAAGTATTTTGGATGTCTTGTTTTATGTACCTAGATGTTTTTTGCCCAGTGTTTTTATGTAATGTCTTGACTTGTGTGATTTTAGCCACCTCTGCAACTAAGAAAGCTAATTTAGGCTCATCACGCGGCATGTTTTGCTGTAACGACTCTACCTGCTGGGGTGGTGTTCTCTGCAGCAAATGTCTCCAGCAGGACTGAGAGTGAATCTCTCACACAGGAGCAGGCTCTCCTTCCCGAACAGCAGCACCCCCTCTGTCACTCTGAGGCCGCTCGCCATCACTACACACATCTTAGCCTTTACCTACAGAGAGAGAGAGAGAGAGAGAGAGAGATAGAGATACGTTAAACCGTATGTGAGAGGCACAATACACATCAGCACTTTTCTCTCCTGGGACATGACATGGCAGCGTCACAGGCACTTCAGGCTTTACTTGATTGATCATTTTAATCACATATTCTAATCATTATTAAAAAGACACAGTTGAACACTTCATTATCAGAGCTGATTGATGGGGAGGAGAAGACCCCGCCCACCCTTTTCAGCTGTGTGACAGTGTGTTTCATCCAGAGCCAAAGTGGACCCACATGCCGCTTTCAGCGCAGGTCGTAGCTAATGCTAACTGCATCGGGATAATGTGTGGCTAATTCTATTGTCTCCCCTCATTGCACAGTGAGTGTGTGCACCTGGCTGTCTCCCTGTGTTGGCCCTTCTGCAGCCCCCCTGGGACACAGGGCCCAACAAACATATGGGGCCCCAACATACCCGAAGGCCCCTCACAATTTATACTAATCAAATCAGACTCCCCACCCTCCCTGACACGGAGTCACACTCCGGGTGGAGGAGGAGACGAGCAGGCCTGGTCATTATTAGGAGTATTAATCACTGCCACGCACACAATAGGAAACCTGCTAAGTGATCAGAACCTCTTGTCTGGATGCACACATAAAGCCACGCTGTGATGGATAATATCACTTTGTCGTCTCGTCTGAGAGCATTTAAGAGGAGTCAAGAGAAAGGAGTCTCGGCTAGATTGCAAAGAAATCTTATATTGAGCTATATCATGATCGGATTTTATGGCAGCGTCCATCGGGGAATACAAACTGGCATCAGGCATACTGTTCCCAACAATGGCAGTAAAAAAAAAAAACTAGTTAAATTTATTGTTATCAAAGATTAAATACATAACAATAAACTTGTTTCCTTATCTTTTTACTGTGCTCTGGACAGATATGCGTTATCAGTCTGTTGGTGATTTAGCTGATGATGGGAAGAAGGAGAGAAAAGGAGGACTTTTATTGACTGAGAGCCTAATGTCAGACCATTGATTTCTCCCCACACACATTACTGTCATAATCACACTATTGGCGCTGGCAAGCTAATTATGAGTGGGTCTCCCTTTGTGTGTGTGTAAGTCCGTGTGTGTGCATTTTTCAGAGCTAATGACTGTGTTCATTTGACAGGAAGCTCAGCAGGACTCTCACACTGAACCGCTGCAAGTCAACAGGACGCATTTGCACACATCACACACTTACTAAGAGGATGTAAGACAGCTTGCATCACCTCCTACTGTTTTTATTAATACTTCTGTCAGAAACATTAAAAGCCGCGGCTGGTTGCCGGAGCGATGAGAGTCCCTGTCAACATGTGCCTTGCTTTCTAACACACTGGAAGAATGAGAAGAGCTGAGCTGGGCCTGGACATAAAAACATTACACTAATGAGGAAAGATGAAATTCTGATAGCAGCGCTGGGCTATTGGAATCCCTTAGTCTACATCAGATAATTATGATTGTGAATATTAGCAGCCTGAGAAGGAGTTGTGCTTGTGTTTAGGCATGTTGTTTTTAGCCTAAACATACCAACACGGCCTGCTACAGTACCTCCTCTCCGGGGTCCAGCTCCTGCAGGATGATGCGTATGCCGGGGCAGTCTGATGTCTGAGAGCACGGTTCTTGGATTAAAGATTCAGGTTGACCTTCGGTGACAGAAGAAGTCTCATTGAGAACGGGGAAGAAGGTCAGATGGTCGCAATCCTGTCCTCTCTCCTCTTCATCCTCTGTTGCCTCTGCTCCAACTTCACACAGGATCTTGGGCTCTGTCACAAAGTATGATTGTCAACATTTTTGAAAATCTGACACTTTTAGATACCCCATATATTAAAAATGATATTATCTCTGTAATTTTAATGTCTGATAGCATTGAAAAGCATCAAAGCTTTTTTAGCAAACTTCAGATCTCAAAGCTGCCACTAAACAAACAGAGAGGGCAGCTGTTGTCCATTCATATATAACACACACTAATGTAAGAGAGGGATGTGATTAACCAGTCTAAATTGCACAAATAAATTAGCAACTTATCAGCATGTTGCCAAAGTATCTGTGCAATTAAGACAGCGTGCAGGAGATGCCTTCAAATGTTGGTAATTAAAACAGTAAATTAGGAGCTTTGTTTTGTTACCAGGCAGTTATTAAAACAGGTGTCCACATCGTACCTCGCATCATACTGAAGTTTAAATTCCTGTATCTTTTCTTTACCTGTGTCCCCTTCGGTTTGGCTTTTGTTCTCCTCAGACATGCCGGTCCTTAAACTCAGACACAGCGTTCCATGCACCTGTGGTAACAACAAATGGCTCTGTTAGAGGTTGAAAACTCACACGTTTTGGCTTCACACGTCACACTTTACACTAAAAGAGCTTTACCCGTTTTGATCGCCTCAGAGCTTTTCTGCGGATGCGCAGTCTGGTCCTGTTGGGTCCTTCGGCTGCGTCTTGCACCCAATCTCGGCTCAGCAGCACCCCTGGGCGAGGTCCGAATATAGCTCTCTCCCTCAGCAGCTCGGACTCTTCATGCAGCCACTTTGAGCTCACTCGCTCCCACTCACTGGCTTGCACCTTGCGAGCAGAAATACAAACACACATAAGACAGAAAAGAAAAATGCAAATCCAACCCCAGCTGTAAAACAATATTTACGTAAATATGTATTGAATGTTACGTCTCTGTCACACCTGTGAGTGGTTTGTCCTCATATTCACAAACATGCCGTGGCCTCGTTGTCGATGTGACTCCATGTACGACAGAAACTCCTACAATGAAAGGAGAGGTGCAAATGAAAAGAACGAGACGCACAATCGCTCTTCCTCTAACTCATATGTTACACACCAAACAACACAACACATTCACAGAGATTGTAGATTCGTAATGATATTGTTGTTTCCTCATGTAATTACAATGCATTCATACAATTACATCTGTTGTAAATTGCATTCACTGGGCAAAATAAGCTAGTGGCTACAGTCCTACAATAACCCTGTCTGGAAATGTAATCATTTGTTGCTGTGATCTAATTAGCATAAACATTAATATCACTGAGCCACGCTACAGTGAGGGGCAAGGTAAAAGTGTGCACTTTTTATTTTGTGTGAGAGAGTGTGCGAGTGTGTGTGTGCGATTAAAAGAGAAAAGAAAAGGAAAAAAATGGAAAAAGCCAAAACCGAGGCGTGTTGACACTGCAGGATGCTCATGTTCAGCAGACACACTGGGATCATATTCTGACTGTTAACTGCTTCATTAAGCCCATCATCACAGCAGTGCTCGCTGAGAGACTAGTGAAACAACATGTGTCCATCTTCACAGCTGACCCAGGAAAGCCATTTAATTGACTGAATGAACATGCAGTAACTCTTTCTATCGAGTCTTATTTACCGAGCTAATTTCCTGTTTTGTGCTGTAACCACATGAACGCAGTAATTGATTTCAAGTACAACAATAAAACAGCTACTTCTGTAATACAAGAGATGCACACACACACACACACAAAAAAACAAAAACATTCCACATAATTTCCGTACAAACTCAGGCGTGAAAAGTTGACAACAAACTTTGACAAGCCCCCTGGAGAATGGAAATTTGTTTCTCTAAATGACTGGCTGCCTATCCAAATGAGAAGTTGTGCCGAGAAAGAAATAAAGGAGTAATTTGAGGGGAGATTATAGAAATATTACAGACACAAAAAAGAGAGTAATAATGAAGTTTGCGACTAGAGCCGTGTTGCGACAGATAAACAGCAAGACAGCGTCATCATCTCGTAATTTCATTCCTTCATTTGGACAAACATAAGTAATATATAGCATTAATTACCCTATTTAGCAGATAGGAACCTCATTGGCTTTTTAAATGCTGCATTAAATACATAACTCATCTCTTCCCTCTGCAATTAACATCAGAACATCACACTCATTTCCATTTTAATGACTTCCCAACAATACGCCACCTTTGATGATAAGGCAACATAATGTCAACTTCATTCTGGGCTGGCAGTGAATGTGTAATGAACTTAACGTGATCATTAGTGCTGTTAATTATCTTTCTAATATGAGGACACAGATATGATTATGGAAACTGCATTCGCTGATGAAATAAATCTCTGGAAGAATTGCACTGAAGCTTGACTGAGGACACAGTCTGCCTATCAGTCTCTCTTTTCTCATTCATTACCTACAGTCGGCTTTAAAACGGTTATTTTTTTTCTTCATAAAAGTAGATATCTGAGACGCGGAAACTATGAGCGGGGCTCTGTGGAAACGCATGACTATGGATCCAGTGACCGAAAAGAGAGACTCCCCACAAGCTCATAACTCGCCAACCAAAGGTCATAAGTTGATGATCCAGAAATTAATTAATGAGTCACTTGTTTTCTTCATGAGGATGAATGGAAAATGAGCAGACCGGCTGACCACTACTGATTGAGTATCATCTCTTTTTTGAACATTTGCTGCATGCTGCTTCGACGGCGCAAAGTGTTGCACCACACGGCGGAGAGGGAGAAGGCACGTCCCTCCCTCTTCTTCTCTGCCTCTCAGACGGAAAAAACAATTCATCACCTTCTCTGATAGCCTGTCAAAGACTGATATGATAAAGAATAACATCAAATGAATAATGTTTTCATCAGATTGCTAGTACTATAATTGCCAACCTGATTTCTGTCGGCGAGAGAACTCACACACACACACAGTTTGTGGGGGTGAGACAGACACACAGACGCGGTAATTTCATGCCTGTGTGCCTGAGTAATATGTCCCCGCTCCCTGCTCCAGATGGCTCGACGTCTTAAGCGTTGTGGGGGAACTAATGATGTGGGCCACGTGTTTCGGGGGGAAAAACAACAATAAACGCGTCTTTAACCTTCAGAAGCAAACAGTGTGTTGTAGCGAGTGTTCCCATGGATAGGCCTAACAGATATCAATTACTATGCCCACTCAGGGGCAATCAGCTGTGATAATCCAAATCCATTTAAAGAAATAATCAAACACCCCCACAGGGCTGGACGGCCCACAGCACAAAACACAGCAGTGACTTTGGGAGGAGTGTTTTGGGCACAGCGCTCAGGGCTGCAGGGACACTTCGGGAAAAGGTGCTCACCCTGGAGGCCAACACTCGCAAAGGGATACACATATCTCCATGCAGACGAAGGAAACTCTGAGTGTTTATTTACCTCTGCTGTGACTGACTCTTTGTCCGGTTTGCCCAAAACTAAGCGGACAGCGCTACTGATCACATCAAACTTTGTCTGAGAGCCGCTCGCCAGCTTTTTCTTCTGAGACTCTGAGAAGACATACAAACAAAATATAAATGCCGAGGACATGGAGCGCGTATCTCATCTTTCTGCAGTTATTATTAGAGTGAGAGGTCACCTGTGTGTAGCAGCCAGGCTTTGTGTGCCGTCTCCTCCCACAGAGGACTTATTTCAGTCATGCTGACAGGCCCTGTCTGCACCGTGTGGCCCGCTGAGATCTCTATCTTATAGGTCTCTTCCAGTGTGTGTTGTCTCTCCGTCATGATCTTTGACCAGCAGGCCTCCACTAAGGACACCAGTTCTCTGTCATCTGAAACACACATGTTTTCTTGGGACTCAATAAACTTCTTAAGAGCTAGAAAATCTACAAAAAATGTCAGGCTAAGGTCATGAATGTAAATAAACGCTCACATTCAGGCGCTCATACCTGTGGTTAAGTCTGCTCCGTTGCTGAGGCGTGCAGAAAGTCTGGTTTTGGCACCAAACAGGTGGGAATACGTTTTCCTGTTGTGCACCTTTTGTGCCACCAATCCAAAACCTTCAGGGTAGCTGCAAAAAGTTTGACAGTGTGATTATATTTAAATCCTGCTTTCTTCATATTTGTCTTTATAATGCCCTACAGAAGTATTCCTTACCACATTATGTCATGTTACATGTTAAAACTATAATGGATTTGGTTGAGGTCTTGGGTAAAGGACCAATAAAAAAATGTTTTTTAAGCTTTTTTTTGAAACACCAAACTTTGGTGCAAAGAGTTGCATTAAGGTGAACTTCAGAGGATGTCTGCTTTTTTGCTCTGCTCATGTTTATTATCAAAATGGTAAAAAGATCAAAAACTCTTCTTGAATTAGAAGTTGTGACACTTTTAAATATAGTGACAAATCCAAAGGGATATATAAGTGATGGTTTAGGTTTCACTTTTACCTGCCAGATCGTATCAATAACAGACAACGCAGAAGGCATGTGACGAAGTTCACGTTGGAATTGTAGGTTGCCATGACAACGTCCCAGCGTTCCATGAATGTCTGCAGCGCCCTGATGATCACTTCCTTTTCTTCTTGGCATTTTCGGGGTTGGGACAAGAAATAAAGCAGGACTTTGTTGGTGCAGGAGTAGAGAGCTGACACTGTCTTCTCTTTCTGACTTCGGCCTTTCTCCAGAGCCTAAAAGTACACGAGTGCATCTGTTATTATTCTGTGTAGAGCTGAAAAGAAAGAATAGTGACATATAGGCAGATTTTATATTCAAAATATACAATGCTACTAATGCTTTAAAAGGAACCTTGTCCACAGTGAAAATCCATTTTAGTTGTATTAACAGATTTGCAGAAGTCAGAGTTTGCAGTTTAAGTAACATTCAAAGCTCTCTGTGTCTCACCACCCCGATCTGATCTGAGAGGAAGTTGAGCAAACTCTCCGGGTCACCCGCGAATGATCCGCAGTAAAGTTTCTGCAGCAGAGTTCTACTGAAGAGCACCACGTTCTCCATTAACGAGCTCATCTGTCCTTCAGGCGTCTGACTCTTGCAATCTGAGAGAAAACATTTGAAAAAAACAACATACATTTAGATGACAGATTTTTTTTTTTTTATAGCTTAACATAGTGATTTCATTGTGAGCTATAAGAAGAGTACACTTTGTAATTCTACCATGCGAGCTGAGATGAGTGTTGTTCTCTTCCTCGTGGCTGAGCATGTAGATGATGTCCATGATGAACTCCAGCAGCTCCGTTTGGAAACTCTGCCTCTGTTCAATCGATGCATCATCAGGGGAAAACTGTGAAATAAAAATTAAAAACATGCTTAAAAAAGAAAGCTTTGACAGTTTGACATAGGAACTGTCTTGGTAGTGATGGTGACATCTCATTTCATGTTGTCTCAAGTGTAGGTCTGGTGTGTGCACTCTGAAGTTTTTGGCCTGTCGGTCTTCTCCCCCTCCTAGTGGTGAATCACATTATTAACAGTATTTCCACTCTGCCTGCTTTAGTTACTGAGCAAAGAGTGGCACCTTCTGGAGAAGTGAGAGTCTTGCACTGACAGAAAATACTGAAGAGCTTCTGACAGAGTGAATATATTTTGTTGATGACATATTAGTGTTGATGTTTCAGTGCAATGAGTGGGTTTAGATACACTTATCACGGTTTATAATGTGTGCATAGGAAGCTATAAAATAATCATGAATCATTTCTGTACTGAAGTAGGTTTTTAAGGTATTTCTGCTTTTCACTTGACAAAGGGAAACCCCCTTTATAATACCATTTAGGGAATCACAAAAGCAATTAAAATGCAGACAACAAAGTGTCAAAAGAACCCGAGGACAGTCTGATGAAAGGCCTTTACAATTAGCAATTAGTCCTAAATATTCTGGCATTACATTTAAGACAATTTAAAAGTAAAACAAAATATGAACTTTAACATAAAGCCTGAAATGTACTGCAAAAGTTAAGTTGGTTTATCTCTGTTTTTGCACAATCCACCACAGCACTATTGTCTAATTTACCCTTTACTTGTAATTATTAGTCATTGCTCATTTTGTTTTTATTGTTGATATTTCATGTTGTAGTTTTTTTTTTTTTTTTTACAACTTTGATCTATATCTATAATACTTTCTGCCTCTCAGAGCTACATTTAGAGTAGATTGCAGATGTAGAGCAACAAGATTTTCTTCAGCAAACTGATTTTGCACATTGGAGCCAATTCTTTTGTCCTTCATATTCAGTAAACTGCTTTAATGTTTTTTTTAAATTAAAGTTAAAAGAATTCAAGTTTTTAGAAGTCTCTGACAAAAAGAGGTTCAGTTACTTTTCACAGAAATAGACAGATAATGTTCTTTAGAGGGTATTTTTATTTCTATACTCTCAACCCTTTAGAGCCTGTACTTTTTTTCACTTGTTCTTCAGTTAAGGAGTTTGAAAAGTACTTCTATCTTCACTCAAGTCTTTTTTTTGAAAAGTTTCTTCTTCTTTAGTAAAGACTGTGTATACTTTGCTAGCTTTGCTTGTGTGTGTTTGTTCGTGTGTGTTTTGTGTATGTACTCACCTCCAGCAGCACAAGCAGAGGATGTGCGTTGGTGTTAGCAGAAGAGTTTAGCAGACTGTCCATTAGCAGAATGCGGATGAAGTCGTACACTGGCTTTCTGTTTGGATGACTCGTACATGTGTCTCCACCTTCACTCATGACACGAGGCTCAACCAAAGGATCCCCCTGAAAGAAAGTGATCAATGTTTAGACCTGACCTGAAGTGTTGGTGTTTCATAAATCCAGGGAACTACACAAACCTCTGAACCATCCAAAGGATACACAACTCCTGCTAGTGTATGGAGGAACTCTGGTGAGGCCCACAGCGGATCTCTTGGTCGAAGGTTGTGGAGCAAACAAAGGAATTGCATCATGCTGGCTGGGAGCTGCGACTCCCATGATGCATCAGTGTCTGGCATGTCATTTTTAGCAGGAACAGGCTGTAAAAGCATAAAGAAAAAGTCATAATCACACTGTGTGGAGATAAATACTGAGAAGATTTCAGATCTTTACACTCTTACCTGTGTGATGATGACTTTGACTAATTCTAGCAGAATTGTCACAGCTTCAACACAGAGCTGCGGAGCGGGGTTTTCTGCCTGGCTATCAATAAGAGACTGCAGAGCATCATCCAAAGGCACCTGCACATCACATGTTAAATTATGAGGGGGAAGATGAGGAAGATGACTAATAAGAAGACGACTACTTACATTTCCCTCTGCAGTGTGACTGGCCTTCCTCCCCAGCAGCAGAGCAGCTAAGGCTTCATACACCTGAGGCAGGTGAGGGTGTCTGATCAGCAGCCCCTGAAGAACATTGAAGCCGGGACACGAGATGCTCGAGCACTCGTGAGACCAGGAATTGGCTCGCAGGTTGTCTGGTGAGAAGGCAAGGATCATTAAAAAAATGGTTAAGGATAAAAGAAAGCGCTCAGAACATTTGAATGGATTTAAAGTTGCTAAGTATTACCAATTTATTAGAAAAATCACAACGTTTCAGTCCCTCAGAACCTTTGTCAAGTGTGTTTTTTTTTCTTTTCAAGTAAGAGTTTGTCATCCTATCTTCAAGAGATAGTGGGCTGTGCAAACACCTCAAAAACAAAAAAAACCAATGGATTTAAAGTTTAAAATACTGTGAACCTAAATTACCAAACGTAAAAAATCAACATCACTTAATTTTGAATTATAGTCGAAGTGCAAAATTAAAAGGGATTTTATCAGGGTTATGTGTAATGTGTTAAGACAAAAAAAAAAGTCCGGTTGGGGGGGGGTTATGACATCGTATTTAAACTATTAGAAAATCAAATAATGAAGAGCTTTAAGTGACTATCCTTTGAAGATCATGTGCAACCCATTGCCTTCAAGACAAACTGCGTTGGTGTTTAATTTTAAATGTCTGCTTTAAAAAAGTTTATAAAAGTCAAAAGTGGAGTGTATATTTAGACAGTACATCGTTTATTTCCATATAGATGATCTTACTCAAGTCATGATTGTGTTGCAAAATCAAGTATTGGTGAGTGAAACTATGTTAAAAAAAGGAATCTTTTTACAAGGCAGAAAATATGTGATATGTTCAGAAAAAATGTAAAAAGTCACATAATCTATTGCCCACCTTAGTATTGTTCTTCAGAATAATTCATCAAGCCATCATATGATTCTAGTCAAAGTATTAAAATAACAACATGAATGTAAGAAATAGATTTTAAAAAACTACTCGGCTCTTTGATTGAACAGTTTTTATAAACTCTCTGCTTTCGCTGCTTGTTAGTTTCATCATATTTCCTGTATATGTATTCAGTCCACTTTAAATGTACCCCCTCAGTTTAACGTACAGGCTGACTGAATGAATCTTATTGCTGCTTCACTGTGAGAAATCATTCAGCTTTATATACCCATGACAGCAAAGGGCTCCTGCATGCTCCCTATGAGCGTTGCTGGGAGGATCCCCTCTCTGAAGGCGCTCTGCTGGCCGGGACTCCACAGAAAGTGAGTGAGCAGGACGAGACCGAGCTTCAAGGTGGACGGGTGAAGGTGCGGCTGAAGGAAGAGCAGGAACCAATCGCTGCCCAGAGTATCTAATAAAACCTTCTGTTGACTAGGGAACAAAACAAAACAAAACATGACTTAAATTGAGCAAAGGTTTCTGCTGTAACATTTTGAGAGATATCTAAGTAGTAACTCATGCTACTCACTCTTTGGTCAGGCCGTCTGAGTGGAGGATCTCACAAAGAGAGAGTAACATCTGGTTGCGGATCCAGATGAGACCGGCTGGATCACAACTCTGAGCTAAAGCACAGAGCGGTTAAGTCTAGGTCAGTAACATTTCGTTTTTATTCCTGCATACATGAGACATCTGACGTAGTGTTGAAGCTCATGTGAGGTGTTTAGAGCTGGTTATGAAACAGATTTTAGTGAACGCTACAGTCATGCCTTTTTGTGAGCTACAAAAGCAAACAAGACCATGAGTGACTCATTTGTTCATTTATTATTTTCTGAACGCCTGGAGTCACTGCCACAGGCTAGGTGTCAGACAGAGTGTTTAAAGTATACTGCAGAAAGTCTTTTTATTCAATGGAAGTGCAAACACTATTGAGGAGTGATGCAATTTACTTTTAAAAGAAAGCAGGATGAAATGTTTTAGACATTCACGGTACAAAATCAGCAAGAGGATACAAATCAAACCAAACCAACAAGACATATCTCTTTGTCAGCAAGTGTCATCAACATCGACACCAACTGAAAGTTCCTCACAGGAGCTTAAAGGTCGTTGCCTTGTGTTAAAAGTCTTACCTGATGTATCCTGTGGAAGACTACCTTCAGACAGCTGGTCACCTTCACCGATGTTACTTAGAGGCGGGAGCGTGTAGACTAGGAAGAGCCCCAGCCTGAGCAAAATAAAGGACATTTTTTTAGAGCTTTTCCTACACACTTAAGTGATCTGCTCTGTTTATGAGGAACCTACAAACACTTTGTTTGACATGGTGAGTGTTAAAACTGTACCTGCTGATGTCCAGCGGAGCAAAGTGAGATTTGACCAGCGATGTGATGACACATGAAATGATCTTAACCTTCTTGACAGTCACGGCAGGATCAGAAAGCTTGAACAGTAGCTTTGGTAACAGACCTCCACTTTGAATGACTGCTGCATTTGCGCTGTCACTGCGAAGTGCACAGAGAGAATAACAGAGAGAGGACAAATATAAATCACAGCCTGTTCCCAGAAGGAGAAAAATCACATAACAAACTGGCTGAAACTCATCGGATTGTTTCGGTCGGACATTTCGTGATATTGATGACAGGCGGCTGAAGATGTTGACAGAGGAGCACATAAAGTCTGCTGTCAATCCAGAACAAGACCCTCTTTGTTGTGTTATCTAACTTGTTGTGTTACGGCCATGTGAGTTTATAATACATTAAATTAAAGCTAGAACATTTCTGTGTGATGTGGTCACAGGCTGTTAGCTGCGGAAATCACCTTGAGGATTTGAGGATTTCAGCAAAGTGGTTCAGAACCGAGATGTCCAGATTGTCTGAGGTCTTCTGCCACACCTGAAAAAAAAATCGCATGACAAGATAGAAACTTAAATGTTTAGCCTCAAGATGCAATGACAAACTTTCTCAATAAAAAGTGGATATAAAAGTTGTTTGATTCCCAACATGCTCTTAAGTTTTATGCTAAAACATGGACGCTTACCTCCAGGTCACAGAGCAGGGCCTGGAAAGCAGGTGTGTTCTGCAGGCAACCTGACGAGACCAGCTCCACTGAACTGGACAGATACAGAACCAGCTGAAAGGTTCTGTGGCTGATGAGACTGCTCTTCATCTTCAGTAGAAAAGCAAGCAGCTGTAAGCAGTAAAAGTTTGATACAAGAACAGATCAGAACAGAAATAAGATTTTTGATGTTTTTGACTCCATTGATTTCTCTCAATCACACCGACCTTGTATCCATTGATGCGCTTCATTTCCTGCTGCATGGCAGAATTGGTCTCCAGCACAGAAAGTAGAACTTTAACCGCTGCGTACAGAGAGCTGTCGTTTGGTGCCATTGCAACCAGACTGAGAATAACTGCAGGCCCACCAACATACAGGAAACCATTGGATGCACTGCTGGGAGTGAATGTACGCACACCTTCATGGAAGAGGACATGCCGTTACAAACTGTCCTAGAAGTTTAAAAAAAAAGGGCAAATAAAGGTATTTAAGAGATGTGTTTTTCACCATAATGTCCAACCAGAGCTGCTCCTATTGTGCGAGCTGTACCACTGAGGTGCTGACTGATGTTTCGAGCGAGGAACACAGGTGTGGACTGATCCCGGGATGGTATCCCCATCTGAAATGAAACATAATGATCGCTACTCTGTATCAAAGAAACAAACACACAGGTTCATCATGGACTCACCTTACCTCTTTAGCAATCAGCCTGCAGTCCACCTCATTGTAGTCCTCTCTGATCTGAGCGACTGTTGTGAGCGTAGAAATCGCTGGATTGATTCCAAATGAAATCCTCTCCTCAGGAACCAGCCTGAGAGGGAGAGACTCGGCATCTGGATCATTACCTGAACATGGAGGTGAGAGAACACAGGATGTTTTAGAACAAATGCCTTACAAAAGGGAATCCAATGTGTCACCACAATCATCACATCACAAATCAGAAAACATTTATTTGCTAACATGTTTTTTTTTTTCTCCTCACATGAAACTTAAGTAGAAAGAATTTGAAGTATCCGATGGTTGTTCTGCATCAGTACAAGAGGTACAAATGTTCATCATGTGTTTTGCAGAGAAAATCATGAATGCATGCAATGAGCACCATGCCAATATAATTTACTGCATGCCATCATGGTGGGAACACAAAAATGAGACAAAAAAGCCAACAGGCTGACCAATTTAAAAACATTCCTAGCGATTCAGACCAAGATGACAGTATAAAGAGAGGCTGTGAATTTTAAAATTGTTTACATTTCTCAAATCAGGCTGCAGGACTGTCTTAGTTATATTCATATAGTTCATGTTGAAATGCGTTTAAACTACAAAGTTTTTCCAAAGCCTTAGAAGTCCAGCTGTGATTTTATACACAATCCACTTCCTGGAACAGCCTCCATTTTTAATCATTATCTGATAGAAAACATTTTTATACCGTTCTTCTTGTACATCTTGTTCCCTCCAGCAAACTCTAAAGATTGGAGTTCTTCCCTCTCTTCCAGAGTTCAGTTTCACCACTTTTTATGAAATTGTAACTGTTATAATTGATCTCAGTGGTTTTTTGTCACTGATTCTGAGTGTTTTTTGCGTTTTTGCTTGTTTTACTTTTCTTATAATCTCGACGGCATTGGAAATGATTGAAACCTCCGTGTCCTTTCGAGAATAAATAAAAGTTTGAAATGAAATGAAAACAATAAAAGATCTTTGTAAGGAGCTGGTTGAAGTGACTTCTCCAGTCAAGCCAACAAGCGACCAGCAGGGCAGGTCAGATGTGAGTTATGACAAACTAATGGTGTTCACTGTGATGTCTAAAAATAACTTGGAACGAGGAAATTACTTGCAGGAAGTGAACAACAGAAATTCCTAAGACATTCTGTGACTCACTTGCATTGCGCAGACCCAGAAAGTTTCCCAGGTAGGCGGTGCCTTGAGTGTAAACGACACGCACAGCGTCAGGGCCCAGAGTCTCTTCAAGCAGGTAACAAGGACCCACCCTCCACACCAGAGCGGCATGCTCCTTCCAGAGAGCTGGTGTCCCTATCAGTCCGTACACATCGATCACTGCTGTGGGGTCCATGGAGGCGTACTGACCAGGGAACGGCTGAATATACCTCATCTGACAGAAAATGAAGAAAAACACATGAATACATAAGTTAGTTATTATATTGTTAAGATACAATATGCAACACCTCTATTGGGATTATGGAGGAATTAGTCTTGGATTTGAGTGCTGCACACATTTAAATGCCTCTGGAGAATTATTTATAAATCTAATAGATAAAGTTATTAAGCACAACCACAAAATAGCAACATTGCATTTTTTTGTTTTCCCCCCATACCTTTCCTGTTCCCACTGCTTTGCCGTTTAAGTAGGCTGTAACCAGGCAGTTCTTCTTCACCTCCTTGGCCATGACCACGGTCAGGTGGTGCCACTGACCTGGGACCAGCATGCTGGAGCAGCGAAACCTCAGAGATGTGGGCAGAGAGGTGGGTGTGCAAACCTCTGGCTCCATCATATCTGTGTAACGGACAAGGAGAAAGGTATTCAGTCAGTCTTATGTAACTATTGTGCAGTCCTTCTTCAAACAGCATTGAAGGAGTAGCTGAGGGTACAAAGAGCCAAACAAATTCCTCAACATTTAAGTCAATAAGTGTGTAAAGTTCAATAGGAAAAAGTAATGGCCTGTTGTATTGCTCTTACCCAGGTATGTAAATGTTTCCTCCTCTGTGGAAATGACCAGACAGCCATCGTAGGCTGAGAAGGAGACAGACAGACAGACGTACTGCTGCTCCGTCCGGGACATGTGGCGGACCACCGACAGCAGACGGATCGGGTGGGAGTCACACGCAGAGCTGAACCTGTTGATCTGGAACCAGCAGGAAAAGGTGAGACCAGCTGTGGGAGGGAAACCCCGGCAGTCTGAAACAAGAGAGGGGGACAAGTAGACATTTTATTCAGATTTACTCACAAATACACAAGTGTTAAACTTCTAGAGGAATTAATTACCTCCTCCAATTCCACCTGTTGAGATTGAATCTGCAGTCACTCCTTTCACCGTGGCCAGAGAGGGCAGGAAGAGGCAGCTGAAAGCATCACAATGCAAAGATAATAGTAATGTAAAGTATCAGTTTTTATGATACAGAAAGTTGCTCATAAGCAGAAACTCACTGAAGTACATAATATGATTACTGTTGTGTGCACATCACAGGTACAGACTTTAGAAAGCCTATATTGGGGCCTATCCTCTATTAAATGTAATCCTAAATATGCATTTTCAAAAGCATAACAACCAGTTTCTGCATTTTTACCACTTGTTACTGAAACAATGAATTCCATCTTGTTTTCTTTATGCTACAAAATGAAACAGAAAACCAGTACAACAAGGACTCACCCGTATCCGCTCTCACTCATGTCAAACTCTACAAAGGCAGGTGAGGAGGAGACTCGGTGAGGTCTGAAGGTGCGCGGGGACGTCATCGACACCAGGCTGACGATCTGGTGGGAAGGGATTGCTGACGAGTCACTGTGAGACGGTGACTTCAACAAGCTGAACGTCCGCTTCAGTGTCTTTACTGGAGATGCTAAAGAGGAAACCAAAATACAACACATAAGCCGTTTAATGCAGGGAAGTGAGTCATAGTTAGGAGTGCTGAAAGCTTTCTGTATCATGATGTAATTAATTAGTTAATATGTTGAGGATTATTCATACTTAGATTATTAACAGCTGCTTACACTGATAGTAGACGTGTGTCCAAAAAAATATTAAACCTAAAGAGGATTGAATCTAACTGGCATCAGTAAAAAGCAGGCATACAACAAAAGAAAGAAATTAATACAATACAAAAGGTATGTACCGTTTGAAACAGGAGCTTTGACTGATTGTTGACAGTCCTGTTGCCTTTGCGCGGCTGATTTCTCTGCCGAGCACATGAGGGGCTCCCCTAAACACAGGAACTTCCTGTGGGAAGAAAACAAACACGTGTCGGGCACAGAACATTCTAGCATAGCAGAATAAATTAAATCCTCTTCATCTCCAGTAAATAAAGAAATGCATGTGTGTGAACGGAGAGAGCATGGCTAACCTGAAGTCAGGATGTGAGATGGCCTGGGAGGAGAGCTTCTCAAAGACACGTGTAACAGGCAGGTGTAACGGGTGGTGTGGATTCAGCAACATGCTCTGACAGTGAGCCAGCAGGGTGGAGACCAGACCGCCCTCACACATTATCTGGCGGTTTTGCTCAGATTTGACCATGTCCTGGATGTGGTGCACCAGTGACAATTGGACCTCCATAGAAAGCTGAGACAGAGGGAGATAAACATTTAATTATGGCCTGTTGATGGATTAAAAAGAGTTGTTTCAATAATGATACCAGTACTGGAAATGTCTCTGATAAGACCTTAAAAGCAGGAGAAGTTTTCAGCGAGTTTAACTTTAGTAATCTAATCCCATTACTTAGAGGGGATCTAAGATACTTTTTTAGCCAATCATACCATCATATACATTACTGTATGTCTGCCTGTAACGTTAACTGTTTTAGAGCATCAAAAAAATAACTACTCTAAAGTAATTTATCATAAGATGATGAAAAGGACAACATTGTGGTGCTAGCACAAAATGTTTCATTCATCAAAGTGTGCACATTTCTACATCAGTGTTTTCCACCAATTGTCTGTTTCTTTGTTGTTTTCTTTTACATTTCAGAGATATTGGAAAGGTTCTCGGAATCGGAAAACTCAATTTTTGGTATCAGAATCAGTATTTTATTTTACAGGGCGCCGGTAGCGTAGTGGTTAGTGCACGCGCCCCATGTACAGAGGCCATAGTCCTCCCAGCGGGCGGCCCGGGTTTGAATCCATAGTCCTCCCAGCGGGCGGCCCGGGTTTGAATCTAACCTGTGGCTCCTTTCCTGCATGTCAGTCCCCAATCTCTCTCTCCCTGATTTCTGACTCTATCCACTGTCCTGTCTCTACAATAAAGGTGCAAAAGCCCCCCAAAATCTTTTTTCTTTTTAAATCAGTATTTTACGTATAGTTTACACATATATTTTCAATACATTTTTTGATGTAGTTAACATATAATGTGACTGCTGTCTTGTGTTTTTTTGCACATCACATTGCATTGCATCCTGTGGTTTTATACTCTTTTTAAGAATGAATGTTTTATTTGTCTTAAATCATTGATTTTTATAGGTTTGATTCAGCGAGTGTCATTTGAATTTAGTTGTATTGTAGTCTCACATCAGTCAAATGGCAATACGGCTTTTTATCAGTGTTCATATCATAACAAATATATTATAAATAATATTAAATATCATGAAACAGAAAAAGGTACCTGTGGGTCCTCAGGCGTAAACACCGAAGGAAGGAGAGTCATAATCACTCTGACTGCTCCGGGATGAAGGATAGTGTGATCGCAGGTTAACCTACTGAAAAACATAAAAAGAAAACATGGGTTGATAATTACAAGACAACATGTAGCTCCGATTTATGAGTAAATGATAGATGTGAATGTAGCAGGATTCATCTTTATTATCAGGCCTTCCACCACCTAAAAAAATAGTTAGAAATATCTACCTGTACTGGGACTCTGTGCAGACTGTGGAAATACTGGGTGCAGTGGATCTGGATCTTCCCGGTGTGTCCTCCTTGGATCCTAAGTGGACCGGAGGGGACCCTGAGTGCACCCCTTCAGGTCCGGCTGGTGAATTTAATGTGTCTTTATCTCCATCACATCCATCCTCAGTTTGTAGTCCCAAGTATAACTCCCGAGGAGAGTATGTCCCGGTGGCGAACTGGTCGAGGTAGGACAGCAGCTTTACACATGTTCGAAGAGTGAGAGGCAGACCAGGCTGAGGTGTTGTGGAGGGAGAGGAGGGAGAGGAGGGAGAGGAGGGAGAGGAGGGAGCTTCAGGAGCTTCAGGGGCCTCCGATAACTCCACAAACTGGTAGAAGTTTTTGACAGGAGACTGGTTTTCCTCTGCGGCCTTCTCTTCTCCATCAAATGTCTCGTTCTCAGGGCTGTCAGTGTGGAAGCAGCCCAGCTGGAGTAGAGCGTCTGCCAACCTTTCAAAAAAGCCCCCAGTCTCAAAATGGTGAGAATTTACGATGTGAAGATGCACAGCGGAGGCCAGGATGTGGAGAGTGAGGAGAAGGAGGTCCAGCAGAGGTTGATGCCCCAGGGACTTCCACACTTCTCCCTGAGGGGGGTGAGACAGAGCTCCCTCCATGTCGATCACCAGAGACAACAGTCCAGTGAAGCCCCCCGCTCTTCTGAAGGCGTCCCAGCTGTTTGGGTTTTCCAACACCTTCAACACGGACTGAAATACACAGGACGAGTCAGAGAGACAACTTTAACAATGAACCTGGGAATCACATAACAGACATAAACATAATCACAGGCTAAGGCTAATGTGAGACATACACAAAAAAAAATGCCTAAATGTGGTTTCAATTGATGTTTACTTGCAACCCAGTAGAAAATCTATTACATGATTGAAAACAAATGTGTTGCAGCAAAAAGCTTTATGAGTTTTGGATGTCTAAGGTCGCCAGAGTTAGCGAAGACAAAGTGGGGGAACGAGCCAAAAAAGGTTGGGAACCATTGCCTTATAATAATGAAATGTACTTTGATGGACACTAAGCTTTGCTTTAAGTCTCAGGGGTAAAGTCACAAAAGGAATGCATAGTTTTGCATCTGATAAAACCTTTGCTACATCAGAAGAATCAGAATCAGAATCAGTTTGTATTGGCCAAGTGTGTGAGTGAGCACATACAAGGAATTTGACTCCAGTTTGACATGACTCTCATGTAAAGGCAAACTGACATACTACACCTAAAAAGTTAGACAATGGTAGCACAGAACATAATACTCAACTACAAGAAAAACTAAAACCCTGCTACTGTATATGCAGACCTATGGATACAAATAAATGACAACAAGATACCCTTTTATCTGCAAATCATGCATAGAGGGTTAAATGCATCCCAAACTGCCCTCATCTATATAATTGAGCATTATCAAAAATAACCATCACATACAACTTCTAATTTACAATCATCTGCTATTATGCTAACACTTATATCGTTATAATTGTTGCATATGTGTGTATATTTTTTAGATTTCACACTGTGTGCATGTTTGTATGTTCCTTTCTCTGTCTCCGCTTTGGGATCAATAAAGGTTTATCCCATCTTATCTTAATTTGGATCTAAAAAACAGCCTGAAATAATATTAACAGGAGACAAATAGTTGCAGAGCTGTCCGTGGAGAAAGCTCTCAGCTCCTCTTCAAATCAGGCCCAAAACAAGCGAACTGCACTGAGCTGCAAAACGCCACAAGTGTGTTTTCCCTGGAATACCATGAGCTCAATATCCTTTATGAATCAGACCTAAAGACGGGGAGGATAGCTGCCGCACATGATGCACAATGCACTGAGCTGCAAAACGCCACAAGTGTGTTTTCCCTGGAATACCATGAGCTCAATATCCTTTATGAATCAGACCTAAAGACGGGGAGGATAGCTGCCGCACATGATGCACAATTCACGTTGCTATCAGCGTCCTCATCCTCAGCCTTTATAAGCATCTCTGTAGTCAATTAAAACAATGTCATGAAAAATAGATGAAGCATACAGATATCTCATAAATCATTTTTGGTAACTAGTTTTTGGAGGTGAACAAAATCACATTAGCTTTATTCAATTTAGAGAGCTAATCCATCAGGTAGGTAATGTGTGAGGGAAATGTGATTAACTGAAACTGGAGTAATCACAATGGCTCTTAACACTTGCCAACCCAGGTCGCACCCAATCTGATTGCCACCTGCTTTAACCACGTTAGCACAAAGAACACACACACACACACACACACACACACACACTAGCATGCATGAGGACACACACAAACACAAGCTCATACATGCATGCATGCACAAACAAGCATAGCACAGTCACACACCATGAATACACACAATAACTGCAAGTAAGAGCTCTTCTTGCTGCCATCTATAAAAACGGACACATACAGCGGGGTGTGTAACTCGGTTAAGCTTAATCACATCTCTGTCCCATTCACTGATCTGATAGAGGTGGTAATCTTCAGCGTGCCACCGCACAAGGCTGCCGACCTAATCGAATTGCCCCAGAGTTAACAGCTAAACCTGTTTTAGCAAATCAATCTGCATTTGTCTGTAATATAATCAGGGTCTTGCATGCTTAGAAAATAAATTCACTGGTTTATATATTTGAAGTGCATCACAATGCGTTGTGGTTTGATGTACAGTCGATGCAAAGTGAAGACTATGTTTAGAGTAAGAAACTGTGATCACCTGCAAAAGGTCCCGCTTCAACCCAAGTTCCTGCTGTGTAGAGGAGCAGAGTGCTCCTACGGCTGTACTCATGAACTCCTCGGGGTTAATCTCAGCGAGCTGCTCCAAAATACTCAGCGTGGGCCCTCGATACTGAGCCTCGTCCAGGAAGATCTTTATGTAGGGCACCATACCAAGGTCTCGCACTGAAACTGGAAAACACATGCAGGAGTAGAGTTGCAAGTTTTCTCACCAAAAGAAGAATAACAGAAAAGCAAAATGATTGCAGATTGCAAAACAGCGAAAAATACAAAGATGGGCATCTATAGAGGTGAACACGTACCTGTGTTTTTGATCGAACGCAAAGTAAGCGTTGACACAACTGAAGCATACAGGCTGTGAGCAGTTTTTCCGTGTCTTCCACAGAAGGCAGCTGCTGAGGGTCTGAAGAGAGCAAAAACTTTAGATGAAAGTTTAAAATTGAACATAAAAAAAAAACTCACGCATGTCCACTTCAACTTGGTTCACTGAATAATGATCTTTGTAGTTTTTCAATCATTGTAACATGTGATTTGAGAGAAAATGGTGGTTCCTACTTATTTGAGAGGTAGAAACAACTCCAGCCTTCCTGATGATTTTAGCTCTCCTTCGAAGTTCCCCGAGCAGCAGCTCCAGCAGGCCCCGGTCACTTAGCACCTCAGCTAGCATACCACTGTGCACTGTCAGCCTACAGAGCAGAGGAGATGGAGCTTCATCCTGTCTAACTTCCATTATGTTTTTAATGATCAGACAAACCAAATTGTTGAACAACCATTTGGAGAGGGTTACGTTTATGGATTTGCCAAACTCAAAGAAGGACTGGACCAAATTTAAACCAATACTCCTCTTTCTGACAGCCACGGTAGGAATCCAGTTTGGGCCCTTGATCATTTATGATTTTCAGTCCAGATTTATTGGCAATGTGAGGGTTATACAGCTCAAATCTTTAACCTCCAAAACATGTCACACACTCATCAGTTCCTCCCAATAACTTCACGTTCAGAACAGGAAAGCCTTCCTCTTTTTTTCATTCATTCATCTCTGTTTCCGTTACATCTGCTTCCCTGTGAGACCACGTGAGATCAAACAAATTCAAATAAAGTTTACGATACTTTCACTTTATCCTGTAGTAAGTGATGAAACTCTATTTTCATATCCTCTATTTTCATATCCTCGACTGTCTGAATGATGGAGATTAAAGAGAAAACATCTCCATCTCTACACTTTGTACATCATCCAAACTGATTTTTTAATCATTTAGAATAAAACTGCTACGTCAGATTTTGGGTTCAAATGTTTAAAGTAGGATTATCACACACAGTTCTGAGGAAAATGTTCAAAACAAGCACTGCTTACCGGTGAAAACATGTGAGAGCCGCCACTCCGAACTCCAGCCCTTCCACTCCTCCAGCCAGCGTCCCGGCCCAGCTCTGCTTCAGCACAACAAGAAGAGCCCACAAGGTCTCATGGGGGATGTAGTTCAACTTAAATACCACCTGTAGGAAACCGAGTAAGCAGAATTCATGTGGTAATCGTGCAAAAATAAAAAAAAATGCACATGAACGTTGCTGTCGGCATGAGCAGTCGTACCATCTCAAGAAGTGAAAAGAACAGTTTTTGGACGGCCGCTGGTTTACGCCACAGACAGGCAGCCAGCTGAGCCATCGACTGAACCGTCCACTCCAGAAGGAAGAAATTGGCGGTGTCTCTCTCCCATATCGTTTGCACGGTTCGAAGAAGCTGGCAGCACAGCAGGGAATCCTCACAGCGCAGCAAGGGGGCCTGCAGCAGGTGGAAGGCCTGCAGGTTCTTTACTGCTGAACCTGAAGACAAAAAGTCCAACAGGAGATGAAGAATCACAAAAAGAGTCAACACACTAAAGGAGGTTTCAGTACGTTAATGCAAGATAAAATAACTGTATAAGATATATGTGATCAGATATAGTCTTTATGTAGGTTTGTTTTTCTAACTTTTTAAATGGCGAGATGATGTATTCCTCTGATAAACTAAGCCCCTGAGGTCGATTTATCCAAAAGATGTTTTGAATAGAAATCTCAATTTGTCACATTTCGCTCTTGCAAGGTCAGAGTCAGTTCTTAAGAAAAATGAAAAACAAGCAAATAACAAACAGCCTTTAATGCGGAACACACATTGGATCTCATGAAGCCAATTGAGTTTATTCATACATAGACAGATTGAAAGCAAACAACCTAACGTGCACGATGACAATAATATCGAAGCATAATCTGCCTTGATAGAGTTTGCTCTCTTCTTTGTCTAAATATTTAGAGACGGTCTTAGTTTTGGGAGCCAAAACACACTTGCGTTTGTTGTGAATAAATACATACCTGGTTAGTAATAGGATTCATTTTCACACTTAGTCTAAATTGCATCAGAACCAAATAAGATCAGCGCAGAAAAAGTCCCCCAGTGCCTCTGCTGGACAGAGATCTACTCCTTGATGTGATGGATGGGTGCTGAATATGTGTGCCGTTGTCTCTGTTTGGCTAGGGATGCGTGTGTTTATTATGGACACTCTATTTATGAGTGTTGGATGGAGGTGTGTGTGCACATCTATGATAGATGGCTGGTTGCTGCAGGCCAGTGGTGAATGGATGTGGGGCATCCTAACAGAGTTAGACTGGAAGCCTCCACTTCATCATCCCAGACATAATCACCTCAGTTTCCTGTTAACCTGAGGGGTGGCGTGCTTTGCAGTGGGGATAGCGGTGGGGGAATTGCAAGTCAGGGAAGTGTGGGAAATTAAGGAAAAGGGAGTGGTGCAGTGTGGGTGGGTTATGTGGGGGCCAAAGTGCAAAGGAGGGATGAACTGTGTGGTCCAAAAGGGGGCCCGTTCCCCTCCTTACACTTGACTTGGTGATGCTTTGGAGTACTGTTTTTTTATAAGTTTGACGCCAGTGTTGAGAACAACCCTGAACTATTTAATTAATACCTCAATGTACTAACCCGGAATTTAAAAAAATCACCTTGTTTCAGCAGGAATCAATTCTTTTGTTTGTGCTCCAAAAGAGAGCACTGTTATGTATGACTATTAGAAAGTAAAATAATGGTCTCAGAACATCTCTGTTGGAATGCATATTTAGAGAATATGCGTCAGAGTTTCTCTCAATGATACAATCAACTACTAGAGATAAAAAAAAAAAGGAATGTTATTCAGATTGTTCCCATGCAGAGCTCAGGTTTAAGATGTGACCTACCTTTGGTGAGAGAGGGGTCAAACTTGAAGCCTGGAGGTTGAGGGTTGGTGACACAAAGAGCCACTCTCAGCTCAGTTTTTCCAAAGTGCGTGAAAGAAGCAATGAGCGCCAGCAACTCCTCCACAGGCTGGAACTGATCCACAGAAACTCCTTCCTCACACCTTAGGATGGCAAAACAATCAGAGGCAACACACAGTATATTCAATTCAATGAAAAACACAGAGAAAAACAAAGATTTATTTATTTTGACTCTCAGATTGGACAAATTGCATTTACAGGAACAATTACACTTTTTGAGTTGGCTGCATATTACCATGATGACACTTCAAGCCATTTTCATGAATTTTTATGGAGACAAAGATCAGATTCTTTTCATGTCTTTCCCAGTTATATCTAATTATATTATTTACTTGAGTTGTACTCAATCAAAAGGAGAACATCGAATTTCATTTAATTCTATTTCTTTTCATCTCCTTTCATCTCACCGTTTGAGGATGTTCTCAAGGGCCTTGTATCCGTTGTTGGTGTCAAACTCTATGAAGAGGGCTGGATTAAGGGTGTAGGTGTCTCTGATGAAGCTGAAAACAGCCACAGCCACCTCAGCAAGCAGCGACCCTGAGACATCAGGACTGATGTGCACCAGGTTCTGGATGCAGATACGAACACAATTCTTCCCTAAAAGGAGAAGACAGTGTTACTGACAGTGGCCACACACTTGAAGCTTTCATTTTTTAGAAATGTGTCCGCACACGAGGGAACTTTATCACACTTCTCTCGAGTCATTTTTTTTTTTTTTGCATCACCCATGTTTATCCATAGAATTAAAGATGTTATGGCAAAGAGCTTCAGAGTCATGTGAGCACACAAAAATGCTGAAAGATTGATCATTTCTTAATCTCCCAAAGAAATCAAAGTTAACTTTTCCGTACCAGAAAATTGGGGGGAAAAAAATAATTGCTGATGGGAGGCATCATGTGAAACATACTTGCACACAACTCTGCTCAGGATGTGTGGTCATGTGTCTCTGTATAATCAAATCATAGCTGGGACAAAAATATCTGTCTTCACCAGAAAAACATTACTAGATTAAATCAAAATATTCACTTTATATGCAGGAAGAATCCCAAATAGTTTTCCTTCAGCATTATATCATATCATAACTAGTGAACGAAGAAGAGCAGACAAATTAGTTTCGAGTGGCCTCACCCTGCAAGCATGGGACAGTGTTGCTCGTTGCTACAGCAGAGACTGCCTTGAGGACACGGGAGGCCTGACGCCTCCAGTCCGCGCTGGTCTGATCCCATAGCGATGTGAGGCCGATGATGAGACACTGCAGCTCCTGAGATTCCACCAGTCTCTCCACGTTTACAGGCTGCCTACAAAGCTGGAGCAGAACCTGGAAAAGGGCGATGATTCAAAGCAAAGTCCACAAAAAAATGAAAAAAATAAAGAACAGAAGCAGCACTGAGGACATGCACATAGAGCTTTGGATATCTGACCTGTGTGAGAGGCTCCTGAAAGGTCTCTTCTATGGCGAGGTTCTCCTTCACAGAGGGAAGACATACTAACAGGTACAGGCATTTCACCAAAGCAGCAGGGAGCCCTGGGTTTATACAGGACAGTATTTCCTGCAAACACACACACAGACAAACACACAAACACCAAAGCAAGTACATTAACATTTTCCTTTAAAAAAAAAAAGAGATCCATCCAATGCCATTCATATAAACATGTGAAATTTCAATTTAATGTAAAAGATCATTAGATTATCAACATTAACCAAATGAAAGAAGGGGATCCTGATTTAAGTATTGTTTCACTTTAAAAACGTGTTCATCACTCACTGAGCTGTCAGCTGTCAGCAGCAGCAGAGACTTTAACAGCAGCCATCCCTGATTATCTTTTGCCTCACAGTTTGTGTCCTGAGTGTCCTGCCTCTGGAAGAACTGCACCACCTCACCCCGAGCTCCCTCTGAAAACAAACAGAGAGAATAATCAACATGAGCTGAACAACGACCCTTAAGAGTAAAGGTCTGAAACGAGCAGAAAAAACACAAGTCAGCAAGACTGTCGACATATCAAGTCAGACTCAATATTTGAGTCAAGCTTAACAAAGTGAATGTAGAATGCCACATGCAAATCTAAATGGCATTTGAGGGGTTACATGTTTTGAGAAAAGTTTCACTTCTATTTTTTTAAGCAGGAATTTGCATTTTCTAACAAGGGAAGTGTACTTTTTTTTTTTTTTTAGTTCCTGTAAAATCGTTTTAACATTTGCACCTAAAAAAGACGAGCCGAGCTGCAAGGTGTGAAAGAAAAATCCCACCTTCGTTGGGTGAAAATGAGAACAAGTATAATTAAGGTACTTTATGCATCATGTTAGAACCTTTTAAAAACATTAAACCTTTCAATAGCTGCATTGAAAAGCAGAAGTGTATAGTTCTCTACAAGTTAAAAAAAATAAGCTTTTTTCCTTTCTGGCAGAACAAGAAACATGTTTCATCATATCGAGATAAATATTTAAACACTTCTTTAACACAAGTTATTTAAACTTAGTTATAAAACATTATTGTTATAAACTCAATCTGTTTTGGAGTAACAGAACTGATATTACAAATAAGAGGAAAACCCCTGCTGGTTAACCACAGCAAACTGAAAGTCCCTTTACCTGACAGGCGGGGGGGGGGGGGGTGTCATTACCTGCAGGCCTTCCTGTTACTCTGCTGTGGATGTTCTGGATAACAGTGTCTGCAGTCAGACCAGCGAGCCCCTTTATGTTCAGACCATCAAGTCTGCCTCCCTCCTCACAGACCTGGAATCAGACGAGAGAATCCATCATACAAAGATACTGGAGAGCTAATAAAACAGCATAAAGCTTTTATTCATTTATTGGCAGAATGAGACCGGGGGTTATGTTCTTAGTGCTCTAATGCAAACTCCACTTTTAAGTGGAATTTTTAATGTGTCCAAAACTCCAATTTGAACATAGAAGTCTTTGTATGAAATGACATGTTGAGCTGACATTGAGTGGATTCAGATCAACCACAGCTGGTGTTTTATGAGATACAATAAAATATTTGTGACCATAGTATACAGGGGATCCCAGCTGCCCTTGTTACTGCACTGCATTATAAATAATAAAAGACATACAACTATATATACAATAAAGTGCATACAACTGTATATATGCTCATTTAAGGTCCATAAGAGGATCTCCTATTTCACTGAGTTTGCTGTTCTTAAGTGAGGCCCTACAAGCTGGTAAAATCTCAGGTCATGAGGCTAATGCATTCACCCACACACAGAGCAAAAACATAAACCAGAGAGTGCCTGCGTGTGTAGCTGTAAGCCCGATCAATAGCGTTGCATGCACAAACACGCAAATCAGTGACGGAATTAACACAATTCAGGCACAGAGTTTTTAGAAATTCCTCATAGTCCAATTAATCAAAGCAAAGCCTGAAGCTGCGGATGTGACTGCTTCACCTGCTTCATGTGAAAGTTGTGTTTTGATTTAATGAGAGACCGCATAGTACAAGTGATAAGATCAGCTGAGAGGGAGACATCTGACTGCCGCCAAAAAAAGTGTCCTCGGGCACCCATTTAACCTTTTTACAGTTTGGTATTCATATGAACTGAGGCTCCACGATAACTGATCTGTTCAGAGCATTTTTCACACATGCACTCTTGGAGATTTCTAGAACATTTCAGGACAGAGAGCCTGTGATGTCTACCCGAGGTGCCTGTTCACATGTGCACCTCACAGCAGGAGAATAGAAGGGGGGGGGGGGGGGTCCTCAGGAGGCAGGAGTTGCTGTAAAAAGGATGAAGCAGCAGAGTCCGATCCTAGAGATGACAGTTTTTGCCTGTTTGGGTTTTGGAGGCTACATGTCACTGGATGTCACAGTATGGAATGAGAGGTACAGAACATACATGCAAACAGAAAAGAGTCAGAAGCAGCTTCACCTCACTCAAGAAGACTGCACTGGTCGCTCACTAGTCGTGTGATATAAACGCATATTACAGAGTTGCGGTCTTCCATCGGCTCACTTGGGATTTTACTAGGGGGGCTGGCGGAAAAACTCAGAGTAATATCGGGGCGGAAAAATTGCAAGTTTGCATTCCCAAAAATGTCTATTTGATGAGTTTTGTTTACAGTACATGTAAAAAAAAAAAACACAAAATGATTCTCCAGTTGATTGTCTCAATTTGTTCAAGGTATAATGTGCAACGATTAAACATTAATAAAGCAGATATCAAACATATCGGTGTGTAATGCCTGCTTAAAAAAACAGCGGGGGAAAAACAAGCCCAAACTCCCTCTGGGCTTGTTGTTCTCAGCTTTGTGTTCATATGGACCGGAAAGGCTTCTCATTTCAGCTTGTGTATGTTACAAGATTTAAATATGTTCTAATCTGGAGAACCCCTCCCTGACCATCTGTTACTCCTGCCACCACCTAGAGATGCAGCCCCACCCACTCATGGATGCTGTTAGTTGAGTTATAATGGCAGGCTTTCCTCGCAAGAGTACGATTACAACATACTTTTGGTATAAAAGACTTCAAAGAAATAAGGACTTAATCAACTTTGGGTGGCATGTCGAAATGCAGATCAGTCGTAGAAATGGCTGCACTCGGCCTTAACACTAATGGAGGAGGGGGGAGGGGGGAGGGGGAGGGGGAGGGGACGCTGTGATCTGAAGGGACAGCTTGTATTGGTTTGACAGACGGGTGTGAAAGTGCAACACCTACTTGGCATCTACTCCTGAAAAACACATACTCTACCTCTAACAAATAGAAGGTTGACATCTTCTAGAATTGAAAAAGTAATAACCCACTTGACAGCTGATTTTTTTTTGGGGGGGTGGGGGGGGATCTAACATTGACACCATGGTCCTCCATACCTGTATGTAAAGAGGAAGGACCTTGATGAGATGCTCCTCTCTCTGCTCTGAAGCAACATGGTCCGCTCTGAGGTCCGGGCTCGAGCACGTGTGAATCCCCAGCTCCTGCAGCTGTTCTCTCAGCACTTGTGGGAGATGAGGGTCGCTGCAGGAGCCCTCCACTTTGTCCAACTTCAGCTCCACGGAGACAGATAACTCTCCTGAAGCACTCAGCTCGCCAGTTTCCTTGTTGATCCTCTCCTTTTTAGCAGTCTGGTGCTTGAGGGGAAAGACAAAAATAGAGGAGTCTTATTCAACCTTTTATTTTTGAACACCCTAAGTTAACATGATTTCCAAAGTAACTTCATGTTTCCATTTAATGTCTCACTTCCCCAGCTCATGTTGTTTTAAATAAAAGCTTCCTTATCCTTCAAGCAGAGTGTCTGCATCCAAAATCCCCACACAGAAGAGCAGACTGACAGAAGTCATGTGCCTCATATTGTGTTATCCTAAAGCAGTCAGGGATCGGCATGGTGTAAGTGATAACCAATTATCAGTAATTGGAAGCATATAATTACCAAAAGGTCAAACCTCTACATGCTTTAAAGCTTCTCAATGTTTACCATGGGCATTTTCTTGTGTCTGCTGCTTCATCCTGACTTATCCCTAAACAAGAGAAGACTTTATAACACTGTTAACCTGAGCGTTTAAGAATCCATTTTAACAATCAAGTTATTACCCTCCAGCAAACTCTAAGGATCGGAGTTCTTCCCTCTCTTCCAGAGTTTAGGAATTTGATGTCTAGCCACTTTAATGGGATCTCAGTGCTTTTTGTCACTGATTCTGAGTGTTTGTTGTTGTTTTTGCTTGTTTTACTGTGCTTGTTATCTCGACGGCATCGTAAATGGGGGAACCTTTAGCGTCCTTTCGAGAATAAATAAAGGTTTGAAATGAAATCTCTTCCCAGGTAAACATTACCCCCCCGAGTACTTTAATGATTTTCTTTTAGAGATTGAAAGTTTTAGACAGAAAACCAGGGGTAAAATCGTCTTTGTTCCCAAGGCCCCTTTTCTCAGGAATAACCTGTAAGATAAAATAAGGTACGCCGCCTCGTCTTTGCCCTCTTTTTAAACAAACTATTTGAGATGCACTTTTACTTGATGCTGCGCAAAATCTATTCAATCATATTCATCAAACCCCTTGTCGTATACTTCTCTTTAGCCTTCATTACCAGGGTGTTCTTCTTTAAATCCCTCTATTTTGTCGGCTCATTTTCATCTGTTTTCCCATGTGAAGCACTTTCTAGCCGTGTTTTGAAAGCTGGCTTATAAATAAAATGTATGATTCCCTTGATATTGGCGTCTTTTTTATTTGTTTTTCTGTTTTAAAATCTAATTTAGGAGTCGTTTTATAGTTCTATCCGAGTCTCTCTTACCTTTTTTAAATTACTTTTTGTATTATAAAGAGCACTGTTATATGCTTTGATATGAAAAGGAGCCATATAAATAATCCTGCCTTGCCTTTGTTGTTTCTGGCCTTTTCTCAAAAGTGATATGAAGTCACCAGCAGGTGCAGCAGTTTGGGAATATTTCCGAATCAGAATCAGAATCTGAAATACTTTATTAATCCCCATGGGGTAACACTTCTTTGTTTACAGCATCTTAAAAGTTATTGGGCAATTTGGGATGCAAGACAGCAAAAATCTTAACTTTTTGTTCAACATCAAACAGCTGCAACAATAGCAAAAACCCCATAGGATCTTCTGTCCTGATCAATGTGTCCCTTTATATTGATCATGTGCGATTATTCCTCTACAGCTTGAAGTCCTGAAGGAGGCTGCTTGAAGAAATGCCAAACACTTCTCCAAAACAAACAGCAGATGCATTAGTACTGTATGTATGAAGCTCTTTATGAACGTTGAGTCCTCATTAAATTCATATTATTCAGGTAGTTTCTGTTCAGAGACTTACACTCATGATGAACAATGAGGGAAACTGGCAGCGACTGACTGCTTCAGCGAGAGGCCAAAGCCAATAGAATCACTTGTAATGTTGAGTAACGGGAAAAGCGGTTCACATTCCATAGAAATTCAACAATACTTTGAAGTTTCCTCATGTGAGACTGTTCTGTGTGCAGTAAGTGTGTGTGACAGAACGACAGAGGGGGAAAAAAGCGCACAGGGACTCTTAAGATATTTCTCAATTTTTAAATAGAAAAGCAAATCAAACCTACAAGTGCATTAACTATGATAAACATTTAGACATGACAAAAGTACAGTAGAACATGCATAGATGTGTGTGGGTACTTCAGTCATATTGTATTCTTACCTGTCCTTGTGTTAGAGCCATCTGGGAGTTTCCAGGCTCCAAGAGGACGCTGTCATCTGTGCTGTGTGATCCCTACCGAGTGAGCGGTCTGTCCCATGTCAAGCTGAAAGACAAGCACAGGCCTGCTAAGACATGACTAGCGCCTACAATGTGGACCCTTCTGTACAACCGGCTGCCCCTTACTAATCTGCACCAAGTAGACTGAACTTTGAACAAGCAGAGCGACTCACATCAGCTGGCTCAGGTCATGTGCCTCCTTACTTCCTCAGAGAAACAGAAGTGAAAAGCTCTCGCTTAGCTGGTTTGATGGGGCCCTCCCACTACTGCTCAGAGAAGAGTCCCTCAGCTTTTTATAGACATGTCATGTAACTCTGGATATGAATCACAGCGGCAGGATGATCCCATGATTCACCCAAACACGACTTGTAATCACAGGTTTGTGTGGACAAATGGAAGCATTTGACTTACAGGTGATACAGTGTTGGTTCAACAAATGGCACTTTGTGACTTAAAGTGGAAAAAGAGGTTTAGCCTACTTCACAGTGTTTTAAAGGTTAAGTAGGCGACAAAACCATTATCAGTATGAGAAAACATCCATTCATTTTTACATAGCCTAATGAAGCTATTTTTTTCAACATATGGTTGTAGTGTTTCGGCTTTCACATGATGAATGGGTTAGTGTTTCTTGTTGAGTGTGAATGCAGAGATTGGGAATCTGCTGTTTTGTTTTGTTGACAAAAGGAAAAGTTAAAACCGGCGCTAATAGAAATCAGATAAATAGCGCCCTCTTGTGGCTTTTATTGAAAGTGACAACGGAAGGAGAGTAGACTCGTATTGAGTATTGAAAGGGGGAAAAAAACTGGGAAATGCACCTTTAGTTTTCTGACATTTTGCATGTGTCACCAATGGTATTAAAAAAAAAAAAGTCAGTCGTTGTCTAGTTGTGGTTTTCCTTGGTTTGGGATATTTTTTAGCATTGCATTTTTATATTGAGAACATGTGATTGAATTAGACCTTTAAATAAAACATTAAGTACGAAAAAAATAAAATAAGTCTGTGGGTATTTATCATAGGTATTAATCCCCCATATGAAAGAGAAATTAGACTTACTTACTACATACCCTCTGTTTCCTGGACGACTGGGGGTCGGTGAAAACGGAGCCCACTCTCCCGGTGTAGTGGTGTAACGAGTGACCCTGTTAACGTGAGACTTTCAGCAAGAGTGTGGTTGTCGCAGTGACATCGGCTTAAGAGGTTGAGCTTTCTTGAGTATTATTTTTTTTAATCTGATGAGTATATTTTTGACATTACAACTCTAAACTGAGAGGGGCATGCAGTTAATTATACTATTTCCGTTTCCAACAGCTGCTGTAACTGCGACAACCACAGACAGACGCGTTCGGCTGAAAGACACCAGATAACACGGTCGCCCGTAAAACCGAAACACCGGGCACCCACGAGCTTCGCGTTTCTTTTTAACCCTTTGTTTGCTAACACGCAGGTCGTAGGCCTATCATTTCACGTTCTTTAAAGACATGCGTCGCAAACATTAAATAGCCAAACATTACAGCTCAGTCACACTCTATAACCGCCTCTATTTGTGAGTATTACTCAATACAGTAATTCTGCATAGCCACATGTTTTTTTCCCTTGGTTTACAGTCATATACTTAATTATTTAAAGCTAATACTTAAAATAATATTCCCTGCAAAACGACTGCCTCTTAACTTAATTTCAAAAACACCCATGCTCAAGATGACACAGTATTAATTCAGTGTAGAGGTATTACCTTATTTACAGGGAGGCACGTTTTGTTGACGCGCTGACGTCACCGTTCATATGATCCACTCGAACCAATGAGACGTCCAGCAGGGCGTGATCTGCCTCAATCAGTTTTAGCACAATGTAACGTCCCCGCACCTCGTTACTTTTCAGCGAAATATGATCTCCCTCCTCACTTTGCATTAATGATGTTGTAGCGGTTCGTCCGGGGGAAGCTGATTGTTTTGTTTCCGTTTTTCAATTTCGGTCGTCGGAAATAACAGCGGGTTGCAGATCCGACTCTGTGCAGCCCGTCACAATGCACCCGATGCCTGTGTGCTCCGTTAGCTGTGGAGACATATTTGACTGTATACAGAGGGGAAATATTGAACAGTGTATCTACTTCGTTCAAAATGACAGATCAGTCCTCAAACAAAAAGGTAAGGCAGAAAAAGATGAAGTAAAAATGAATCACATGTTGAAATTTATGCATTCAACTGCGGGTTGTTCCTATTGCTGTGTTGATGTCAACATACCAGTTTGACCTGTCAATGTAAGTATTATTTCCTGATTTGCTGTCACATTAACAAACCTTAGACTTTAATGCAGCAGCCTGTTATGGGTCTAACTGGGTCATATTTCCTGCACATTTTGTCTTTGTGATCTGATTCACACCATCAGGGTAAGTTTTAAAGTAAAGATGTAATAACAAGTAGGCTATACTTTTCTTTATACTTTTGTGCTTCAGTATCTCCTGATTTGATTTTGTCACTGAGCCAAAGAGAAACCTAACCCTGCAGCTCCTCTGTGAGATGGCCTGGCACAGATCTGACTAGACAGATCCTGTGACAACACGTAGCAAAGTGAAATTGGGCCAAAAGGAACCCAAAACCTACGTCCAGAGGGTTTTAAAGCTCACCAGGCTGGAAGACTGTGCATTTACCTGAGGTTTAAACAGACACGCGCTTATCAGTTTGAAGGCCTGCAGCTACACATCTGACTGTGATGTGTTTGTCTTCCTCCAGGTTGGGGTGGTTTCAGCCCTCTCCACTACGCTGCCCTCCATGGTAACCGCGCCCTGGTTGACTTTTTCCTCACTTTCGGAGCTGACCCTAACCTGAGATGCGATGCAGGACAGACTGCCTTTCATTTCGCCTGCAGGTGAGCAGTAGTAGCACATTGGAGTCTCTGGTGTTAAACCAACATGCTTCTTGTCTTGATGAGGGGGTTATGCTTTTGTACTTTTGTCTCCTACAGGCAAGGGAACATCTACATCATACACCAGATGATGCAGTACGGAGCTGATTTGCGCCTCATAGATCTGCAGGGGAAAACGTCACTTCATCATGCAGTCACCGGGGGAAGCATGTGAGCGGAGGGCAGATTTAAAAAAAACAATTCTATTCGTTTTGTCTTCCCACTACACGGTATTTAAATTATTTTTAAATGCACTAACTGTTGGTCGTGTTTCCTAGTGTTGCAGTGCACTATCTGTGGGAGACAGGAATGTTCCGGTTCTCAGACACAGACAAGTACCGGGTGACCCCTCTTCACCTGGCTGCTTCCACTGGAAACACAGAGATGGTTCGGTATTTGCTCAAAAACCAGGTACGATGTCGTCGTGCATCACATGCTCTAACTGACTTGACAGTAAAATGAACGGTAAAGTCCCCATGAGATAAAAAATGCATTTGCCCGACTTTAAACATACTTTTGGGGCCTTTTTGCCTTTATTTGATAGGACAGCTGATGAGAGACAGGAAATGTTGGGAGGAGGGAGTTGGGGTTGACATGCAGTAAAGGGCCGCTGCGACGAGGAGTTTAGACATACACGGGGTTCTGCGCGACATAACCACTAGGCCATCGGCGCACCTCAATTTAGGATAGGATAGGATAATACTTGCGTTGCAGCAGCACAGACAAGTAAGCTCAAAATACACATTAAACAGAAAAGATAAGATAAATAAAAATAAGCGGCATATACAAGTACAAAATGAATGATGAATTTGAATCCAGCATTCCTGTGTTAAATGTTTATTTAGCTGCCATGCCAAATATAATACCGTAAAACATGATCTGAGTATCTTCACATCAAAATAACTGTATTTTCTCTTCATGTAAAAACGTTTCAAATGTCTGATGACTCATCCTGCACTCAGGGGCATTACTAACTTTTGACCAATTACAAAGCTTCGTCCAAGGTCATGTCCTGCCTTCTGTCTTGTGATGGGATCTGTACCGTTTCAGGACGAAATGCATCACGACAGGACGGTTAGATACTTTGAAGTTCTGTCTCATGAGGACTTTAACTTTCATGGCTCCATTAAAAAATGTTTTCAAGCTGTTGCTGAAACGCTCTCCGAGAACCAACGTGCAATAATGCAGCGAGACTTTTCTCAACTCTCTGCTGTTTTTTTGTTCTTTTTTTAGTTCACCAGCCCACACATTTACTGTATGGTATGTTCAAGTCTCGCTCTCATTAAGCAGTGATTTAACACTGTAGGCAAAATATGGGGCGAATAACAGAGATGATGTAAGTACTTGTGAAATGTTAAAAAAGCTGCTTCAAATCTCTTAAGATTCAACTGGCCAGTGAAAAGTATTAAACCTTCAGGAACCCACATCCACAGTAAGCTTCTAGCTATGTTATTTGATGATCTTGTTTGCATAATATCAACTCTCTTAAAGTATTAAAATCTAAATACCCAGATCATCTCAGGGCGTCGGTTACCAAAACCGGAGATAAAAGTCAGTTAGTTCAGTATTGGAACTACAATTCTACAATTCACTTAGCAGACACTTTTATCCAAAGTGACGTACATCAGAGAGTAAGTACAACACAAGCATGGATCTAGAAAAAAGGGAACAATGTCTAAAGGAACTAAAGTTTCTTTGTGTTTTAAAACACAAGTGTGTGGTATACGATTGTTACTTGAGGTTTAAAGGGGAAAGTTATTCCTGGCACCTTAAATATACTGTGATGAGTTTTTTTTTAGCTTGTTATGAAACAATTCCAATTTAATACAGATGTCTCTGTTTGACCCACAAAAGCAAAAGAGAAGATGAACTGATGATAAATAGTTATTATCACGGCTGCCAATGTTTCAGATTCTAACAATCAAGCAACATTTAAATTTAGTAAACCAAAAAAAGAGTCTTTCATTACGTTTTCACCTGTAATGCTTCAAAGTTGTACGTTAACCAGTTAAGAAGAAGATTTACTTTATTAATGCGGCGAGGGGAAATTCAGTTTTACACTGTTGTTGAACATGCTACACACAAATAAGGCTGAATTACACACACATGTACAAACAGGATCCTATTGACACGTACTAATGGAGAAATGTCAGAGTGAGGGGGCTGCACACAGCGAGCAGCGGGTGCCTTGCTCAGGGGTTCTTCGGCAGGGCTCAGGAAGTGAATTGGCACCTCTACAGCTACCGGGCCAATTTCCCACCTTGGTCCGCTCCGGGACTTGAGCCAGCGACCCTCCTGTTCCTTACACAAGTCCCTACAGATGGAGCTACTGCCGCCCCACAATTAATAGTTAACAGAGAGATATTTTTGTTGGAGAACACTACTAACACATGTACAGAACAGTACCAGCTGCTTTAACGCTCTGCCTGCCAAAATCGAGAAAAAAATGAAGGGAGCCGCTCCATCAGAACTTTATAAACTCAACCTTTATGTGCCTCTTCTATCGTACATTTTATCGTCCTCTATCCTCATGGTGGTTAAGTGCTCAGTGTATCATGAAATAAATTGAAACTAGGTTTTGAAGTATGCCAAATGGCATTTTACGCAAGCGGCTTCATCGAGTGCAGTCCTTCAAGCTGCACTGCCGGCCTTCTTAGTGTTCATTCAACTCTATCGTCATATTTGTCGCTGTTTTTGGTGATTTTAATTTGTACTCTGAATTTAACCAATACATTTAATTTAATTAGGGTAGTTAACATAATAAGGTTCAACCCCAATCAGATATTATCGAAGATATGACTAGAAAAAAGAATGAATCTATTAACATCAATGTCAGCAGGAGTTCCTTAAACCCAATATATCAAAAAGATATTTTTATCAAATGTGTGTGAGAGTCAGCTGAATCTGTAGATACCTGAAACAGGACAAGTATATGACACTAGGTTAGGTATCGCTAAGCATGTCAACCCTCCCTTTGGTGTTTCAGAGATGTTCTGTGGATGCAGTTGACCAGCAGGGGGGGACAGCGCTTCATGTAGCTGCAGAGCGGGGAGGAGTGGAGGTGTGCTGGACGCTGCTGCAGAGGACAGGCTGCAGGATGCTCTACGAGAAGAACCACAGCGGCCTCACGCCACTGGAGCTCAGCAAACAGGGGAAAACATTCAGGTGAATGTGCTGTGTCCAGAAATCTGTGCAAAAAAACACAGACTAGCAGGCCGCTGCATGGGGATAGAAACACCCCCGAGTACCTTTTAGATATCCAGTATGTTTGCATTTCAAGATCATTTCCCTCTCCTGGGATTCTAATGCTCATTATCACATTGCTTTACTGTGTATTTTTCTCCAGACATCAGCAACTCACCAAGCTACTGAGTCGGTACATTAATGAGCCAATACACCACAGGCCCACCGAGTCTCATGGTAAATATTTATTTGTGATTCTTCCATTATCCATGCAGCGTTGTTTGTTCGTGTATTCGTGGAGTTTTTCACCCGTCTGTGTATGTTTTCTCACCAGTTTTGTATTATTGGACACTGTTCTTTCCATCCCTGGGTGGAGCTTCCATCCTGCTGATAGCGGCCATGTTGGGTGGTTATGGGGGGTTAATCTGTGGGTTGCTCTTCCCCTGGTTAGCCCGGAGCATTTTCACACAGTACCACCGTATGACCACGTACCAAAGGTTTGACACACACATTTTTTTTTCTTACACGTGATGCGTTATTAGTCAAAAATATTCAGCTCTGCACTGAGTTATCATTGCTCATTCTTCCAGGTTACCCAACCCGATCTACTTGGGGACCCTCATAGCTGGCTTGTTCCATTCCCTTCTCTGCTTCTATGGGAAAATAATGCCGAATATCCTTCAATGTTAAACAAGTGTACTCTTTTTTTTCTTATATATATACAGTATATTCTATTTTTTTGGCTTGCTAAGTGGGTTGACATAAAGATAACTCTTTCTATTGCCCTGACTAAAGCCATTTTCACATCATTCACTCCTGAAAATGTGTAAGAAGATCTCACGCAGGCTGCCCTTGAAATCTTCCTGACCTGCTTGTTCACACATGCACCTCACAGCGTGGAGGTCGGATGGGAGTGGGGGTCTGTCTTAGGAGGTGAGATAGGATATCTCATCGTTTGCAAAACTGACAAAAAAAATGTAAATACACAATAGTTCTGTTAAATTATTGGAAGAAAACGTACAGAAATGTCCGATAAATAGATTCAAACCTGGAACAAGTGAATAAGGGGACTTAAGCCTGGTCATATTTTACTAATTCTTTAATGTCGATTTCATTTTTTCATCTGGAAGTTTTGAACTTGTCAGTGCTCTCCTAGTTACCTTTCTCCTCTAAATATAAGCATTAAGTCAAAACTAAAGAAGGATTCTGTATATTTAAATGACCTGTGTTCATCCTTAACCTTCTGAAACGTGTGTGGCCAACCAGCGCTCTGGTCCAGGTGTCAATGGTCCACTTCTCTCTAGTCCTTGGTTTGCTCTGTAAGGTTCTGACTCAGGACCCGGGGGCTCTGGACAGAGCGGACGCAGATCCTCGGTTCTCCTGCATCGCTGACCTAGTGGAGAACAACCAGAGCCATCACCGGTTCTGTCCGTACTGTGAGGTGAGACATTGAAATGAGCTGTGAGACGTAGTGGTTCAAACAGATCCCGTTTGTGTCTAGTTATTAGTTTTCTATCCGAATATAAACATAATCCTTCTCCTCCTGATTTGAATAATGATGTGAAATTTCATATCATGATGGCTAAGACTCTGCAAGATGACTTTTCTCTCTTGCTGAAGTTAAAAAGATGAAATCAAAAGCAGTTTGAAGCATGAAGAAATATTGGAAGTAAATTGACCTGAAATCCACTGCAATGCAGGCAGGGGAGACTGCACAGCCACTAAGAAAAAGCTGCAATCAGCCAGGCTGTATTCTCCTTCAGAGCGTCACATCAATAGAAATTTGTACCACAATTGATGTATATATTCTGCATGAATTTAAGAACAAGAAATCTCGGAAACCTCGATTGTTTATGATGGAATTGTTTCTCAACTATTTAGCCTCAGGGAGGAAGGGACAAGTTGTTTGTTCTCCCAGTGTAGCAGTCTGATAAGACACTAACTGACAATTGTTTACAGTCTTACTAGAAACTGGGGAAGCGACGATGGAGTTTGTTTTGAAAAGACGACGCCGAAGAGCGCATTGTTAGCTGAACTTGGAGATATCTCATTGTAGCGATCATTTAAAGTTTAATCGTCGATAAGAGTCCTCTGATATGTTTCTGTATTGTATTATGACATTTTACATTTTAGGTTTTGATTTTCTCTTACCTTTTTTTTTTTTATTTGTTAATTTTTATTTCATTCAAATAAACAATAAAGTTAAGAAAAACTAACATAAAATCTCAAATTTTGAATGAAAAGGGGCAGAAAGAAGACTAATCTTAGAATATCTGACCCTCTTTCACAAAGCAATAATTAAAACAAAATACTTAATTCAAAAACAATTAAATATATACCTCTCTCCACATGGAAACCATTTTCCTGATATAACCAATGCCTGCTCAGACACTAGTGAATGAAACTACTTCAACTAAAGACAGAACACCAAAATGATTATGATCTGCCTGCATATTCTGTTTATCTTTACAGAATCTCTTTAAAAAAACGTTGTGTAAGTTCTTATGTGTGGTTCTCCTCTCTTTGTGTCCTGTTTAGTTGTTTCCTCCTGACTACACCAAACACTGTAAGCTGTGCGACATGTGCATTAGAGACTACGACCACCACTGCCTTTTCCTCAACCGCTGCATAGGACGGGGAAACCACCGCCTCTTCCTCTTCTTCATCCTCTCCATGGTGATTGCTCACCTTCTTTTCGCCGCCACGGCAACCAGTTACCTGTACGACAGGCTTCCCAGAGGCAACCACAGCCTGTCCATGTGGCTCAGTCTGATCGGGGAGGAGTTCTGGGTTGTGGTCATGATCGTTTTGAACGCTGTGACAATCTTTTGGGAGGCGTGGCTACTACCGAACATTCGATGCGGTTGCCACGGGAACGACAACTTACTTCAGACAGTGTGAAAGCTCAGCGAGGCAGAGGCCGATGGCGCAGCGCTGGGTCATAGTGATGTCGTTTCTGCTGGAGGGGCGACGACGGGTGGGCAGCGGAAACGCAAGCGATGATAAAACTGCCATAGACATTTAAAACTGTCGGTTTGTTTTCTGTCCGAGTGAACAGAATTCATTCTATCATCGATATACAAAGATATTCTGTGCATTCTAAGTCTACAGCGTCTGTGATGTGCACATTGTGATAATATCCTCTTTAGATTTAGATTACTCTCTAATGCCATAAAAAGCTTTGTTTCCACCAAAGGAAGTTTCCCACAGGAACTAGGGACTTTACCAAAGGGACTACAGTTAAAATAAGTTATGGAGGGGTGCAGGTGGCGCAGTTTTTGGTGCGCGCACCCTATGTACGGAGGCAGTCCTCCAGGCGGGTGGCCCAGGTTCGAATCCTATCTATGGCTCCTTTACCGCATGTCATTCCCCACTTTCTCACTCCCTGATTCCCAACTCTGTCCACTGTCCTATCTCTACATTAAAGGCACAAAAAGACCAAAAATAAATCTTCATGGGATCAGATTATTTGATCTTAGTAAAAAATGGGCTGTAGGAATTTAGTAATCCGTTGTGACGTAGCCCCTGGAACAAACAGTCCCGGATAATTTGGTGGAAACCGTTGACTGTACATAAAGATGGACGATCATCTCCACCTCTTCCAGAAAAAAAATAGCTCAGCCAAAATATCCCTGCGATGGGCGCTGACATATCGCACTAGTGAGGTCATTTGGAGACAAAGTTGCGCAGTAGACTCTGCCATGATATTGACATCCCGCCCCTTCTGAATAATCTAAACACACATTTAAATTGAAACAGGAAAGATCCCCCAGGTTGGTACAGTCTAGAGTAGAAAACAAATGTTTTAGCAGATAATCACAATTATGGAATTTGAATGAATAGTGTCATTGCTGTGTTTCTCTTCTTGCTGCTCCTCCTCTAATCTGGCATTTGTCAACAGAGCTGTCAATGATGGCGTTATACCACTTTTTATAGCCTCAAAAAAATAATTAATTTAACGCATGCACATACAGTAAATGCTCCAAAATCCTCCAGCAGCAAGGAAGTGTGGACAACAGGACATGAGGAGTACAAAAGAGAAATCCTTCCTGCATCTCATCCCATCTCCCCCATCCCATTTTTCTGAACAAGTACAGTCTTTAACCTGCTCTTTTGTAAAGCGTCTCGAGTTAACACTTGTTATGAATTGGCGCTATACAAACAATGATTGATTGATTGAAAGCGTTATGATAAGGACTCACTTTGAAGATAGAAACTATATTTGAGAAAAACTACCTTTGATGTGTATTTAGATTTTATAGTTTGGCTCATGTCTCATCTTTTAACACGGAGGAGCCGGCATTATAACCTTATACTGCAGCCAGTCAATAGGCGGAGCTCCAAATGTTTTGGCTTCACTTTTGGGGCACTGTCATGTTGTCCATGTTTTTTTGCAGTCTTAACGCAGCCTAACGTGTTGTACTTGAACTTTTGATGTGGGCATGTTTTAATATTCTATTTTAATACACCACAGGACGAAAGAGTCAATGTGTCGGCACAGAATAAATACCACTGAAGTTTATGTGTAAGCTTAGTATTAAGAGACCTCACTGAACAGTTATTTTTTTTAACTTGTCTGTTTACATCACTTTGTCTGAATGAGCAGATATTTCCTTAACTGTGTTTTAGCAGGGAACTCCTCTGAATGAACGCTCACCTTTACACCCGTTTTTATACCACCCATTAGCATGTTTTTTTAAAATCATGTTTTAAATGGAAGTGTGTCTTAGATTCAAACGTAGCTCAAAGTTGTAAAGATGTGTGTACTTGCAAAATTAGCAAGTCGTGTTATTAGCTAATTGTTAATAGCTGGTGTGCTTAAAAGTCTTTGTTCCAGATATAATGTCATTACCTCTCTGACCTGCTCCCAGCCATGTCGGCCATGACACTTCCTCCGCTCACGCTAATGAGACGAGCTCTTTTCATGTCTTCAATTACACACGCTCATTTCCTTTGTGTCCCTCAGGACCATATTTCTAGATTATAGATGACACTCCCCAGTCCCCTCAGAGACTGGTGTGTGTCTGGATGTGAGTAGTTACACCACTGATAGTATTTAATGTCTGCTGTTTAATGTGTTCAGCATATGTAGTGCTTCTACTGTATTTCTGTGTGAATGCGTCAGTGTTATTATATTTAATTAGCATTTTGTTGTGACCCTGGTTTATTTAAGGTGCGCTCATGTGTTTTATCTCTTTTGTTTTTCAAGATGTTACCTTGTTGGTGCCATGATGGTTTCATGCTCTCTGAAAAATGTTGAATAAATCACTGAAATCTGCCATTTTGGAAGGAGAAACTTTTCTTTCTCTTGTACTTTATTGAAAGAAACAGAGTTTTTCAGATTCAAAGCTTGTGACCCCCCCAATCCGTATTCCCATATGAAAATCACAACCAGTCAGATCATTTATTTTACCCTGGTGTAAGGCGGTACAATGTACAGTTATAATAACATACGCAGAATCTCACAATATCGTTTAACAAGTCAGCAGTTTTCACTTCTCCAACAAGACAGCTCACTTCCTCACAGAACGAGACTCAGAAGAATAAGGAGGACGGCAGGAAAGTCTCCCACATATGTCTTTTATTTCTATGTAAATCCAAATCTATCACGGCAGCAGCTGCTTGGGACTCTGTGATGCTTTCTTGTGCAGCGCAGAGAGTCTGGCTCCAAAGGGAGAGCCGTCTGGTCTGCCCGTTCGAGATGACATGGCAAGTAATCCTCGCATGACTGTCTTTATTTCCTTCCTTCTATCACAGTCTGTTCACATCAGCATTCTCCAGGCGCGTGTCATTTTTGTGTTCATGACGGCAGCCACAGTAGTCCCTTCTCTATGGGGTATGTGGATTTGTTTTCTAAGTGAGTAACAATTAAGGAGAGGACTGAGATAACAGTGTTGCCGTTGTTTTGAGCAGGTATGCCTGTGCATGTGGGTTTGTGTTTGTGGCTCTAGAAATGGCCCCAGTGGAGAAGGAGAGACTGTGTGCAGACGGGTTCACAACCATGAAACCATCCACGTCTTCTCTGACCAGAGACAACATCAAGGAATTTGCAGGTAAAGCTCAGTTTTCTGTAAGTTTTACAAAAATGGTTGTTGTATACAATATTACTGTGTCTGTGTATCTGAGTTGTAACCTTAAGATACTAATCTGAATCATATCTATCTGTTTGAGCTTTTCTCAGTCTACAAGTTGATCACCTCCTATTGTGAAAGTATAAAGATTTACAGAAATACTACCAACTACTTCATGAATCCTTTAGTTTATCCATATAGTATTACTGATTTATTGCTATATGCGGGACGAGCAGGTTTTGTTTTGCTTGAATAAAGCTCAGTCTGTTTTCTTCATTTTAAAGGAGTAGTGAAGTACAAGTAATCTAACTCTCTGCTGATAATCTTGGTCCTATTTCAGTTAATCTTACTTATTTCCAGAGTGACTCAACATTACATTTTTTGCATTCTTTTTTTGAGATGACAAATACGTAGGCTATATAAATTCTTTGCATTTCTGTTTTTATGAAAAGCCCGATAGCATTGCTCTGTTCATGAAGTGTGAGGAAACTGTAATGTGTGCTCATTTGACTAGTTTTTATTTTATTTTGAATCTGACCTTGTGAATAGAACATTTTGATTTTATGTCACAAACTCACATGTTTTTGATAACGGCTGAACAAGTTCTCAGAGAAGTTGTTCAATGCTTTGTGAGAAGTGATCAGGCCGAGGCGATGGTTTAGCTCGAATGGTTCAGAAGCTATAGTCCTCGTCACCCCGGTTTCGGAGTCGATTCCTGATCCTGATGCTATTCGTTGTGTGTCATCTCCCACATCTTGCCCCATACTTCCTGTCTCTCTCAAGCTGTCCTATCTAATGAAAGTACAAAACAGCCACACAAAAAAGTAAAATCTTTAAAACTAACTCCATGCAACACCCCATCTTTGACTCTAGTTTCTGCACGCAGGTCTGACTAATCAAAACTGTATACAGAATCTATAAACTGGTAATAAATACACTTTCTCATGAATAATGGGGAAGTTAATTTCATCCGTTCACATCTGACCTCTTGAAAAGTGGCCACTTGAAACTAGCTTTAGTTAACCCTCGTAGATTTCCCCCTCAGGTTGTTTTCCTCTAGTTCACCGTCTTTTATTGAGAATTAACTGGTGCCCTTCAAAGCTCTGCTATCAAAGCACCTTCTCCCACATTGGTTCCCTCTCCTAGCAGTGTCTCTGTGCAGCGTTTCAGTCTCATCCAGCCACTTGAACCGCAGCATTTATCTGCTTTATCACATCCACTACAACCCCACCAGGCAGAATAGGAACAAGAACATCGCACCCTTGAGTGTTGTGGTTTCTCCATACAGATTACTGAGTGACTGAGCAGTGTGGCATTCTCCTTAGACTTTAAATCTTAGTCTGAATGAGTCAGGAATGAGTTTTGTAAGTTTAAATTGATATTGTGTGTGTGCAGCATTTTTGTGGGTACGGAGAATATCATGACTTGGTCACACTTAATAGCTGGAATAGTTATATTAAATCAAATGTATTGATCTGAGGTTGTACTTCAAGATCATAATCAAATCCTTCTGAGCAAACAGCTGGACGGATTGTCGGTACTTTGTGGAAATCGAGGTAGAGCTAATGTAAAGAATTAGGTGACAAGGCAGCCAGACATATTTATAGACGGTGAGAAATTGATACTGAGTGTGCAGCAGCAGGCAGAGAGACAGAGAGAGAGAGAGAGAGAGAGAGAGAGAGAGAGAGAGAGAGAGAGCGAGAGAGAGTGGGCAGGGCTCGAGGTATGTGAGAACAACAGCACGCCGGACCAGTGGGACAGAGAGGGGGGAGTGAGGCGAGAGTAAGGAGGGGAGGAAGAGGAAGAGGAGAGTGTGTGGTTAAGTGCTTGTAAGTGTGCATGCATGTGTGTGTGAGTGAGACTGTACAGGAGATAGTGTCCAGCAGGAAGAGAGTGAGCCGGCAAAGAGAGAGAGAGAGAGAGAGAGAGAGAGAGGGATGCTCGGAGAGGATGAGGAGTAAGAGGGCGAGGCAGCAGCAGCAGCAGCGCGAGAGAGTGTGTGTGACTCTGTGAGTGTGCGTGAGGAATAGTGTGTGAACAGAGGGATGCAGTCATGTCTCTGTGAGAGGGAGCAGCACAGCAACCGTAACCATGCTCAGCCCAAAGATAAAACAGGCACGCCGGGGTAAGCACAGTCCCTCCTCCTTTTTTCTCTCCATCCCACCTCGCTGCTCCATCACTTTCTGTCCGCTCTGCAGTCCACCTTTCCTTCTCTTTCTACCTCTGCGGAGCTCCATCAGTCCTTCTGTCTTTGTGATAATATATCATTAATATTGCTGTCACTGCTTTCATTGATAATGAGATAAAAAAAAAAAAAAAAGGTGTAACAGCGCCATGTTGCTGCTGGTGTCATGCTGCGTCCCAGTGACCACTACTACCAGCAATGACCTGAGTTTTTTTTTTTTTTTTTTTTTTTTGCATGATCTGAAGAGTTGCAGGTTCATTATGTGTGTCTGGGTGATGTCATACTTCCTTTCTCTTGAATACACCCTCCTCATTCCTTGTAGAGTTGATCCCGATGGAGCTCCTGATGGTTGTAGTAAATATGGCTGCTGGAAGGATTACCCTCCCTCCAACATCCTGGCACGTTCACACCTGAACACATGACTACAGCTCTATTTAGTCAGGCGTTATTGGGTTAATTTTCGGCCGAGCAGGTGACAGATAGATCAGAGGTTGGCGACAGGAATGCAGGGCTCTCTCGGCTCCTGTAAATTGCAACAGCTGACTGTCAAACATAGTTCCTCTAACGCCGGGTAAAATCCACTCGCACCCACTGATGTCGGAGACGCCACACATGCATGCCTCTCACATGACCGCGTGAAGGATGGATAAAGAAGCTGTAAATCACAGCAACAACTCCTGAAAGTGAGATTATCAAGATGCAGAGTATAAATACTTGCTGGGCTCTTCACAGCAGGTGGTTGCTTTTGACAACAGAGGTAAACTATTTCAGACGTCTTCTGGGAGTTGAGACGGTTTCAGACTTAACTCAAGGAGAAAAACTTGTTTTTAGAAAGGAGTATCCATAAGACATTTAACATTTTTAAAACTCCTGCAAGGAAAGTTCTGTGTGGTTTCGGTCTGGCGCCCCCTGTGGAAGAAGCAGGACAGTCTCTTTGATGATTTGTCCCGTACAGTACATGTGTTAGTTGGGGCTGAATGCTGGTGCAGCTGTTAGCACTGTCATTCCTGTTCTGAATCCACGACTGGGCAGGGGTTTTCTGTGTGGAGTTTGCATATTCTCCCTGTGTGTGCGTGGGATCACACTGGGAACTCCAGCTTCCTACTAAAAAAAATGTCCAAACCAATGCCTGGTACAAGGTGTGATGGTAGGTGTGAGCATGAGTGTGAATGCTTGTTTGTCTCTAAATGTCGGTCTTGTGTTTGAATGGCATCCAGTCCAAAGTAAACCCTCTTCTCACCAAATGACACCTGGGACCCCAAACAAGATACGCTGCATAGATAATGATGGATGGTTGTGCAAGTGGTGTTTTTAAGTAAGAAGATATGCCCACACACTTGCTGTTTAAAAATGATCACCTGAAAACGTTGTAATTGTGATGGAATGAAAAGAAATGTGAGGGCATTGAAACAAGTTAGCGGGCTTATCTTCTAGTACAATACAATAGCAAAGAAAACAGCAGAAACCTCGAAACCTCGAGCAAAACCAGATTCATCAGACCATCTGCTGGCACTGTGTTGGGCTTGGAAAGTGGGAAGAAGGAGAAGGGTAGAGACAAACAGAACAACAACAACAATAAATACATAAATAAGGTAGAATTGAATAACAATATAAAAACACACAGAAATTGATGTCCAACATGTTTTAATCACATCTTGGAGGGAGTGAGATAAAAGTAACTGAGAAAAGGTCATTTATATCACATGTCAAGGACGCAAAAGCAAAACATTCTATCCAAGTCTTCTTTATAAAAGCCAACAAAAATATGATAACTAGCAGTAAAACAAAAAAAGAAAAAATACAAAAATACTATCTTCCAATCTTGTACGTTGTTTTGCTTGTACTGTCAGTCGATCAGTTAAGCTGCTTGAATATGTGCAGGTCAGATGAGCATCTGAAAAGAGCCAGGTCTCAATCAGGAGGAGAAACCTGTGATATCTGCTACTGAACAAAAATAAAAAGAAGATATGTTAAATTGGAATTGTTCTGTGGAAATGAACATGATCAGGCAATGTTTATGGTTTGAAGTAGCTTCAGGAACTTTACTTTTGTGTGTGTGTTTGCCTCTTTTCTCCCTTGGCAGTCATTGTCTTGTTCTAGTCTGGCTGTAAAAGTACGTCCATAAAAGATGACTGTGAAGGAGAAAAGCCTCGTCTTTCTCCTTCACGCACACGGTCCGAGAGTGCAGCAGCCACTTCAGTTTGCTTGCCACGTTTTGTGCGCTTGCCATCTCTCATTTGCTGTAATGGTATTCTCCTTTGATTAGATTCCCAGCTCTGCTTCCCTCTGACCCTTTTATGCAGCATCATTCAGGGTGGATTCAAACAGCGGAGCAGAGCCGCTCTCAGGAGCTGTGAGATGTAAAGAGCAGAATCTCAGTGTAGTGTGTGGGGAGTCTGACCGGAAGATGTTAGTGGTGGTTAAGGCTTCTCTCCATTATCTGTGTGGCTGAAGAACTGTCGATAGGAGGACTTTGGAATGAATAATGAAGAGTTTCAGTCGACGAAATATGATACCTTAGAGAAACTATAGATGCAAAACACCATCACAAGTCTGTATCATTTTAGTGTTAAAAATTATCAAGACTTTTTTGACAATCTGTTCAAACAGAAGTTCGATTTTTTCCAAGTTTATTATACTAATTACGCAACCCTTGTAGTTTGAAGATCTACTTTATGAACTAATAATTAGACAGACGGGCTTCAGCTTGTGGCCTTAATCAGGGTCATCAGAATGGGTGGATGGATGACCCTGAGGTCACAAGCAGAACCGCCTCGGTCTAATTTTTAATAAAGTTGAACTTGTTGCTGGAGCTTTAAGACCTCTTCAAGCCTTTCACACTTCATGCACTTTGGTAGTTGGTGAAGTTGTACCAGAAAATCCCTCATATACTCAAATATACTCATTACAAAATACTTTAGTTGTCTCATTTACATTTACAAAAAATGTAATTATTAACCAGTGGCCCTCTCTTGTAATCTGATTAGCCCCCCCCCAGTTGCCATCCCAAGTTGCTAAACTATGATTATCCTTTTTACCTTCTCAGAGATGAGACTATACGCCTCTATGGCTGTGTAGCAACAGGCTACTAGTAGCTCTCTTTGCATTTTAATGTTTACTTCTACTTAAGTAAAATACATCATAGTAACTGCACTTTTACTTGACTAGAACATTTTGTTACACTTTACAACCCTGGTTATAAATACCTTTTATAAATTATGCTGTTGCTTACTAAGTCCTCACTGCATCATAAACATAATAACTTAAAGGTCACATATTATCCTCAATTTTCAACAATTTAAAAAAAGTCTCGGAGCTCCCCAAAACATGTCTGTGAAGTTTTTTTTGCCAAAAATCCACTATTATCATGTATTTTATCATACCTATAAACCCCTCTATTCCAGCCCTGCTCAGAACAGGCTGTTTCTGTGTCTGTAGCTTTAAATGCAAATGAGCTGTGTCTGACCACACCCCTCTCTGGAAGGGGATGTGGCTCAGGCTTTCTTGCACCATGCCCAATTGTTTACAGTGAGAAGGCAGACTCAGAGGGCAGAACAAACACCTAGCTGTGGGAGTGTCACCCACTTGGGGGAGGGGCTACTGCCTTTTGTGATGTCATGAAGGTAAAATCTCCAAACAGCCTGTTTGAGCAGAGGATGGACTTTTCTACAATTGGGGGTGTTAGGACATGCTAGAGACACATATTAGTGTTAGAAAAACATGGTTAAGTGTATTTTGCATAATATGTGACCTTTAATGATAAAATATATCTTGTTTATGACTCTTTATTACGATCAATAATCATAGTGGCAGAATAGCAATTTATACACATTGAGTAACATTTATTCCTGATATGAATTACAAATTTGATCCTTGTACACAAATAGTTCTACACTGAGAGTAGATAAAAGAGGAACCAGCCCCCTTTGAGATTTCCTGCCTCTATATTTTACAAGATGAACAGGACGAGGAAATGTCTGCTGTATTTATAGATCCGGTTCTAACAGTTTTATTAATATCAGCTTCAGGTGGTTTCATCTCTTGTATTCCTGCAAATACAGAAAATGCAGGAAAGGGTTAAAAATAAAATGAGGAGTCTGGACCAGGGAGCTGATAAACAAGATAGAGAAGGGAAACCGTGGAGTAATTTCAGCCCAGCCTCTTGCATATACTTTCTCTGCTGTCCTCAGCAGAAACCAAGATGCAATTAACGGGAGAAAAAGACGGCATTGATTTCTCTCTCTCCTCTCCCTCTGCGTTCTGTTTATCTCCTTCTTTCTCTCTCCCAATGACTCCCCAGGGAGCGCTCTACTGTCGCTGTTTTCACTCTGCACCTTTAGCATACCTATGCTAATACAAAACCCATGCTATAGGAATCACTCTGTAGAGTTAAAGCAGAACCTGATCCAAAAGCAAAAGTTCCTCTGTGCACAGTGGTGAAAATGGAAAAATTAAATGACTTTATTAACATCTGAAACATATAATAGACCTAAATGGAAAAGATGGATGGGTTGTCATCTTAAAGCAGGATGTCTTTGCTGCAAAATGGAGGCCAAGCCTGGGTAGACTTACTTAAGAGGGAATCTGGATGCATGGCCAAGCCTGTGAGCTTATCTCTACCTGAGGGAGACTGCAGAGAATAATGATTCAGGATTTCAATCTTAATGAATTATTAGAGCACAAGCAGAACAACAAAGACATAAAATCCCCCAAAATAACATGCTTCACTCTGATTTACTCTCATTCTGCTGGTTTACCTTCTGAAATCTGCTTGTGTGTGTGTGTGTGTGTGTGTGTGTGTGTGTGTGTGTCCATGCAGCACGGTCCAAGAGCATGGTGCTTGGAGAGCTGTCCCGGGTGTCCAGGCCCTGCTCTCCTCTGGACCAGGAGAAAGCTCTGAAGGTCGGCTGGCTGAAGAGACAGCGGAGCATCATGAAAAACTGGCAGCTGCGTTGGTTTGTCCTCAGGACCGAAGCTCTGTATTTCTACAAGGACCAGGATGAAACCAAGGCACAGGTAACACATACACACAGACAGGCATACAAAGACGTTTCCTGACGCACTGCTGCTTGGATTAACAAATGCGGAAGTGCCTTAAACATGCAATTCATCCTGATGGCCAGTAGGAAGTGACTCCACTTGTTGCAAAAATGAATCGGATTGTGTAAAACTAAAAGGGAAATTCCCCAGTTTATTTACTCTATGAGCTCATTTAACTTTTTTCAGTTTTTAGTCAAAATCACTAGTTTTAAAGTCTTTTCCAGTACACGATGCTAATTTTAGAAACAATGGTCCCATTTAGAGTGATGTGAAAATCCAGCTGTGGTTTATATATCGCTACCACAGAAGTCTATCAAAAGAAAAAGGGTTCCAACAAACGAGGGACAGTTACTTTACTTCCACTTCTTTTATCTTCCCACACTTTGAAAATGTCTTGTTTTTTGCATTAAACTAAGGAGACGATATACATTTTGACCTTTGGTTTTTAGAGCTACATGCAGTTATCTTGTTGTATCTCGTGTCAATCGTTTGGTGGACAAAATGATCCAATAATCTTTTACACAATAACCATTCCCTAAACGCATCCCCTAGACTCTCTATGGATGTCATATTGTGTTGGTATAGCCTTCACACACTCTGATAATGTGGTAACGTGCTGCCCTGTGGTTCCCCTGTATGCACTTAACACATGACCTTAAACCTCCTCCATGTTGGAAAGATCAAAAATTCAAGTACATCAGGAAGCGCAGTGGGGATAAAAAGATGAAGAGATGTTTCCCTGAGTCATTCCTCCCTCCTTCATCATAACCTCTCTCTGTTGGACGGACGCCCAGAGTGGCCCAGTGTGCTCAGAGCTCCGTGATGTTCAACATGCACTGCACATCCGAGTCCAGAACCACTAATTGATTTCTTGTTTGGCTCTTGAAAGGCCGTTGATGGGGGTGTTTTCCTCGTGCCTTGTCTGCCCGTCTGTCAGCCTGTCTATCAGCCAATCACACGCCTTCGTCTCCCTACTCTTGCAGGGTTGTATTCCTCTGCAGGGCAGTCAGGTCAATGAGCTGCCCGCCAATCAGGACGAGCCTGGTCGTCATCCGTTTGAGATCGTTCCAGGTGAGTTGGCATGGCGACAACTCTGTAACTTGAGGAAGTGACTGAGTCTTGTTCAAGTGATGCTGAACCTGCTGTTTAGTAATGAGTGGCAACATGAAAATCCCTGACTTTTATTTAAAATTGTATTATTCAACATAACAACTTAGAGGAATGATTTATTTTTATTATTTTTTTATTTTTAAGTTATTTTTGGGTCTTTTTGCCTTTTTTTTTTAGATAGAACAGCTTAGAGAAACAATAGATGTTTGGAGGAGAGAGAGTGGGGTGACATGCACTAAAGGGCCCAGGTTGGAAATGAACCCTCGGATGCTGAAATAAGGAGATCAGCCTCCATACATTGGGGGTCACAACTGTAATAAATTTTCCACCTTCTATACTGAAAGAAAATCAGAAAATTAGACAACCTGTCGGTACCTTAATTTCAGGATCAGGATATATGCTTTGAGGTTTATTTTTTCAAATATATCTTGATAGTCAATAATCTATAATCAAGATCACCTGAACATATTTCTCAGAATCAAAAAAGTAAGATATTAAAGAAATGAAACTTTTTTAAATTTTAAAAAGTGGGGTGAGGCTTTGAGGAGCAGGCCAGCTACACCAAACACACTTCAGTTCTTGGTATTCAGACAGTGATGAAACTCTAAATCATGGAACAGCAGTGCATTAACCTTAATCTGGTTTCCTGTAAAGTGCTGTGTATTTATTTTAGTGTGCTGATACAGCGGGTCATATCAGCCGTGTAAACCAGAATCAAAGGAACTGTGCAAGAAAAACAGAAGTTCATCAAAACAGCTTAATACGAGTCACAGTAACTATGAAAAACAGAAAGGATGTGTGTCACAGCCGTAACTCTGAGGGTTAAACAAGGACTTCTTTCATTTTTGCTCTTGATGGCATGACAACGGGCAGAAGAGTGGACAGCGTGTACAGCACATAGATCAGAGGGCCTGCTCGAAAGATAGAAAGAAAGAAAGAAAGAAAGAAAGAAAGAAGATAAAAGTAGAAAGTATGCAGATGAGAGTTGGTGATATATGACAGTTTGCATAATGTTTGTCGTTTTTCCAGGTTTCATAACATCATAGATTCAACTGTTAGCATTCCCTCATCTAAAGGCTCAGTTGTTGCCTATATTTTCCACTAGCTGTACAGATCCAACATGGGACATGACTGCAGCAGGTATTATAACCTATGGCAGGACAACCAAACTACAGCGTTTGGTACATTTTTCTTAAGCTATAAGCTTTGGTTATAAAAATGAGGATGTATTGTAGAAATACTTCAATTCTACAATTCACTTAGCAGGCTGTCTTATTGAAATACATGTGCCTCATATGAAAACAGATGAAATGCATACCAGAAAAGATGCCTATATCTATCTCTCTGGCCTTTTGTTGCCAGGATTTGCAAGAGCTATTTGTGTGCTATATAAATAAAGTGTTACTTAGTGTTACTTACTTAATAACTTACTTACTTAGTTACTTACTATTTGTATGATTCCCCCTTGTGCAAGATGTCTGTGCATCCTAAAGAAACAATAGTGATACACCAATGTATTTGAACATTGGTATCGGCCAATATTTTCCCTGTTGACAGATATCGTCGCATCTGAAAATAATGTAGCATGCACTGATATCTGAAGCCGCTGTGTATCTGTTATGTCACATAAGCTGGCAAGATATAAAGTCTAACTTCTGATTAAGAGAAGAGGTTTTTTATTAGGCTGAAGAAGTCCCCTGTAGGACAAGCGGATCTGTTTTCATGGTCAAACGAGTCTTCCACCGTCTCTAACAGCTAAATCATTAATATAAACATCAGTTTCCGCCCTGATTTTCACAGTTTCTGCATCTCTAAAACAAATAGTATTGTATGAATGGTCCAGTAGCAAAAGAAGCTTCCTTCCATATGTTTCCTGTTCACAAAAAAAACCCCTCCTATCATATTAAACTTTGAATTAAAATCAAATCAGTTTTTTGTGTTCTGCTGCATTGTCTCTGCGTTTAGTGATCTGCAGGATATTCATACATACAACACACAAGTACACCCACCTCACCTGTGTGCAGAATTCTGTGAATGTCAGCAGTTTTAGCAGCTGCTGCAGAACCATTGTGGTAAAAGATACACCGCATCATTAGCACATGTGGTCATGATGTACTTGTAGTCCATCTCATGTTTAACTCATTTACTATAAAATGACTGACAGAGGGCTGCATTTGTTTTCATCCCTAAGGTATCAGTTTGATAAATAGCTGAACAATTGTGATCCTGTTTTCATCTTTTTTACACTTTTTAAACATTGAACTTTTCAAAAATGTTGATAAATGCATCATGATATTCATCATAGAATTTGTTTTTCATCCTATCCTGCAATATCACATTTCACTGCAGCCACTCGTGTCTTTTTTTTCACAGTTGTGTGTTTTGGAAAATGTTTGGAAGGGATGCAAACTTCTATTCAACGTCCTTCCTGTGCATGTAGAAAATGACTAAAAAAAAACCGGCAGGGGGGTTAAACCTTCAAATACATACACCAGTGTGGTCTTTTCACACGGGAGATGGTGTTAAGCGTTTTGTTTTTGAGAAAGTTAGTTACTAAAAGGACACAGAGGGAGCGGCCTGAAAGACTAAAGAGACTGAGTGAAAGGCATGGTGCAGTTGCTGGTGTCCACAGGGAACACCACTCTTTCTGGGTCAGTTCTCTCACACACAACACACCTTGCACCACTGTGCAGGACTCTGTACAAAAATGCAGCTACTCTTATATGACTTACTCAGAGAGGACTTTCTACCCCACACAGAATCACGATCCAAAAATCTCTATTGATTTTTTTAATTGGCTTATTACGATGGTTTCAATACGTATAAAAAGTTAAGAGCATTAAGTGAGTAGCAGCTTCACTCGCCATCTGAAACCGTGCAACTGGCTGCAAAGAAAGCAACCATAAAGTCACATAAAAGGAGAAGTTTCAGATAGTTAGATCAAAGCTAAAGTGAAATGCCAATCTGAAATGTCAAACTGTTGGTATCATGCTGTGTGCAGAGAGAGGCAGGGGAGGCAGAGCTGCATGGGGACGCTTTGTACTGACCAGGGGTGCTGGATCTTTATAAGGTTATTCAAAAAGGTGGTTTTACTCTTATACTTTCCACAACCACTCAATCAAATGAACAAGTTTGCAATTCAGCGAATTTGAACTATTGTGATTGTTACTTGTCTTAGTCATTTTCCCTGTTTTTCCAGAGAGCGATGGTGTATTGTTGTGCTTTCAGGGGTTGCTGGAGAAAAGGATCGGACTGGTATGAGCCACGAATCATACCTGCTGATGGCCAACTCTCAGACGGACATGGAGGAATGGGTCAGAGCGATACGTAGAGTCATATGGGCTCCACTAGGAGGAGGTGTGAGTCACAAATGTCTACACAAAGCACAATTTAAAGCAATTTTGCTGACAAAATAATTGTATACCATACCATATTTCCTGCAGGATTTGCACAGATTCTGACACCTAGACTTGAGTTTCATATCCTTAAATAAAAATACAATAAAAAGATAGGCCTGCGTACATTTGGGGACATTTTGCTTGGTAATTTTCCGGCATACTCTCTGTTACCATAATGCATTTCAGGCGGTATCATAGGCTCTTCCAGTACTGATATTGGTATCAGAGGAACATATCAATATTTAATTCTTTAAAGAGGAGAATCCAAACTCTTGAGAAAAAAACATCCATAACTAATAAAGACCTGATTTCTCTGTGTGTTGGTCCTGCAGGCGTCTTCGGGCAGCACCTAGAGGAGACAATGTTGTACGAGGCCCAGTGTGGCCCTCAGCGACTGGTCCCCGTGCTGGTTGAACAGTGTGTCTGTTTCATACGGGAACATGGGCTCGAGGAGGAGGGCCTTTTCAGGGCCTCTGGACAGACCAATCATGTTCGAGAGCTGCAGGACGCAATCGACCGGGGCGAGAAGCCGGTGTTTGACGGGTGACACAGCAAAAACAAGCATTTGGTGTTTAGCAGCATGCTAAACTATGATCAACGCTTGAGAGTGTTCTTTATATATTCTGTGTTTCTTACAGTACCACAGATGTCCACACAGTGGCGTCGCTGTTAAAGCTGTACATTCGGAAGCTGCCAGAGCCCATAATCCCATTCTCCAAATACACACAGTTCCTCTCCTGTGCTCAGCTTCTTACCAAGGATAAAGCAATGGTAATAAGCCTACACGTCTTTCTAACACTTTCCTGGAATATTCCAAACTCTTTCTCAATGGCATTAAAGTCTCCTACTGAGATTTTCTTCAAGTAAATGTTTGAAAACCCTCCTTTTAACATTTTGTGTGTTTGTTGAAGGGTATCTCAGAGCTAGGAAAACAGGTGAAATCTCTTCCTCAGGTCAACTACAACCTCCTTAAATACATCTGCAGGTGAGTGAACACGCTCTGCTGTCTATTGAACTGCAGTCGTTAATGCACGACTGCAGCTCTGATGGTATTTATAATTATTCCAATTGCCAAATCACTCCTTGATGATGGAGGCTTTGACACCCTGTCATACGAGGGAAATAACATTCATTACACCCACACACTCGTCATCAGGGGAAGTGACATCACGTTGAATGACTCTGAGTGTGATTACATGTCGTCTCTCTCTTTCTGCAGTCTGGATCTATATAGATATCAGCTGAGCCCACACAGCAGCCAGAACTATGACTCAGCCATCCTATTCATTAGTTTAATTTTTACTGTATGAAAAAAAGAGCTTTCTAATTTCAGCAAAGCAGCCAACACTCCTGATTGCACATATGTGGAAATAAGTACTCCTTTGTGTTCTGTCTGTTCAGGTTTCTTGATGAGGTTCAGTCGCACTCCAATGAGAACAAGATGAGCGTTCAGAATCTGGCAACTGTGTTCGGACCCAATATCCTTCGGCCCAGAGTGGAGGATCCAGTTACCATGATGGAGGGTGGGTGATATTATCAATATGTTAATCTGCAACAAACTGTTTTCTTTTATAAAAGCTGCATTTCCACTGCAAGAACTTTCCCCGGGGACCAGGAACTTTTTATTTCTAGTCTGCTTCAGAGACCATTGTCTAAGTTTACAGTCTAAGGAACCGCTAAGAGGTGCCTTTTCCATGAGTGTTCTCAGGTATCAAAATATGCTAAATACACTTTGATTTAAACATTTGGATGATCCTCACCCGCCTTTAGACCTAACCCTAATCCCGCCCAGACAACAAGGGGCTGAATGTGCCTTCAGTTCCTTAAACAAACTCCTGAGACTAAGTTCTGGGCACTTTAAGTGGAACTGCAGCATAAACTTGCTTACAGGTGAATTTGTACAGTTTCATGAAAGCTTTCAATGCAGGTGTATCATTGTGCCTATGCACTTTTAACAGGAAGTTCACAGGTGCAGCACCTGATGACTGTGCTGATCAGCGAACACCTTCAACTTTACCAACGAGAGGAGGCTGAAACTGAGACCAGGACTCTCCCTCAGCAACAGCAGAGCGCTATGCAGCGGTGTAAAGTGGAATGGCTCTCACAAGAAGACACTGACACCCCAACCTCCTCTGGACCAGTCACCAAACCCCAAGAAAATCCCCAATCTTCCACCTCCTGCGCAGACACTAAGCCGACCGCACCGAGTCCTGTTCTGACAAAGGAGAAGAGTGAGGATGGTCAGATTGAAGGGAAGGGCGTCAGTAAGACAGAGGAGAAAGTGGACGAAAAAGACGACGGTAAAAGTGAAGGGAAAGGTGGAAGTGATGTAGCTGTTAGCCCCAGTAAGCAGTCCAAAGCCCCGCCCTCCTGGAGGACCTCCTTCAAGGGCGGTGCAGCATCTGCAGGGCCGAAGGTGAAGATCGGGGGGTCGGCGGGAGACGTTTCAGCAGCTGGTGGGACCAACTGGCTGATGAATGGCCTGTCGTCTCTCCGAGCTCACAGGCGCACCACCTCATCAGGTGAAAGACTTAAAGACTCTACACTCTCTCTTAAAGAGACCACTCTTTCACTTAAGGACACGCAGAGAGACTCTGATGAAGACTCTCCTCAAACCTCTCTCTCTCACAGAGTTCTCCTTCAATCCCACAGACTGTCTGCCTATGACAATGTCGCCCCCTCCAGTCTTAGCCTGCCCGCCGACACCTCCTCCCTCTGGACGTCCTTTGAGATCTCATTGGCCGATCCGGAGGGAAGCGATAAGGCGGTAAAATCAGAGCAGGATCAAGACAGGCCTACTGAGGTGAGGGACAGTACAAGTACTCTGGATCAAAGTTTAATCAGCACTGAGGATGAACTTCCACAAACAAACGAGGATTTCACCAGTAAGCTGGCCGAGCTGAAGCAGGAGCTGAAAAAACAGAGGACCAGCTATGAAACCTGCATTCGCAAGTAAGAATGAGTCATTTCCTGTAAAAAAAAAATCCCCAAGAAATGAGCATGACCTGATATTTATAACCTCTTCTTAACTTTTCTACAAGGTTGGAAGAGTCCTGCTCTAAGTACCAGGCCCAGGTAAACCGTCTTGAGGAGGAGCTGGACCAGGAGAAGAAGAAGTTTAGCATGCTGGAGATCCGATTCAGGAACTCGGAGCGGGCGCACCAAGACGCCGAGAACCGAAACGTTCTCCTCCAGCGGGAGATGGAGGAGTTCTTCAAAACCCTGGGAGATCTGACCACGGGTGCGACAAGGTCCAACTAGACCAGACCCAACCTGCCTTCATCTGGTCCATTTAGAGGCGGAGGAGGAGCTCGATTGATGGGAAGATCAGCCAGCCCCAAAGCTTTGAAGACCAATTACCTCTAGCGCAGTACAACTTACCATCGTGTCCTCTTTAGGATTGCCGTCTTGTGCCTACACTGAGCAGTGCCGGTGCCAAACGAGGGCTCCTCTGGACCAAGCACCCCCTTAATTTACTATTCCCCCAAAAACCTGTAATACACCATAGATCATGTAGTTGACTAGATTATTATGAAAGTGAACCTAAAGGGCCTAGTACAGTGCCTCGCATAAGTATTTAAAATCCTTGAAGTTTTGCATTAAAACTACAAATCAAATTGATTTTATTGGGGGTTGTATGTACAGGACCATCACAAAATTGTACATAAGTCTGCTATAACATGGTTTAAATATAAAATGGTATGAAACCATAAAAATGAGGTGCAAATATTTGCCTTAAGGTTAAATCATGCACCCTCAAGTCGTCTCTTTTCAAACTGCTCTTGTTGAATAAATAGTGAAGAGCCTACATAAGTCTATTTGAAATTCCAGTATGTAACAAGGTAAAAAAAACAAGGGGTGGGATGCTTATGCAAGGCACCGTACACCAGGTATGGATTTACCAAAAACATCCTGTTTATTAGCATTAGAAATAGTATTTGTGAAAAGAAATGTTGTAGTCAAAGAAGCAACACAAGAGACATTAAAATTCAACTCTTTTTATTTGCTGGAGTTGAAGGTAGACAGTTTCCATTTCTGATGTATATAATTAGTCTGTTAGTGAGGCAATTACAGATCCAAAGGCTAAAATGTACACAACTGGCCTTACCCAATCACTCCACAACAGGTAAACTCTGCACTGTCAGTGTTTGTCCGAACCCCATCAGAAGACTGCTGCATCATCCCAGAAGCGCTGAATGGCTGTCCTTTTATTTCCTCTAAATGTACCTGCACTAAACCAGATTTGCTCAGAGAAAACTCATGCGTAATCTATTCTATCTTTTCTATTTTGGAGGAGATGGGGGGGGGGGGGGACCACAATAAGAGGAAGCCACAGCATTGATTTGAAATGTGGCTTAGAAAGGGTTCGGGACATGCGTCACAATCCCCAAAGTGCATTCTGGGAGCTGATGCTAAGGGGGTGGGGTTAACTGTCTGGAGTGCCCAACCATGAAAAAGGGCAAAGGGACAGGTTGGGGAATTTGAGCCATCAAATACATCCAAAGGTTATCATGGCAGGTAGCAAATGCCTTTTTCCTGACTCAGAAACTATACATACATCTACAGTCAAATGTACAGATCAAACACTGGCTATACTAATCTATGAGTTATATTGCACAGAAAACAAATAAAAATGAAACAAAACCGCATATAAATAGTACTTCTGAATGAAATGTACATTACATACAATAGACGCCTCTGAGCTTGAAATAAATAAATAAATAAATAAATTAGAAATACAGAAAACAACTGGAGTTTTTTTTGCATTTCTTTTGAATGATGTGTGCCATGATCAACAAACTGTATCGTCTAAAAACCTGTGCATGTGTGAGGTAGAACTCAGAAAGACGCACCACAGAAGAGAGGGGCATCTGCCACAGAGAGAGGACTGAAAAATCAATGAACTGAGTAAGGGCACTTAAATTAAATATCTTGATATTCAGACAGTTGTGACAAATGTCTGAAAGAACCTGCTGGAAGGGTAAAGTGACTAACGAAGACTAAAGCTGCGTTTTAAAAAAAAAAAATGTTTTACCTCAGGAACTTTTCCCAGGGACTTTTAGAGGTTCATGACGCCTTTTAACTGCACGGTCGAAAAAAAAGTCCCAGGAACTTTATTTAACCCACCCAAAAGATTCCTGCTAGCAGCAGTACTTTCTGCAGGTTCGGGGAGTTTGGGACATTTTTAATTCATCAATTAGTTATTTGAACACCATACTTTACAGGTATTTTTTAACAGTGGAGGTGGTTGCTTGGTTTTGGTTGGTGAAAAGGGGGGGAGGGGTACATCGAAACTGTGGCACAGATTTCTGCAAAGACTTAACCAGTGCAATCTGTCAGTGCCTGTGGCGGGGGTAATTTAGCTTCACTTTTGTCCAAAGGAAAGTGGTGAAGACGTGTCATCCATCTTTATTTACAGTCACTGCTGAAGACTATTTTGCTTAATTTTTACCGGTCTTTACACCTTGGTAAAAATCCCTTGAAAAGTTGCCCCCGAGACTAAAAGTTCTGGGTACTTTTGGTGGAAACGCAGCTTTAGTCTCCAGGTGACAGCCCCCAAGAACAGCACTCATCCTAGCCAGCGGTGTGGCCTACATTAACTTTGCAACAGCGCTTACAGCAATCATTGGCTCCTCACTTAGCCACATTTATAGTCAATAACATTCACCCTGTTCTTCCTCATCCAACAAACCATCATCTACAAATTACATCTAAGTAAATAAAAAAAGTTAAATACAGTCAGTTTACAGTATGCTATAGTAAAAAATAAGAAATTCAGTGTCAGGGCAAATAGATCATTTGACTGCTTGTCAAGATGCACACAATCAAGAGGTGACATAATACTAAGAAGTTTCTTGGATACACCAAGGGGACACTTTCTACAAGAAAGATGAGGAACAATATCAAAATAAAATCATTCATTTGCATTTGGTTCCAAGATGAAATGTGCTATATTCTACTGCTAAATAGGTGTCATTCAGATGTCCCTAACAATTAAACAAATTCAAAAATATACTCAACGAAATACTGCAGTGCTCACAGTATGGTTTGTTTTTTTTCGACTGTGTAGCAGCAGCTAAGAAACAGCACTGTGTAAAAGTTCACTCAGATCCCTCTCTTTCAACACATACGTCACAGCTTCACATCAAAACATACTCTTGATTCTTCGCAGCAAAAATACAGTAATAATGGTACAATTCAAACCACAATCATTTACAGCAGTGTGAGGGGGAGGGGAAATAAAAACAACCTGTACATTAAAAGCTCTACAAACTAGCATGAGAAGTTCCATTGGCCTAAACCGTCTCCCATCACACACACAGATGAGGACAGGTTTGTTTTTTTTGTGTGTGTTAAGTGTGTGTGTGTGTGTGTGTGTTAAGTGTGTGTGTGTGTGTGTGTGTGTGTGTTGTATGTGTGCGTTATCTGCAGCAGGCCAGTGCACCCAGAGAGGTGTGGCTGTCCAGGCTGCTGTCTGTTTCAGATGCCAGGGTGGGGTCACTGCTCGGGTCAGTGGGCTCTGTGGACATGGACGAGACATCGTTGGCTGAAGACGAGGAGGAGGACGTGGGCTGCGGGGGGCTGTCGATCACTGCTGCACCTGTGCTGCGAAAAACACACGTCAACGCATAGGAGAGTGTCATTCTCTGAGTCACATACATCACGCACACGATGACAACGCCTTTAAATATATATATACTGTATGTAGTGTACAAACCAGGCTTGTAAAATTAAAGCTGTACACACATTCAACTTCTTTAAGCTTTTTTATATTGACAAGAGCTGCTAAACTGTTATTCATTGTTTTTAATAGTAATGACAATAAAGATCTATTCTACTCGATTCTATATTGTGTAGTTAGATGTCACTTGATTACAGCAGAGATGGAATAAATATGAGTATTATGTCTGCAATTAGATTCTTAGTCACATTTGCTCAAGAAAAAATACCTTATATAATAACAAAAGGTCATATTATGAGAATCAAGGAATAACTTAACCAAATGTCATGTTGTTATGATTGAATTGAGTAGGCTGATTAAATCTTTCTGGTACAACATATTGACTGTAAAGCCACTATTTTTTCCCTGAATAAGCTTTGTGTCCGTGTTATTTGTACTTTTACTCTCATACAACTAGTTCAAAGCTGCTGATCTGAATCGAAAGACTTTGTTTGTTCTCCTGAAAATTGTTTGATAAATGTTAAAACCTTCTTTTCTCAAGATTTAAAATGTAGCTACGGAAAATTTCAAAACCTGACCGTATAAAAAATTGTTAAAATTAGAACTTAATTCAGGAAATATTGAGACCTTTTATTAACAAATGTTTCATATTCATTCTAGAAATAGCACATTTTGGCCCTAATACTCTGCTGTACATTATCTGTCACAGAGAGATGTAGCCAATTTTATTTGTTCAACTAAATACACCCCAGATTTGACCATGATAAAGCCTGAGTTAAAGCTGAAGATAAAATATATTTTCAGCAGGTTGTACTTTGTGAACTTCATGAAAAGTCAAATCTATAAGCCTCTTAGCTTGATAGTCATACTCATACAATCTGAACGAGACTCACAACACATGCAGGCTAACGTAACGTCATTCCATAAATATCATTTTCCTCAAACATTGTGATTCACTGTAATGTTTCATTCCCACCTCCTCTCATCTTCAGAGTTATAATGATTACTCACCTAAAGGGGGCGGCTGTCCTCTTATCACTCCGTTTCTTTTCCATTCCTCCCATTCACTCACTTCTTTATAAATAAGATCTACAAATGTAAAGAACAGAGGCAGGTTAAGTGGGGCAGGAGACTCTGTTTATGCACAGTCAGAGTGTTTCGCATTCTGTGAAGTCCACGCAGCATCATGTTTCTAATCTGGACATGCTATGCTGGTGTGACCCTTCTCCAAAATGAGTGAGGGGTCATTATCACCTGGCACGGCTTACGATGAGCTCATCCTGCCGCGCAACTGAAAGCGATATTTACTCACAATCCGGAGCCCTCCGATGCTCCACAGAACTCGGGTTCCTCAGAGTGGAAAACACTCACTGGGAGCCTTTAAAGAGGGCCTCAGGTCATGCAACACACGCTCTGGCAGCGACAGTGGAGAAACAGAGCTCCTACTGCAACAATTTCGGTGATCGAGTGACTGAATGTGTAAACATCAGCTGGCCGTCACACTGGATTTCTTGATTCATGGTTTAATTTTGGGCTTTCCACATATAGATGAATCACGTCACTAATGGACCAACTGATGAATCTGACCATTTCTATTTTACAATGAACACATTTATAGTGTCAATAAAACATCATTGTTTTAATGTTAGCCTTGATTCATCACATACACACGGCCGGCGTTATCCTGACATCCTGCTCAGGGATTTTTCAAACTCAATTTAACACACAAAATATCACAGATTGGTTGAGATTCACCTAATCCTGATTAATCATTTAATGAAGACAGTGGAAAGTGAAAAAAAAAGACATACAGTTCTTCAATGTTAGCTACCAACAGAAAACAGCTGACATCAGCATTCAACCAATTCCAAGCTAACTTTATCGGTTGACAATAGAGACTGTATGAAGAAATTCACATTTCAAGGGGGGCCCCATGCCAACCCTGACCACCCCTCTGTTTATACAAAATGTAATGTGGAACACAGCCGTGCAACATTTGGACAGGATTACAGCACTGTGAGTGTTACAACAGAGCAACATGACCTGTGGTGAAATGGTGACTAGAAGTTGATGTTACTTTGAAGTGTTTTTGCTTTTTTACAAGCTACTTCAACAGTCAGATGTTTCCAAACCAATCCGTGCAGTTTGGAAGTGTGAACAACCTACTTTTTCATTTAGACAAACATCGTATCACTGTGATGACCTCAGGAGCCCCGGGGTAATTAATACGCAGAAACAAACAGTGAAAAAAGTGAAGAGGCGAGCGCGGTGTGAAGAATCTTAATGCGCTGTCTCACCTTTCCACTCGTCCACGGTATGATCCCTCTCTTCCAGCTGTTTGTCGAGAACCTTCGGAGGAGGCTGAGAAAGAGAAAAAGGTGTAAATGGCACATTGGTGCTACGAGAGCCGTGCCAACTTTCCACTTAAACTTAATTAATTAAAATCTCGTGTGACTTGTGCATTCCGATCAGCGATCTACTTACCGCTTCTACTTCGGCTGGGTCGTACCAAACGTTAATGTAGGGGTGCTGCAGGGCCTCGTCCACGGAGATGCGCTTGGAGGCATCAATCACCAACATCTTTGATAAGAGATCTCTAGCTTGGCTCGCTGAGGGGTGACACAAACAAAACAGATAAGACGCTGCTGTGCTATTTATCACAAGTCTGCAATTTTGGTTTGATGAAAAAAAAAAAACTCTACATGATTTATGGATTTGTATAACGTGAAGAAAAAAAAAAGCTCTACATGATTTATGGATTTGTATAACGTGAAGAAAAAAAAAAGCTCTACATGATTTATGGATTTGTATAACGTGAAGAAAAAAAAAACTGTACCTTTCAGTTTGTTGTGATCAGAGTCTGCAGGAAAGAGCACATCTGGGAAGAGTTTCTCAAAGGTGTATCCGGCATAGCGTGGCCTGTTTTCTACATACGTTCTTACTGACTGGTTCAGCTTCATTAGAAATTCCTGAGATGGAGTGCCTAGCTGCTCAATTACCTTGTTCCACTGGTCGATGTCTGAAGGGTTAACGTTAAGAAAAGCAGGCCGCACACACACACAACTCACTTCCATACGAACACATTTGAAAACACATCATTAGCTGGTGACATTTAGGTGTCTTTCAGGTAATCAACATCTCTGCAGCAACTCATTTCTTTCCTATGCAGCTAATTCTGTGCCTTGCATTCATCCCCATTACATCATCCCTGATTTTTTTAGTGTAACCTTCTTGATATGGATTGATTTATTTCAGCACTTTACAGCTTAAATACCAAACAAATCAACATGATGATGCACAATCAAACATGACGGTAAGTGGTCGCATCTGATTTTCTTCATAGCTTTTTAATCATTTTAAAACCATGCAATACCCCTGTACTGGAAATATTGACTTTTCAACCTTGATTTATTACATGCAGCTCCAATAAAATCATTATTTTTTATGTTGTTACATGACAACATATGGAACATTTCAAAAGGGGGGTTCAACAATGCAAGGCACTTTATAAAACTATAGTATACAAAAAGTTTTCACAAAAACTAAATCATTGCAGTAGAGCAATGATTAAGGCCATGTCTGACATTTGGAAAATTGTAAAATGGATGGCACAGGGACACTCTCGGGATGGTGTTGGATCTCTTCACACAGAATGGAGTGATGACACAGTGATCAATCAATGACGGGGGGGGAAGGATACGATCAGTGCCGGGGAACAAAACACTTCCCCTGATCATCTCGGCCACAATGCAGCCCACTGACCATACATCCACTGGAGGTGGACGTGCGGATGACAGGGACGTGGACATGCAAACAAAAATGGTGAGAAAAAAAAATAAGAGGAATGCAGACAGGAAGGCAGCGGTGTGATGATCATGAGTGGGGATGGAAATGGAGAACGTGCAGCATCAGCCAGAGAGAGAGAGAGAGAGAGAGAGAGAGAGAGAAATGCAGCGCTGTTGAGATTCAAATGAAAACTGACATGTTGATGAACATTTACAGCCACTGACTGCCAAAAAGCTTCAATGTTACACTTTGCTCTATAAACATTTCCCCACTGACTATATTCAGAGGGCGGCCATTTTATCTGACATTAGGGTGGGAAGTTAAACTGCTGCTTTAATGTTGAACTATTGTGTACTTTGATTTATAGATTTAGGATTTCTGACAACTGTTATCGACTCACTGCTTCCAGACTGACTGAAAATACAACGTTCAAATCCGGAGGGAAATCCAGCCATGCAGATAAAACAACAACATCTTTGATAATCCAGTTCTACGGTCAGACAACGGGTAATGTTAGCACACTTGCTGGATACTGTTACTGTAAGCTAGGAAGTGTTTAATAGGCAATAAAATGGTTTGCTAGCTGCTCAAGATAAAACAGAAAAGGCTAGCTAACGTTTGTTTCCTTAGAACAAATAACCAGTTTCTGTACTGACAAGCTAACTTTACGTTATCTAAGAAGTGCTTTAGTGTCAACTGTGTTTTTTTACTTTAAGTAAGGCCTAATATTGTTCCAGGTTTTCACTATCAATGTTTAGTTGCTTATTTATGCAATAAGCAACTAAATAATGTAATGGTTAGCATTGTCAGGTAGGCTACCTCACATTGATAAACTTTACAACCTGGCTACAGAAGGCATTAACAACTACATCCTGATTCATTTCAGTCTGAACTAATGCTTTCTTTTTTATTTATTCTTTTAATCGCAATGAATCGCATGTAACTGATGAAAAAGAACGATACTGTGCATCTTCAAAAGGTCTCATTTCATTTTAAAATACTCTCAGACAGCTGATGAGTCCAATTTAATATCCACCAAATCAAACCTTTCACTTTTTTACCGTGCCTTTGACCTGTGTTTCTTAATCCATAACCAGTTTCTTTGTGTTTAAGTTCATATCCTAACCCTCGAAAATAAAAGCAGGGTGGAGTTCAAACAGCAAGTAAAGTACTCTCAGTACAAAATTTCAAAATAAAAGCCTAACAATTGTTATTTTTAAATGCAATATAATGGAATTTTAACATGTGATTTAAAATGCGATTTATCTTGATCAACTGATAAAAATTAAGTGATTAATCGCAATTAAAATGTTCAATCTTTTTTCAGCCCTGTTTAAAAAACATAACTTCCCTCTCTGAGCATGACGTCAGGGACAAATGGCCGCTGCGTGAATATGGTAAATACCCTGGTACAGACAGCCAGCACAGCCATTAAAAAAACAAAGAATGTTGAAATGGAAAGTGTGAATACATTTTTAAAAAGACCCAAGGATACAGTCCCTTCCCGGGAAGAGGATTTTATGGCGAACCATTTCCGCCAGTATGCAGCCCACAGACCATATGTCCACTAGAGAAGTGGAACACGGTAAACAAAGCCGGTAAGAGGTGAGAGGAAAGCACAATGAAAAGTTAGTTACACACAGGAGGAGAGTGGCTGAAACAAAAATCCCCATTATGAAGATCAGCACCATGCAGCTTACAGAGTGTTAACAGCAAGGTTAGTCTTTAGGAACGTGCACAGGAGTTCAGACAGACCTAAACATTTTTAAATGTTGAATATCATTCTGCATGATAACCGCAGTCATTTGTAAAGCACTGAAAACGACTAACCATTGGCTTGGTAGCCCATGCCCAGGATCACCTCTGGCGCCCTGTAGTAGCGTGTAACCACATACGGTGTCATGAGGAGGCCTGTGGCAGCCGTCCGAGCCAAGCCGAAGTCCAAAATCTTCAGAGTGCAGTCTGACTTGACGACAATGTTACTGGGCTTGAGGTCCTGCAGGGGAAACACCAAAATGTAACATTAACTCCATGAAAGATAAGCTCTTGATCAAGTGTGAAGAAAAATGGTTTGAAAACGTTCTGTCCAAGCCAAAACTAAGGACATATGTACAGATCAAAAATAATTTTATGCCCGAGTTATAAGTAACGTGTTGTTTATCTAGAAGCCAAAGATCCTTGGTTGCACAGTTAAGATCTGGTATTCTCCCTCTGGCCATTGAGGTTGGTCGATTCAAAAATATTCCAGTAGAAAACAGACTTTTTGAGATGTGTGATTCGGACGAAGTTGAAACGGAGTCCCATTTCTTTCTGCATTGTACAAAATATGATGATTTAAGAGACTTATTGTTTCATGAAGTGGCTCGTCAAAAACCTGAAATATTGGGGCGGACAGATGTGCAGAAACTGGAATGGCCGTTTAAGTTTGATGTGTTTAAACTTGCTAATTTTGTCTCAAAAGCTTGGAAAAGAAGACAGGATATTGTGTTTAACTAGTTTGACTTGCTTTTGCTTTCTCTTTTTGTTTCTTGGCTATGAATATAGTTTACCTAGTGCACTCCGATCCTGGAACCTTTTAATTTATGGTGTCATGTAAGCCCATGCGAGATGGGAATAAGAATGTATGTATGACACAATAATAAAATAAAAAACTTTTAATTATTCTACATCAATTTGTCTATAAGAAACAATGACTTTGTAAGGAGGGTATGCAAATGAACATCTTTTAATGAAGTGGAAAATAATCTGCTGAATCTGACAGAAGACAGTAAATCTTTAAACAGCAGGATTTGTCAAATGCATTATTCATAACTTTCCTTTTGAAGGTTGTGATAAGAGTGTTGTTTTTATGATTCATATGACAAAACACATCATCCATCATGACTTCAGTCCTGCTGGTAGCCGGCAGGTTCCCCCTCCTGCTGCACCTATTTCCCTCTCTTTGTCTATGTAACGTTTCCCTGCAGTACAACTTGCTTACTAAGGTGATTTGTTTGCTACCAGCAAATGTGATTCAAGGCTGCAGATTGCAGATGAATCAAGCGGTAGCATTTCAGAATATTGATTTTTTTTTTTTTTCGTAGGTTTAAAAAAATCTATAAATCAGGATTAAGGTTTTCACGAGGATGTATCGCCTCCTTGAAAGAACGCTGTTTTACTTTGAAAACAAAAAAAGGGGTTATTCATATTCTGTTTAAAAAACTAATTCCTGTCTGCATTGACCTTCTTATTCATATTGTTAGTCTTTTATTAAAGATGAGGTGCAATTAAAAATCAAAGTTCCTGCATACAGTTTACACCTGCTTATTATTGATCCTTATGGGGAAATTATACTTTCACATTCTCTATCCAATCCATAGAAGTCCGAGGTCTGTACTGCCTCAAATAAGAGCCAGGAAAGATGCTAGAAAATCAATGTTCTGCTAAGTTTTACAACAACATAAACTGAAACAATGGGGCGCTGATGGCCTAGGGGGTTAGATCCCTAAAAACAGTTGATGTTTTATTGGGCTAACATTTGAGTATCTGGTGGATAGATTAACCGGCTTTATTTAAGATACCAGATTTACATTTAATGACGCATTGGAGGCTTTTCTGATAACGCCGCCACGATACTTTCAGGAGGATTTTGTTGGCCCTTAAAGGACTTGATTCATCATCTAACAGTGTGCTGGTTGACCCCCTGCCCCTCACACTACTGTGTCAAGTATCCCTGCAGATTTCACACGTCCTCTTAATGACTGTGGCCCGATGCTCACCCTGTGAATGATGCCGGCTGCGTGGAGGTGTTTGATACCACACAGCATCTGATAGAGCAGATAGGACAGCCTCTCGTGGTCCAACTCCATCTGAATGACCTGGCACAGGTTGGCATCCATCAGCTCCATCACCAAGTATCTGACGGAGCAGGAAACGGTTGAAAAAGTGGGTGAGAAGCACTAAACCAAACAGACAAAGAAGCTTTTTTATTTTTACTTACACATACATAAAAAAAAAAAACTGTCAGCAACTAGTTACTTACACATCTTGGAAATCTTCTAATGATTTCTGTGGTGTGAACACATTTAATAGGCCGATAATCTGTGGGTATAAATTACAAGAATCAGAAAAACGTCATCTTTATTTCACAACAAATCAAGTTACAAACATATTTAGGAACACAAAAGACATTACCATACGTACATTATTAGTTTGGATATAGTTTATCATCTGCACTCGGGCAAAAGTTTAAAGTCAACTCACGGCTCAGTGCAACTTACACAATAAAAACAAACCTAACACATAGACACAGACAGGCAGCCCTAGAAACACATCATAAAAACATGAAATAAAGAGATTCACTGTACTCAAAATAAATCAAATTAAAATATATACATAATGTCACATCACTGACACGTGAGAGGTTTTGTCAGTGTACTTACATTTTTGTGGTTTACACATTTCATTAGGACTAGCTCTCTGAACGCCCTCTTGGCGTGGGTTTGATTTTGGAACGGCCGGCTCAGCTTCTTGATGGCAACATTTCGTTCAAGGATTTGGTCGTAGGCAGAGCTGAGAAACAAAGATGGCGAAAAAAATTAATAAATCAAGAAACGGTCACAAATGAAGCAAATTCAACATTGACATGCATTTTGAAAGATTTTCTAAGTAGGACTTATTTCACTAAGTGTGGACGAGGTTCAAACACTCACCAGACGATGCCCTGCGCTCCGGAGCCGATGGGTCTTAGATTCTGGTATCGCTTTAGGACTGTGAACGTCGAGTCCCCAACATCCAGGCTGTAGAACTCTCTTTCCCTTTTGTTTTTGTTCATGGTTAAATCTTCAAATACTGCTCTCTGTGCATCCAAAAATGTCCTCTGGGGAAAACAAAGACGGGCAGACGTTTAAATATTTTGTAGCTCTGCACTTCAGTACAACAGCCGCAGAGCAGCAAAAATAAATAAATAAAATTAGGAAGTCAAATGAAAAATCCCCGCTCCGGAGACAGCAGATTAGGAGAGAGGAAGAGAAAAGACACAGTGCTGAATTTCACACTCAAGGCGAGCACTGCAGCTCCTTATCTCAGCAACTCAGCAAACGCACCAGGATGGAAGATTTGATATCATCAGCAGTGGTGGCAGAAACAGCAGGCGACGGGGGAAGGTCTACTCCATCATATGAAACACGACCCTCAAGAGCGGCTCTGTCACACTGGAAAACCTAGCTCGGTGCTAATTCCTGAGCGTCTGGACCCCAGCCCAGTTCTACGGGCAGGTCTTCCACAGGCACATGTTAACTGGGTCAAGTTGCACCATGGAGGCAGTGAGCCCAGATAAGACACACCGCTGAGAAGCCAATTTGCGGGGCATGATGTCCCTGAACATGTTCCATTTTTCATTCAAACAAAAAAAAACAAGCGAGAATCTAAAGGAGAAAGCTCTAGCATCTTTTTCCTTTTTCTTCAGGGCTTATGTAAGCGACGTAATCGCCCTCCCCGCTCTTACTGTCTCCCGACACACACTCCATATGAGGGATGTAATTGCCAGAATCAAATGAGTCAGCTCTCCTTCTGTTCCTCCAACGTCACAAAGACGTCCGTAACGCCCGCCTCCCTCATAACATGAAAATAGACATGTTGCTTTTTTTTTTTTTTTTTACATTTCAGACAGGAAGGCAATTAGGATTGTCTGACTTATGGACGCTTATGTTCAGTCAGTGTGCAGTTCTGCAAGTTATGTGCTCAGTTATGCTGGGTATACAGTCATCTCCTGCTCTGCTGTAGGGTCATTATTTTATAATGATGGTGTATTCATGTGGATGATTCAGGTCAGGTCAGTGCAGAGAGAGAGAATCTCCACCTGATTAGCAGCATGATATCTTTTAGTTACACTGTGTAGATGTTACCATCCCTGCTGTCTAATAACCAGGATTGATGCTGCATCAACAAATTCCTCTGAAATCTATTATTCACCATTCGGATGCAGTTATGTGTCAGCTGCAGTATTTACAAGCAGTGCAGCAGCTACATCAGTATAGTCTCAGGCTGCACCCAAGAGGTCTGGACCTCCTGCATGGATTTGGACGCAGGGAGCTGCGATACACTTCGGGGGCCCTCGTGCATCCTGCAGGAAGCAGAAACGCAGCAGAAAGGGTCATTCCCACAGTGCAGCGCCTTCTAATGACTTCACCTCTGCTTTCTCTCAACACGCTGCTTCAGCCTAAAGATTTAATTAGTGGCTTCTAAGGCCATTACTTATAGGGCAATTAGCATCCTGGCAATGCTGGTTAACTTCTATTGTACTAAAAATAACACAACTTCTAACAAAGTTACTGCATTGATTTGACTTCCAATTGATTCTATTGATAATAGAGAGCATGCAAATTAACAGTTTCAGAGCAGAGCATGAATCTGATTACCGTTGAGTTCGTAGCCTTGGCAAATGTTCAACTCTTGACCCTTATTTGGGCCTTTACATTTATGATTTAATCAAAATATACTGATGTCATAAAATGACACTACAGATAAAGAGATATGGGTAAAGAATACACACAAGAAAACCAGTACACACATTTTATAAACCAATAAAAAAAACAGTTCTAAGGATCCAGATTAGAGCAGCTGTGGTTTGCTGGTATCCAGGTCCAGATTTCTTATCGTATCTTCACATTGAAAGTATGTATGACACATAATGTAACAAGAATAAAATATCTTTAAAATGGAAATAACATGTTCTCCCAGTTGGTGTTCAACACCCTAATTCAGATGAAAACAGAAAGAAAATATCGACCACATAATAATGATATTCCACCTTTAAAGACGAAACACCTTTCATCCCATTTTATTTCATAGTATTTTTATATTAAAGCTCATGAATGTCTCAATGTGACCAATCCCAAACATGACAAAACCTTTTTCCCCTCAATCGACAGTCAAGCTGGTCGTAAACCTAACTTTAAAAAAAATATCTCTAAATCAGAATCAGAATGAGAAATACTTTATTAATCCCAGGGGGAAAATGTGACATATTCGCTTCATTTAACACAATAAGGTGCAGCTTCCCTGACCATGACTCTACATGTGACCACGCAAATCTAAGTGAAAAACTACGAACACACACACACACACACACACACACACACACATAATTAAAAGGGCAGATCATATTAATCAAAATATAAAAGTACCACATTTTTGTTTGCATGCATCTGTTGCAGCAGATGAGAAAATAAAGACCTTTCATACACACATCAGTTATATGATGAATAAGATACCTTCACATATCATCATCATGTGTGCTCCTGTGTGCACCAATCAAAAGCTTTTTTCTTCCTATCCACACATGCAAACTGGTCGATCATGTTTATCAATAACTAAAAATACCACCATAAATAATATGGCATGGTGATGCTTTCTTGTCTGATACACAGCATAACATAACATAACCCACATTAAAAGAAGAAATACATGCATAGATCTGCAATACATGATTATACTATTCCTGCAGGCTTAAGTCGAAAATCATCTTTTCACCCAACAGAAAATGGAAAATAATAGGAAATTATTTTATAATAATCTGTTTTTACTGATGTGATACCGTGTTTCACATGTTATTCTCATGTAGCTCTGCTGCTGTGCACCCAACCCAGATCTACCAACAACCTTCTCTCCACATGCAAACTGTCAGCAGGGCGTAAAAAAAAAAAAAAAAAGACACAGAAACAGAAATCTTCGCTACACCTCTCAGGCACGGATTGAGGAGGACCACTATCGATCGGCACGTTATTTATTTTCATTGGATGTCAGCGTGTTAACCTTGGACACACGACCCTCCCCTCCCCTCCCCTCCCCTCCCCTCGTCTTGTCCGGTGGACTGGAGAGAGGAGGTTAGCTGGCAGGTGAATGACAGTGGAGAAACAAAAGAGCCGTGCATGGTAAAAAAAAAAAAAACGCAGAAGCCTGAAAAAGCCGGATCGGGCTCAGGAGACATTATAGCAGCGATACTGACAGGCAGCCGTAATCATGATATGACGGGGCCTGCTTTTTTTTTTTTTTTGAGGCACAGTACGCATTTTCCAACTGCAGCCTGTACACGAACTGCTGCGTATTAATGGACGCCTCACATTGTAGCCACATGAAAAAGGGGAACACTTGTGGTAAGTAAGTGAAGCTGCAATGTTACACCCTGAAACAACAACCAACGTCGGTAGAGCAGCATGCACACACACGGCGGCTTCGACCCTCCCCCCACGGCCAAACAATAAGCACGTCTGAGGAGCAGAGGTGCGAATCCTCATCTTACCTCTGTCGTTGTATCAAAGTATCGATCTCCCCGCGGTCCGATCGACGGTAGAAGCGTTCCCGAGCAGCGGACTATTTGTTTATGCCGCCGGTTACGGGTGATTTATTCCGTTGTGCGGCTTAAAAATACATGACCTCACCAAATTCACTTGCCTACGTTTCCATCTGCCTGCTACTGACAGGCCAGGACGCGCAGTGCGCACGGGGCATGCGTCCCAGCAGCGCGTCACTCATCCACAGAGACACACCCACTGCCGCCTCCTCCATCCATCCTTCCTTACTTCCTTCCGCCTATCTATCTATCTATCTATCTATCTATCTATCTATCTATCTATGAAAAAACAAACGTATTGGTTGTTGTCGTTAAACTGTATGAGAATGAATCAGAGCCTTAATAAACAGATTGTATCCATGTTTATCTCCACTTATAAACAAGCTTTGGAAGCTGGTATTTTATGTTAAGGTGTATATTCTTTATAGATCACTGAACACTCAGGTTTAAAAAAAAAAAAAAAAACCTCACATTTTGATGTTGCTAAAGATAAAATGCCAATTCTGGTGCTCATGTCCCCAAGTGACTGTCCTTACTGCAGAACCCTGCACTGAGAGGACACATGTTGGAGAACACTAATGCAAGCAAAATAGAGAAGTAGCACATGTAAATTTGGCTATTTTTTTTATTCTTATTTTTATCTGTCTTCCTGTTGAGTTTAAATTTAGGCTGAAAAATCTATTACAACCAGTATTTAAATATAATTTATTCTTGAAAGGATCCAACTATGATTATGCAGCCCATGGTCTACATCTAAATTGACTTTTTTTTTTGGCAGAGAGAAGCTTTTTCACCGCAGTAAAACTCTAAAATAGCGTTATACTTGTTTTATTTACTGTACAGTCAGGAGACATTACATAACAGTTCTCCCTGTTTGCACAGTTCTGTGGTTTAGTTAGGGAGGGGGGGGGAGGGGGGTGTTTTCAGACTGGCTCAAATGGGTATAGGCCTCATAGCCTATCAAAGTCTACAGGTAAAATAGTGATGCTGCAATAATTATTTAGGCCTATATAACTATTAATGAATTGAAGGCTATAATGTGCATGATTAAACAGTGTCACCATGCCATGTTTATTCTGTCACACAATAGATCTCTGCATATTAAACTGCGGGATAATTCGGGGACTATGCCATGCACCGGCTCTGCAGAAGTCCATAGTGTACTACAGTAGTTAGGGTACCATCTAGAGTTCATCCATCAGTTCCTATATGCTACGCTACAACAACGGAAGCCTGCAACGCAGCCTCCGCGAAAGGCATGTGACTGAAGAAAGGGCATTCGGTAAAATCACGTTAACTATATCGCTGAGTAGTTTCAAATTCTCCCCCTGCGACCCACCTGACATGCCTGCATGTTTGTTGTTTCTCCTTGTCCCTGCGCAGATACTCCGCGGCCTGCAGAGACAAGCTGCGCGCCACACACCCGGCATGGATAAGCGTCCCCGCACCGACTCCCGCAGCGAGACGAGGCTACTACGGTTTCTTACCCCTTGTTCGAAGAGAGCCCGCAGTGTTATGATCATCGTGAGGGAGCAGCCCGACAGCAGCAGCAGCAGCAGGCTACAATCCACTCCTCTGGCCGAGGTCGTTCGTCCTTCCCAGGCTTCTGTGTAGCGCACCTACCACCACCACCACCGGGGATCCACCGCACCTTTGGGCGTCAGACGGATTAGTTAAATCGGTGTTGCTGATCTCACGCAAACCCGCTATTGGTGGTTCTGACCTGTCGCTGTCAAACCGCGAGGCTAATCCAATTAAGCGTTTAGAGGCGACCAGCTAAGAATAGCGCCAATTACAGCGAAAAAGTTTCAGATCCTCAGCGTGGTGCTCGGTCGTAATAGAGCGAATGAATGGGGCACCATGTACAGTTCATGTCATTGATGAATTACCTGCCGGAGAGGAGCAGCTTTTACCGAGAGGACGTCAAAATCAGCAATGCGATGATCACAAGGATTGTTTTGGATCCGTGGTGGGAACACTGAGGATCACACAGAGGATCACTGCTGACACAGGATACATATGATACCAGGTAATATTCTCTCCTACCATCTTCCTGCTGCCTACACACTGCTGGTTGTCACTTTGGGGAGGTGGGTGTCTCCATGTTTAGGTGTCTTCCATCAGTTTTGCAAGATGAATTCTCTTTAGGCAACACACCGAGATTAAAATCCACAGGACTGAATTTATCTGGAAGAGTCTGAAAAATGTAAAATATTGCCTCCATATTCAGGCCTGTGTTGACAAAAAAAATAAAAAAATCAGGTTGCTTAAATGTGGAATGAAGAGCCTGATAATGCTGCAACTACATAAATCAGCCTGGCTTTAATGCTCCCCACTATCAAGCTTTGGTTATCATATGAACGTTGCATTTTTAGTTTCCAGATGCCTTTTAAGAGACAAAATCCTCAACAAGCACATTGTACTAAATTCCTCAAATTAAAGTGCACCTTCTCTGCCTGTGTGTACATCATGTGGTGTCTGCTAATGTTGTTTGTCTCTAATAGGATAATAAGGCAGCTTGCTCACTGCTTTCTTTGAAACCGTGAGAGACGCTGCATTTTAGTCCGAATACATCGAGTAACGAGCAGGATAAAGAGGCTTTTCCACAGGGAGCTATAGAGGAGAAAAACATGCATAGAGCGGCAACTGGTGTGTAAAATGGACTGAGTATTTACAGGATAAAGGTAAATGAAAGTGCTTTTTTTAATGTCGTTTGTATGCTTTGTAATTCCACCTTTATCATGGCTTTTTTTGAGGGTTGTGATTTCCTGATTGCAGAGCTCACAGTCACACGCTTCATGTTTGTCGTGAGAGAAAGCAGGACAAACTAGACTTCACTACACATCCTAATGTAACAGTTGAGGTGGTATTTGCCAAGGGATTCAGCTTCATGTGACAGTCTGCTGTCAGGAAAAAAAACGAGCATCCAGGTTTCTGTGTTGGTTCCAGCAGCAGTGTGTGACTTTACAGCACTACTGGAGTACCTTTACACCTGTAGACAGAGCACTCTGAGAGGGGAGCAGCTGCTAAAGTTTTCGCACAAAAGTCGATGGATGGAAACACCTGGCAGGGAACCCTGTACTTCCTTGTCTGATCCCTTCTGTGGCATGAGAGAAAAGAGTGTGCAGGGACTCAGCAGGATGATTCTACATCATCATAATTATCTAATCACTGATTTAAAAAAAAAGGTTGTGTGCAGTTCTAGTAAAGCTCATGACCTCTCAGTTTTATTGGTATTTCTGATTTCTTGCAGCACACTTCACACGTCCCTCGCGTTCATGCAGACAGTCTGGTGTCACAAGCCGAGGGATAAATTCAGTTTGAGCGAAGGATTTAACCAGGGCTAAAGTGAGTTAATTGGGTTGGTTTGTATCAGTGGAAACAACGTTAAGTAAACCATGTTGTTGGCTGTTTGGACCCTGTTTAATTAATGCTCTGCTACGATCAAATACAAACACAGTCAGGGAAATTAAAAAGTCTTAAAGGTGTTTTTTTTTTACAGTCTCAAACAAATTATGATTTTGTGTGGAGAAAAAAGTGAACCGGGACACAGTTTTCACTCCCAGTGTTGTAATGAGAGTGATCATATCTTTTAAGTGCAGTGATTTCTTTGATTTTTAAAAATAAATATGAACGTGTTGCAGTTATTTCCGCCCTTCAAATCGGACACTAACTGAAATACTAAGCTAGTTTCTACAGTAATCTTCCACAGTTAAAGGATTTAGGGTAAATTCTGAGTTGATTTTCCTTTGAATAAAAGATTTATCTTCAGAAAAGTGGGGTTTGAAGCTTTCTCAGAACATGTTGATTTCATCAGGACATGATAGTGTGAACCAAGTAGTTTTAGCAGAGGTGTTTAAATAGAAAAAAAGTAGGCAAATAAAACTTGATTTAAGAGATAAAACCTAAGAATATGGTAAAAGTATGCAAAAAAAAAAATGCAAAAACAGCACTGAGATAGGAAAGCCTACATTTAAAGGCTGCAATTAACCATTCACTTCGTTATCAGTTAATGTGGTAGTTATTTTTATAATTAGTCATTAAAATTTCTTGAAGCCTCAAGTGATGATGATTTTGCAAACAACCCAAATAAACTTTAATTATGACATGACAAAAGCATCAACTCTTAACATTTGAAAAGCTGGCTATGTTTTATGCTGATTCAAAATGATTCATCAGTTACCAACATTTTTGCAGATCAATTTCATGTTGATTGATTCGTGATTCATTTTACAGATCTTGTATAGCACTCCCTGTCTCACAGGTTTCTTTTGGTGCTCCACACTCTCCACTCTCTACAGCCTAATGCCTACACAACATGTCACAACAAACTCATATGGGATCATGACACAGTCGCTTTTGAGCTTTCCTGGAGATGCCCTCTGGTCAGAAGAAAGCCTATTAGCTAACCGGACGGGCACAGAGTGCGAGAGGCAGTGAGACTAATGGACTGCCATGATCTTATCGAAAGAAAGGTTTCTTTTTCTTTCTGCGAGGTGTCTCAGGGATGTAAAGATGGGGTGGAGAAGGTGACGAGAGGATCACAAATCGGATACTCAGAAAAGAAGAATGGCTAAATATGGAATTGTTTTCAGCAGCGTTGATAGATGTCGATTACACTCGTGCAGATTCCTGAGGAATTACACCTCTGCTCAGAATGTCACCTGAAACAAAGGCTGATTTTTTGTTGTTTGTACATGTGTTTGTTTATATGTGCCGTTATGTGTGTGTCCTCAGGTGCATGCTGGGAATGTGTGCAGGATGAGCAGCACATTTGTAACATTAGCTGAAGTGTTGGAGGCTCGAGGGGGCCCTCTGCTGGAGGAGGAGGTCTGGTCCCTGCTGCTGGCCACTGCAGAGTCTTTAGTGGATGTCTCTTATAAGGGTAAAGCACTTCAGACAGTAGCACACGTACATCACATCTAAGAGTTACCACTGAACCACGACTCCACTGCAGTGTGAATGTAACACACACACACACTTGAATGTATCCTCCAGTGTTTTGGGTTTGACTCTGTGTGACTCTCTCCCAGAGCTGTAACATGAGCATCATGGTTATGTCTTGTGGATTTTTCTACTTCCTTCTTTTTCAGGTCAGAACAATATGTGTAATATAATAAGCCCCACCTCCCTGCTGCTGTCAGCCACTGGCACTTTAGCATTTAAGAGCTGCGGCCTATCAGACGAGGTTTCCACCTTCACCGCTCCGGAGATGCTGCAGGGCCGCGCCAGCTCAACCAAACCGGCCATGGAGAGGGTCAGTGCACACACACACACACACACACACACACACACACACACACACACACACACACACACACACACACACACACACACACATTATCAGTGTATGGCAGAGTTGTCTCTGCAGAATCAGCTTTTTATTTTTTTACTGGTGAATTTGGTGGTTAAATCTGCACTGACTTTGATTGTGTGTCATTTTTACGTGGAGTGTAACGTCTCAGGATGTCAGGAGTTGAAGGACAAGTGAAGTGTGAGCACACCATCTAGTGGCTGAGCGGAGGAACTTCAGCTTTCATTGCTGCAATTTTTGAATCCTTATTTCTTAACATTGGGAATAAAGACTCCTTAAACAATAACAAGAGTGCTGCATACACAGAAAATTGTGTTTGCTTGTCTCACACGTAGTATCTAGAAGTAGAAGTAGTATACCATGACAAATGTCTTTAAACAGGTGGACAGATGAGTCCGATATACTGCAGTCTATTCAGTATGGTTAAATCAAACTTTAGTTATATGTTCGGACATTTAGAGGAGAATTGGTGGAACAGTCGTTATGTTTAATTTTCTTCACTTTGTTTGATTGATAGTTCTCTTGTTGAATCACAAGATGTTGCTTTTTGACCTTCGAACTTTATCTCCAACATCCCACACTTTGCCTCAAAGTGCCAAACACACATTCCTCTTATCACTTCTTTGAGTTATAGTGAAGGTTTGAATATTATCAGAGAAACACAACATAAAAAAACAGATTTGTTTTTAGTAATTTTAGTATTTTTTTTACCTGTCCTGTGATTAACTTCTGTATTTGATTGCAACAGATGCTGGTGTATTCACTGGGTATGACTCTCTACTGGTCAGTTGATTTTCACCTACCTCAAAATCAGGTGGGAACCTCTGACACACAACTCTCTTTTAACTTTCTTTTGGATTTTTTAAATCAACGTCACACAACCCCGTTAACACGATAACTTTCCGCTGTCTCCCCCCTCTCAGCCAGTCCAGTTGAGTGACCACCTGAACAGCCTCCTCCTCAGCATGTGTGAGGATCTGTCCCACCGCAGGATCAATCTCAACTCCATCCTGGAAGCCTGCGAGTCTCAGCACAAAGCCTCCATCCTGCCTCCGCCTGCCAAAGTCATCAGACAGCTGGTGGAGGAGGTTTTCCATGAATCTGTGAGTCTGTCTGTGAGCGTCCAGCTCCCCTGTGGATCATTGAGGATGTGTTTAGATTTAGAGCAGCGCTGTGACTTAATCTAAAGAATCTATTTTTTAATGGAAGTGGTTTCTTTTCCTCCAGATGGACCATGGCTCTCTCCCTGACAGTAATGTCCCTTTGAACGGCAGGAGTCAGATGATCAGAGAGAGACTTCATGGTGAGCATGTCAGACCTTTGATATTTAGTTTTATCTGACTTCATTTTTGATTGATGGTGAAAAAAAGTGTGGGAAATGTTGTCAATCTAAATACTTAATAAACTTCATGAAATGCCTCAATATGTCTGTAAATACAAGGCTCTTAGTGGAAATGTACGCAATCATTTTATTTAACTCTAATGTCCCATGGTAATGAGTACATCTCTGATGTTTTCTCGAGATCTCAACTTATTTATCTCATTCGTTTACTTGTGATAACGGGTTAATTTCAGCCATTATGTCGATATATTAAGTCGAAATCAAAGGAAAAACCAGCATAGTTATAAAAAGATAAGGAGATAAAGAAGTCAAGATCTTTAAAAAAACATCCAAACTCTACTTTACTGGTTTTCACAGGAAAACATAGTGAAATAAAATGTATCAATGTTTGTCCTCTTAGGGCTTCCGTACCTCAAACATCTGCTGTTTAGCCTTTACAAAACCAGTCTTGTTGAATTGTTAAACTCATGGACAGGGAATCTGCACGATGACTTTCTAAAGTTAAACCTTCTTATTTATAAATAAAGTGCTTTAGCAGATTTTCTTCTACCTGACTAGTGACACACTGAAAGAGAAGTCATGTCACTATATGCTGCTCTCATGAGGTAGACTGTCTCAGCTCTGCTGTCCAAAGAAAAAAAGTCGAGTGATGTCATTAAAAATTAGTAGTGTGGGGCGCGCCCTGGTTGCGCAATGGTTAGGGGGCACCCATGTGTTGAGGCTGTCGTCTCAAGCGGGCGGCCCGGGTTCGCATCCCGCCTGTGGCCTACTTCCCGCATTTCGTTCCCCACTCTCTCTCCCTGGTTTCTGACTCCATCCACTCTCCTATCTAGCGGTTAAAGGCACAAAAAGCCAAAAAAATAAAATCTTAAAAAAAAAAAAAAATGAGTAGTGTGAGCAGTTTGAAATGAAAGGCCCATCATTAATAAAGACACATACGCCTAATCAGCATGATTTTAATGTAAAGTGTCTGGACTTGAAAAGTGATGATAGCACCTTCTTCCACCCCTTGACAGAAAACACTTCATATACATAACAGTTCATTTACATGCGATCGTGAATATCTAACAGAAGTTTACGATGTTATAAATGACTGTTTGATGCGATTGGCTGTCTGTTTTCAGTTTGAGAGCGTGTTGCCCACGAGCAGGCTTTATCATTGTTCGTTTTAGTGCTTTATTGTACAAGGATGAAAGTTTTTTTGATTGTAGATGTTGATGCTTGCGCTCAAACTGTCTTAAAAGTAAATCCAAAAAAACACGCTCACCTTAGTAACTTATGTGGGTGCTGAAACCTCAACCAAAAAAAGTATTGAAGGCATCAGGACAGCACAACAGAATCTTAAACTTCCACTTTTTTTAATTGCTGCAGACTGTAGACGCAGCCGTCTTCAGCGGCTTCAGGCAAACAAACTCAGACTCATACTGTCTTTCAATATGAATAATGAGGGAACATCAGGTCAGAAAGTGCAGGAATCTGAGTCTGAGTTGGATCAAAGTGGCAAAATAATATGAAACAATTCAGACATCATAAACCCGATTTGACCCCTTGAGAAATTGTGGCCTTCATATTTTCAGAAAGTGGTTGCAGTCGTTGCTCTTATAACTGACGACAGGTCAACAGGATTAAAATCTTAACCTTAAGCAAGCAGAGGATTAGGCTCGTGTGAGAGCCAATCACCAGAGTGTGGATGCTCTCGGCTAAACCCTCCACTAGCTAGACTCAGTTCTGTTCAAACATCTCGGTGCGTCCGATGAGCAAAGAGACAGCGGGAATCAGACATTGGTGTCATCTGTCCTCTCTTTCCTGGTGTACAGGAAAGAGGGGGCCTCTGTCAGACTTCAGTGAAGGAAGCGCTGAGGGGAGGAGATACTCAACGGACTCTGACTCAAAGTCAGGTACGCATGAGAGGCGAACACCGACGACAACTAGAACCACTTTCTTGTACCCCTGGCAACACATTTTTATATAGCTCATAATGTGTGTGCAGGTGGTTATATGTGCATGTGCTCATTTTATGTCTGTTTTTAAGGGAGTTTACATCAGAGACCTTGGAGACAAAGACCAAGGAGTTCTACCACGCCGCTGTACCACTCTTCTTTAGACAGGTGTGTACTTTAAACACACACACATACACACCAATATTGTAGTAATAGGAAGATTCTTTAAGCGTAAAAAGGATCTGTGCGTGCATGTCCACATAAATAAACCTCCCTCATTGTCCGTCCTGACTTTGAGGGGACATGACATTGTCCCAGAGTTTGACTTTCCTAACTTGCCTGAACAACTATTACACAATCCATCCTTACCCACTTCTCTCTCTCTCTCTCTCTCCTCTCTCCTCTCTCTCTCTCGCTCTCTCTGTCCCCTCAGACTCCCTCGTGGGGTTCGTCACAGGGACAGCAACTGCAGTTGGCTTGGCGGGAGCCCCCACCACAACATTTCTCCAAAGACGCCGGGCAGATCTCAGAGTCCCTCCATCACCTTCAGTGAGTCCTCGCTCAGCCTGAGCCAGAGGAAAGCCAAGGTAAGAGCGAACAGGACCTGACCTAAAAAGTTATTACAGTGCATCCGAGCTGCAAGTTTTTTTTTCTTGCAGGGATCGTTGACTTTAAATTTTTCAGAGCGGACAGCAGAGCATTTAAAAAAACAAAAAAGCTTTTCAGATGTGTCGCGGCTTACAGATGTTATATTCATGTTTTTTTTTTTTTGTCAGTCTTTGGGTCCTGAGTTCGCCAGGATGCCAGATGAACAACAAATAGTCCTCGAGCTTCCCGGATCTATCGTGGTAAAATCTTCATCTCTTTCGGCTTTCTGCTTCTGGTTGATGTTTTATTTAAATTCCAGTTTTTTTCACTCTACTTGAATTTGTCTTTTCTTGCATGATAAACTATGTCTGTCTGTAAAATTCCCATGTACAGTACTCATGTACATGTATGTGAGCATGTCAGTTGTTTTTTTTTTATGTATGTCTGTGCTTTTTTGTGTGTGTATGTGTCTGTCCACAACAGTCCAAAAAGGGCCGTTCTTGCTCGTCTCAGAGAGAAGTGACTGTGGTGCTGCCAAACGGACAGTATGTGGTGGTTCGCTGTGACATTAAGTCCAAAGCACGAGATGTGTTTGACATGGTGGTGGCTCATGCAAACTTGGTGGAGCACTTCTACTTTGGTCTTGCCTTTATAGATGGTACGAGGACAAATGACATGTGACTCATTTATTTGAATGCACATCAGACATTCAAATTAAAACATTTTCATGTAAAAATATAAAATCCTGATTGCAATATTATTCCCTGAAAAAAAAAAAAGGCTTGAGGGGGATAATATTGTGTTTGTTATAATACTTCAAATATAAATTATATTTTCCATAAAAACCTCATGGCTAGTATATTTTTGTAGTCATACGGGATTTTCTTTGTCGCGTTGCAGATGATGAATATTTCTTTTTGGACCATGACATAAAGATCTCCAAAGTTGCACCTGACAGCTGGAAAAAAGGGCAGATATCCTCCTTTTTGGTGTTTCTAAGGGTTAAATTTTTCGTTGATGATATCTCCTTCATCTTGTAAGTACACCACTGTTGTTCTGACTACATGACTTTAAAAAAAAAGAAAAGAATATAGGCATGGCCAAGATAGCATACTGCATGGTATACTTTTCTAAATGTTAGACAGGATACAACAATCTGCTTAGATTGCTTTAAAAAATGTTTAACCTTTATTGTGCTATCTGAAAAAAACTGTTCTTTTCATGTATTTGAAGTTATGTTAAAATCATTTTGCTGCTTTTTATTTATCTTAGGCACAAGCTGACCCGTCACCAGTACTACCTACAGCTGCGTAAGGATATCCTGGAGGACAGGCTGTACTGTAATGAGGAGACGAGCTTGTTTCTGGTTGCTCTAGCTCTGCAGGCTGAGTTTGGTGACTACATGCCAGAGGTAAAGGAGGACAAAAAAAAAAAAAAACACCTACATGTATGTCTTTAAATGCCAGAAACATCTTTCTGCATGTGTCACAGCTGCACTTTTGTGTTTTCGTTTTTTTTAGCTTTATGGAAAGAACTATTACCAGCCAGAGCATTATGTGTCTAAGAGGATGCTGGAGAAGCTGGCCCTGCCTAATATCAAGGAGGAGTTACCAAGACTGCATTCAAGTCACGCACAGATGCTCCCTGAAGAAGCTGAAACCGAATATCTCAAGGTATGTCAGCTCTGTATGCACTGGCTTTGATGATTTTTTTTCACTTTTCAGTTTCAATAATTAGCTAGAGTTGTTTTATGCTAATCCTCTCATGCAAATACACAGACAGGATTTGAAATAATTTTCAACCCTCAGATTGCCCAGCAGTTACCGGAGTACGGGGTTATGTTCCACCGTGTGGGTAGAGAGAAAAGGCCGGTGATGGGAGAGTTAGTTTTGGGAGTCTGTTCCAAAGGAATCATAGTGTACGAGATGAAGAACCACCTCCGCGCCGTCACCAGACGCTTCCTCTGGAGGGAAACTGACTCCATATCAACTGGGGTAAAAATAAGAGCCATGTTGTACAGCTTTTCTGTAATGAAGCTCAGCGTTTACGTATGATGACTTGTGTCCTTCTTTCAGCGACGTAAACTGATTATAGAGTGCGGCGGACCCAGCGGGAGAAAGCACAGTTTTGTAACAGAGAGCTCAAAAATAGCACAGTACCTCCTGAACCTCTGCTCGGCACAGCACAAGTTTCACAGTGAGATGACGTCGCGACAACTGAACCACACCTTGATACCAGGTCGGAACATTTCAGTGATTGTGTGGAGTGCTTTGGCTTTGTCCATACCTTTACACATAAAGGAAACGCTGCTCACAAAGGTTATAGCTAAATATAAATAACCCCCGATTCTCCTCTGTTCCTCCAGATGAAAACATGGAGAAATACCTGTCCGTCTACCAGAGTCATAACTTGAACCTGAAGCGGATGTCGTGCTCAGAGGGCATGCTGAACCATGTCGGTGTAACACCTGGTCAGCCGGACTCTATCTCAAAGTCATGTGATGACCTAACAGCTAAGCTGGAGGCTCGGCTGCGCCAGCAGAGAGAGATGAGGAGGGAGATGAGCCGAGAGCTGAACAAGGAGCTCCTTGACTCAGGAGAGCACAGGGACACGAGAGAGCGACAGTGCTGGAGGTAGCCCTACAAATAAAAATACCTTTTCATATATATATTTTTTACGGAAACATATTACCGTCCAAAATAAAGAAAGCAGACGTTTAATGCAAGTGTTCATGTGTGTTGCAGCACTCAAGAGCAGATTCCCAGAGGGATGTCCAGTGTGTCACTACAGAAGCAGGACTCCGACGCGTCTTCCTCCATAAGAGGTGAATTTGTCAATTTTGGTGATTATTTAAAAAGAGGTGACAAAAAAGATTAAAAAAAACAACAACTTTTAGCTTTTTTATCAAGCTGACTGGACACCATGAGCGTCTTAAAAGCCTTTGGGCTTCACCTGCACCCGTGAATCTTAACATGATGACATTAAAAAAAAGAAAAGAATGCATTCTTAGTAGTCTATATACTATCTGTAAAACATGTGCTTTTCAGTTGAAACACCGACCAGGACCCCACCTGAGAGAGAGATCGTCTGTGTCAGCCTGAAAAAAGATGCCAAACTTGGCTTTGGTGAGTTTATTAAGAACAGAATGAACTTTAATCTCGATGTAAAATCAATGAACAGAGTGACTTCACTTCCTCTCTGGTCCTATTTCAGGATTTGTGATTGTAGGTGAGGACAATACAGGTAAACTCGACCTTGGGATCTTCATTGCTTCGATTGTGCCTGACGGGCCCGCGGACAAAGATGGACGAATAAAACCAGGTAGCCTATGACGCAACCAACTGTTGACCAAAATCAGACATCAAACATTTTCTCTTCAATCATGCTCAGAGTAGGACGCTCAAATGCTGTTATGATGTCACACTGCTGTGTTTGAGGGTTTATATATGTAGATTATAATTACTTTTAAATTATTTAACTGTTTCCATATTTTAAAGCAACAATTAGATAGTGACATTTAAAATCCTGAAGGACGGCAGGTTTTAACTTAAAGCAATGTATTTGATGACCTTTCAGTTGTGCTACATCAGACCGGAGCTAACTTAATCCTAACTTAAGTTACAGCTAGTTTACAATCAGACAAAAGCTAATGTTAGCATGTTACAAAATCCTAGCTAATAATACCGTTTTAAAGGAATTTAATAACTTCTAACGTTACATTTTGAAAGTTTTTAGTTATGAAAGGATAAACAGGCATCAACAACAGCTTAACATTCAAACCCCTCCTAACAAACATGACTGAGAGATATTACACTAAGATGAAATACATTCAGAAGGTTATAATACTGTAGCATTTGGAATGTAGACGCAGGAATGGCAACATATCAAGACAGTAGCTTAGCATTAACCTCTAATGACAATATTACTGTTACAAATTACGCCTTTTCCTATAGTATCGTATAAAACAAGCAGAAACTAATGCTAGCATTCAGCACTTCCTCGCTAAAGGTAAGCTGAATGTGTGGCTGAATGCTAACGCTGTCGTCCTTAAGGTAGCCAGGATTTTTTACTATCCAGTCTTCAGTCTTTAAATTTATATAATCAGGAAAAAGTTAAGGTCAAATCTTAACATTATAGAAAAATAGCTGCTGCAAAAAGATATTTGGTTCCAGGAGTGGGGAGAACGTGCATGTAGTCACAAATCTGGCCTACTTAGTTAAATGAAAAACAGCTTTTCTAGAAACAAAATCTGGCTTCACATGACAACCTATAACAAGGACTTTGTTGTTGTAGGTGGACGCCTCATTTCACTCAACAAAACGAGTCTGGAAGGAGTGACGTTCAGTGACGCTGCTGCTATCCTACAGAGCAGCCCTGATGAGGTGGAGCTCATTGTGTCCCAGCCTAAACGTGAGACCTGCTTAATGCTTTTTATTTTGCCTTGTTCTACTCCATACAGTCATGCTATTATTCAAAACAATGTCAAACCATTAGTTGGGATCCAATTAAACTATTAGTATACCAACGCATTTCTCTCACCTGGTTGTTTTTCCTATCAGAGTCTCTGAAGGACCGTAAGAGCTCCCTGAGTCAAAGCACTTTGGGGTTAGCATTGGAGAGGGGCTTTGGGTCACAGACCACTCTGAGCGGCACCGAGTACCGTCCTGCCATGGAGGAGCTGGAGGAGGCCATCACTCTGTCCAGTCTGGCAACCCTGAAACAAAACAGGAGGCTTCACATTCCTGTTGTCAGAATTCATGATGCCCAGGTTAGACTAAGTGCTCTGCTAACAGCGGCTACAGATAAGTGACTTTGTTTCCATGGCAGCTGAGTTGTCAAGCGGAGGTCAAAGCTGATAAGAAAAAAAAGTTTAACTGTTGCCAATTGTTAAACGGATTAAGCGCTTTGATTAATGTGTTAAAACTCGCCTGCATGAGGCGTGTCCTGGAAATATCGTCTTCACCTCATTTAACCTTTATTTAAATAAAAGTGTTTTTCTCTTTTTTTTTTTTTTTGTGGCTCTTTTTCAGGACGTATGTTCCAGGTCTCCCTCTATCCTTAGTCTGAAAACTGGGGAGCGGTTTATGGTGGAGCTGAAGAAAAGTGGTGGCAGTCTTGGCATGAGTGTTGCTGTAAGTGACAATTAATACACTCATCACCTGTTTTAAAAAAAAACAAAAAAAAAAAACATATGTACAAATTAATAATGCTTTTGCTATATTTGGACTAATGAGGACACGCTTATTTTATCCGCGTCATGCCCACAGCGGAATGAAGTTCCCTTCCTAACGGTGGAGGGTTGAAATAAAGCAGCAAGCTTTGGGACGAACTCCCCTCGCTCCCACGGAAACAGGAACTTTATATAACCATGATTCTAAGTGAGATTTAAATAATGAGTTGTCCAGATAATTAATGTTGGGCAAGCTCATTTAAATCAGAACACAAAATGAGAAAAAAAAACTCCTTTATATTATGATTATAATCACATCTTACCGCTTCAATGTGAGTTTTTTTTAAGAGGATTAGTCCTTCTATATATAAGACACTTAACAGTCAAATAAACACACATACTGTTTTCAAGACTAGAAAATCGTTAATTAAGTCCTGGTTTTTACTTTAACTTTTTTTAATTTCTTACATCTGTATGTTCATAAATGTTTTTCTTATTTAAAGAAGTTTAAGTTTGTGCAGGGCATGGGGGATAACGCAGAACTTTTATGTATGGAGTGCCCCCATGACAAACACTAAAAGGTGTTACACCTGTTCAGTAAGCCGGCGTCCGTGCAGACTCACTTTCGGAGGGTTTAACTACCTACTCTCACTCAACCCTCAGAGGTTTTGGACGGCACTCGATGTGGCTGACCCTCCGCGTGGATGGTGTGAGAGTGTGTAGGGAGAAGGTGTATGGAGTGGTTTTAGACAGGCTCAGTGTGTTACCACGGTCTCTCCTACATTAAGCTAAAACCCTTACAGTCCTGTATATATCAGTCTCTTAAATTCCTACTGTCAATACTCAGTTGACGCTTTCATTTAGAGGGCTTTGATACAATATGATTTACATTTTCCGAAACCTTTTTTTTTTTTTTTTTAAGAGACATTATAACCAAAGTCCCTAAGGACTCTGACAGTGCAATAACCTACGTTCACTGGCACCTCTCTGCATTTCTTTTGTTAGCTTTGTTGCTCTACAGAAGTTGACATTCGTTCTACTTATCATCCCCACTTCCTCTATGACTTAAAGACGTTCACACAGAGAAGCTGAAGGACCACTACCGTGCCCAGGCATACGGCCTTGTGCCTGATGCCCTGTTGACATACACCCGGGAAATTGTGCCAAGGACTTAGTGACTTTGTTCTTGAAGTGCGCGGATCGGCTCAGGCAAACCGATTTATAGGGCCTTCACGCAAAGGCCAAAAGGTAACAATCAATTAAGCGAGTTGGATGCCTACACCCTGAGTCAGAGTACGTTTTAAAGGCCTGCTGTGACAGTGATGATCAGTAAGCTAGCGCTGGTACAGTCTCACCATCAATTTGACTTATTTTCTTTAATATGTACAAATAGATAAATGTCTTCTTTGTTATTTTCTTGTTTCAAAAGGGAGGAATAACCACCAACGTGCGATACGGAGGCATTTACATCAAGAGTCTGGTGCCTGGAGGAGCTACAGAGCAAGACGGACGAATACAAATCGGTAATTTTTTTTTTTTTTTTTTGCATTTCAATATTTGATCAGGTGTAAAGATGCAGCACAGGCCAACATTTTTTCCCCCACTCTTTAATTTAAAAGGATCACAGTGTTATTTGATTTTGAATGACTATCCTCATAATCAAAGGGTACAATAAAAACCCTGAGCAATATCTACCACATCTGTCACAGACCCCAGAGATGTTTCAACTCCCAAAAAACTGAATTTGAAATAACTTGAAAGTGGATTTAGAGTAATGCAGTGGACCTTTTAGATTAAAGCTCTTTAGAGAAGTTGTTCTCGAGGCTTTTCATTGTCATATTCTTTTTTTTTTTTGTCAGTCATTTTATGTTTTTTTTGGCACGCCATTTCTGCCACTGTGCTGTGTCTGCTTCATTCATGCTTCAGTGAGCAGGAAAGATTTTTAGATTTGTTGACATGACCATCAAACGCACACACACAAGTACACACACACACACACACTCACACACACACTAAACGTTTATGTATTACTGTTGCTAATGATGATGAGATTTGTGTTTGTGCACATGACAGGTGACAGACTGCTGGAGGTTGATGGGTCCAACCTAAGGGGCGTGACTCACCAACAAGCTGTCGAGTGCCTGAAGAGGACTGGGGAGGTAAACACACACACACACACACACACACACACACACACACACACACACACACACACACACACACACACATGCATGTATGCACACATGCATGTATGCATGCCAGGTGCTAAGAAGAATCGTGTAAATAAAAAACAATAAACAAACAAAACAAAATATTTAAGAAAAACAAAGACTGATATAATGTTTGCTGCATATGATTATAACTTTGAAGAGTTGTAGAATATAAATATTATATGGAATATAAATACAGTATTGTAAATATGATTTTGTACATTGTCCAAATAAATAGGAAATGAAGCTAGTTTTATTTCCAGCGTTGTAATGTTTGAGTCCTGCATCCAGGTCTTATGTGCTGTCTTCATTGTTTATTTCCTTCAAACATGATTACAGTCCTGCTCTTTTATTTGTCTAATGTACCTCAAATGAAACCATTAAGTGGTTAAAGATTCAAAACCCCCTCATTTGAGTTGTTTTGTAATTGACTATTTAACTGTAATTGTTGGACATTAGGACTTGTCGAACTCTTAAAGCTCCTTTCGGACTTTTCGGTTGTCTGTATTTGGCGACCCCTGTGGACAAAGGGGGAATATTCATAATGTCTAACTAGCAGCTCACATTGGTTTTTGGCTCAGACAAAAGTCACAAAGCCTGATTCAATAGTATGCTGTCATTTGCTTAGTCGGACACCTACCCTGGGTCAGAGCTGACAGGCATTTAAAATAACTATATATGAATAAATGATCTTCTCTTTGATGGTCTGGTTTGGTTATGATTTATAAAGGAATCTTTATTAATTTCAGTGTGTTTTTATTACCAGCTTAAAACTATTCACAGGAGCTTGAAGAACCAATTCAATACATTTTAAATCTAATAATCTAGAAATGGAATATTAGGTACGACTCACCAATCTCCATTTAATTAGGGTCTTTACCACAGTCGCCAGCCATTACACCATTCAGAGGCAAAGAATAATTTCATTGGTCGTTTTTAAAACATTTTTTTAAAGAGTTTTAAGAGGTAACTTAGTTGATATCTCTGCTGTAACTCTGCTACCTGTGTGAGCCCTTCTTTCTTTACAACTACTTCCTGTTTTAAAAACACAGCTATGATTGGTTGCCAGGGACAACGTGAGGTTAAGAACAACACTGACAGCTTCTGATTTAATTCTAATCATCACATTACATTTACATGATAAGCACCACACTATTCATAAATCGATATATTCATATAATTTGTTGCCTGGGTTATAACATGAGCAGAGAAAACGCTCGGTAACTGTTGATAGTGTTCATCATTTTCTCTAACAATGATTGAACAAACTGTTAAAAAAGAGGGTGTGTGTGCATCTGTTCCCTGTAGGTGGTGAACCTGCTGTTGGAAAGGGAGCCAACCATAATACTGGAGCCCAGACCTGAATCTCCCTGCCCCCCTTTGGCCCAGTGTCCATCACACACACAGCCCCCCAGGACTGAAGTCTCCATGGAAACGACCTTGAGTGGTCGAGCCAAGGACTACAGCTTTGTGACTGATGGTGAGAGGGGAGAGGAAGGGGCACAAACGCTCACAAAAGGGGGGAAAAAAAGACACACACACACACACACACACACACACACACACACACACACACACACACACACACACACACACACACACACACATTTGCACACATGGCCCAGAGGTGACTGTGAGTCATCTGACAGCTACATTGTGGTTTCTGTCAGAGTCATCCAGAGCTGACGCTGCCTCTGTCCCCCGAGACTACATGCTCTGAAACCTCGAAGCTGCCTGTTCAGCTGAGTTAAAGGGACAGTTCCTCGTCTCTGATTTTCTCTACAGGAGATGTACAAAGAAATGAAGGATTTTCTGCCTTTTCAAATTTATTCTTAAGAGATGTTCATCTCAAAGATACGTGTTGGAGAGATTGATGTACATTTTTTTTTTAACACAGTGATCCAAAATGCAGCCTACATTACTGATTAAAGATTACACAACACACATTGATGCTCCAAGATTCCCCTCCTTCTCCCTTTTTTTTTCCCCCCTAGAAAACACACATGAAGTGGTGCTGAGGAAGAGTTTGTCCGGCCTCGGTTTCAGCTTTAACATCTCGTGGCTGCACTCGGGGCCCGACAGTGGCAGCGTGGTCCGTATCAAGCGCCTGTTCCCGGGACAGCCGGCGCTGGAGAGCGGCCTGCTCCGAGAGGGCGACATCATCCTGTCGGTGAACAAAGAGCCCGTCAAGGACCTCTCTTACCAGGTACAAACTGAGGCTTTTAAATGAGTGTATCTTTTTCTGTCATTTTTGTATTCCCTAAACAGAGCGTTTCCACTCCCACACTCTTCCCTTTTGTTTTTACATATTTCAGTCTTCATGCACGGAAACTTTGCTTTGGTTGATTAGTCATTTCAACCTATTCAGATTTTTTTCTTCATGTTTTGTTGTTGTTTCGCTTTTCCATACATTACCTTTGCATGTTTAATGGATGCTTTTATTTTAAGCACTAATCCTGCAACACTGAAACATAAAGAAAATAAAGATAAATAAATTAAATACATCCTTTAGCAATTAAAAATAAGCCAGCCTGTTTTCATGTGCAAAGAAAGTATTTTTTTTTTGCATTTAAGAGGTTCTGCTATGGTTGATTATTTTATTAAGTATTGTCTGATACAAATGGTGATTGGAGATCAATGTTGCTGCACATTTTGATAAACATGGAGCTCACAACCGCCTAAAAAGTGTTCATACTTTGTTCACTGATGCTAGTAGTCGTTTCTGTCTGTTGAGGAATAATTGTGAATGGGCCGGCGAGTGAGTGAGCAGCTCTCCTAGTGACCCTGTTCTTTCTTAAGATCTCGAGCACGTCATCCCATCACTAATCCTTTAAGCTCAGACAACCAAAAATAGCGAGCCGGTTGTGTCCGAGCGTTTGATGTGTCATTTAATCTTTTGTGTCCGGCCAACATGTGTGGTATTTACACACAAGCATTTTAGCATAGCAACAAAAAAATACATAATGGGTTTTTGTCTCAAGACTTTAATACCCAAACCTTCCTGCACCAACAGTTTTCTGTGTGTGTGTGTGTTTGTTTGTGTGTATTTTGTTTCAGAGAGTCTTGTTTCTGCTACGTGGTGCTCCATCTGAAGTTCATCTGTTGATCTGCAGACCAGGTCCTGGAGTATTTTATGTTGTAGATGAAAACACACTGGTGAGTTTACAAACATGCACACACATTCACTGTATGTACAAAGGTAGAGAGTAGTTAACAGTTGGATATATGTGTGTAAGTATGCACCTGTATTTTGTTGCATGTTAATACAATTACATTATATCCTATATTAATGTCTGAATAAACCTACTCACTGATTCTGCACACCTGTTAGGTTTATAAATGTGGTTATAAATGTGAACTTTGAAAAAGATCATCTCCTGTCTGGTTCTCTAGAGTCCTGCAGCCTTCAGAGAGGTCCGGTCTCGGTCTCTGGACATCAGACTAGGAGAGGACTACAGCCAGCTGCTTAAGTTTAAATATGATGTCAAAATACCCGTCCAGAAGTCGGCTCCCACCCAGGAGGACGATGTGACCAACGCAGCGGAAAAGAGGCCAGAACCTCCTGCACCTCCCGCGCTCCCAGACAACCAGGAGGGTGTTGAAATCCAAGGCCAGAACAACCAGCCTCTCCCATCCCCTCCCCGCTCGCCCCCGTCACCCACATCGCCCACGTCGCCTCCGTCGCCAGTCTCACCAGCCTCGCCAGCCTCGCCCGCTTCCCCAGCATCACCTGCCTCACCTGCACCCGGCTCTCCGACAGCCCCGTCAGAGTCCCAACCGACCGCTGGGAGACCGCCAGAGGAGGTGGAAGCAAAGCAGAGGAGCAGAGGCAAAGAGGAGGAGAAGGAGGTGGCAACGACGACAAGCTCCGTTGTGACGCCTATGGACATCTGTCCTAAAACTGTTTATTCCAGGTAATGAAAACTACAATATAACATATTATTACACATCTTATTTCACATATTATCACATCATATAAACATGTAAACATATGCTGTATATCAGAAGTGGAGGAAGCCTCTGGTTTTAAAAGTGATACAATGGTGGCAAGCCTTAAATCTGCATTCTGTCTAATGGCCAGCAGGGGGGGGGGGGGGGACTTTACTGGTTGCAAAACAGAAATCCATTTGAATGTAAACAGATGGAAAATTGCCCCAATGTCTGTTTTTTTATTAACTCAGTTCTTATTTTCCTAACGCGTTTATGGATCTCATCGCTAGTTTTAAGTCTCATTCTAACATTCATGTTCATTTTGTAAATAATGGTCCCCTTACAGGTGATGTACGACTGATCCCCGTTCTAAAACTCACACATAGTGTTACAATGCTGGATGCCCTTACTAAACATGGGCAAGGTTTCAGATCAACCCAGGATAAATCTGGTGCGCTAAACGTCCTGTTCCGCAAATCACACGTTTGTTTTCTGATACAAAACCAAGAATCTCAAGCAGTTGAAACCTCTTACATAGGCTTACATAGGGAGGGAAGCCTTAAAGAGACAGCAGCTGAAATGAACCCTGTGCAGAGGCTGAAATGAGCATTTCTACCCAAACCTGTATATGATAAATAAGGAGTTTTGTAGAAGTGCAAATCATGCAAAGCTACTCTATATGTTACATAGACAGACATCATGACAGGTGAAAATTAGTATAACATACCAGCTCTGACAAGGTAGTTAGCCAATCATTGTTCAGGATTTTGGGGTGGCAACAGGGATTCTGAGATATGTCCAGACCCCGTGGATCCTCCCCTGCTCGTGTGCTCTGCAGTCTCTTAAGTACTCTTTGTTTATCTGCAGTGGAGTCCGAGAGGAGGCCGATGGAAGTGTGACCTACTGTCTGATGGGAAATGGACTGACCATCATGGCGGACGAAGAGTACCTGACCATCAGCTCCACAATGGAGCCTCCTCACAGCTTTTCCTCCAATCTCACCTCTCACACCCCCTCAACCAACCTCCCAGCCCCCCACTCTCAAACCTCCGTCCCCAGCTCTCAGAATCCAAACCTCAATCCTCACATCCCGACCACAAACATCTCACCTCTCAACCTCTCGTCCGACACCCTGAACACCTTCCCCCTGACCCACCCTTCTCAGCCCCTAACGACGCAGCCGCCCAAAGCCAAGCACCACCCGATCCAGCAGGGCTTCTCCCCAGTCACTACAAAGCCATGTCCAAGAGCAGCAGGCCTCTTGTGCCTCCACCTCAGCCTCCTGCTCCGTCACCGTCCCCCATCACAGCGCAGGTCATGTCCTCCGTGCCTCCCTGTGCAAGTCCACCTGCACCGACGCTACCTCCCCCAGTGCTGCCCCCTATTGGTCCGAGCCACACGCTGCTGAGGGAAGAACCAGAGAAAAGAGAGAGGACGTACAAGGATGATGATGCAGATTTGGATGAAGAGGAGGAAGAGAGTAGAAGAAAGGCAAGTTTGTCAAGTTTTGTGTTTTTGGCTAACTTTACCCCCGCCGGAAATTTTAGTTTCACCTCAAGATTCTTCTCGTATATGAGATATTATTGATTTAAACTGAGTATTTGGCTTGTAACACTTTACGAGCAGCCAAAGAGCTGCTGTAGATGTTTGTTTTAAACTGTTGAAGTAATCAATTTCAAGCATTTACATTTCACATGTAGCATTTAATTGTGATGAAATTGCATAGCCAGTAAAACAACCAAACTGGTAACAAAGATTCGATATTCTATGTTTTTTAATTCTTATCAGCATTAATCAAAGTTTACCAACCCTTAACTGTCACTTGCATTTGCACACGCTATACTGCTTTATAATGTATTTTTTAACCTTCAATTCATATCAAAAAACGTTTCACCATAGTGAGTTATCCTACCGAGCAGAAACAACAGATGCATTAGCCCATGCTGTTGTTTCTCCATACCTCTGTCTTTCTCTGCCATGTCAAGGTTTAGTGCTTAGAAATCTGTAACAAGAATTAAAGAATTTAAGGAAACACTTTTTTTATTCACTAAGTTCACCAGAGTCTACAAGGTGTTAACATTTAAGTATTAGCTTGAAGGGATGAAATTTAAGCTTCTTGTTAAAGTAACTTAGATGATTTATTGAAGGTAAAAGTTGAAATGATTTGTCTTGTTGTTTCCCTGTCAGGGTTTGGTCAAAGAGTTTGAGCTGACAGTCTTTCTGAGCAAATCCAGGAGTGGAAGCTTTGGGTTCACCATCACCCGAAGCAAGCTGGACAACTGCTACTACATCCAGGAAATACTGGACAACCCCGCCAAGTCAGACGGTCGACTCAGAGCTGGAGACAGACTCATCACAGTACGCAGAAACACACACATCTTCAATACCGAGCGTTATATCGCTGTAAAGTGTTTGTGTTGAGTAAGTAGTGGTCAAGGTGACGGTGATGATCTCTTATTGGTTTCCAGGTAAATGGGCACAATGTCACCAGTGTTGCAGACGATGTTGCCATGACGATCCTCAGGTCGTCTCCGAGAAAACTGAGCATGACCCTGGGGAGGGCTGTTACCAACCTGGTGGCCCCGCCTCCCTGTGACAGCCTGCCAGATGTTGTTCTCTACAAGACGCCTTCAGGACAGCTTGGTGGGGCTCTGACATTTTAGTTTTCATTCATTTCAAAGAACCTGGAGACCCAATCTAACAAAGCCTAGCCTTCATGAATCTAAAAAAAAAGCTTTTTAAATACAAAATCAAAAGAACATAATGATTATGAGTTTCAATAACATTTCCTGGAATTGTATTTTAATCGGGCAAATTGTTAATTGTAAGGTAGTTTATTCAGTCAGAGGAAAGGTCAGATAAAAGTTATTCTGCTGATATCTGTTTTTACTCCCACTGTTAGAAATGTGTGTGGACAATTAATGACAGCCAGGGATGTTGAGTATTGACCTCAGTTATATATTTACAGCTGCAAGAGTTGAGCTTTGTAATGAAAAGGCACTAGTAGCAAGTGCTACAGAGCCATCGGTTAGTATTACGTTTATGGGTTCAGAAATATTCCTTTAATAGGCTTTTATTTACTTCAATCTATGAGATTAGCCTGCCAATATTTTGGACAGAGGTCAATGCAAGACAGACTTTTAATTATTTCCAAACAAAACTCATGCACAGCAGAGATGGAAAAGATTATAAAATTGTAAATCTACACTGAAATCATATTTCACTGTGTAAACAATTAGGACATCATTCAAAACTTTTGATGAAATGATTTTGAGTTCATCTATGCCAACATGCTTTTTTGTTCTGCTAACTATTTAAACACTAGATGCATAGGGGCCTCGAACTGAGACCTGCCTTTATTCTCTCAATTATTATAAGTTTTATGGTAGGGGGACTTAGCATCCTAACTAAAACCACTGATTGTCTCGTGCAATTTTTTTGCAGTTCAGTGAGGACGATGTCAATCAAACTTGGATTTTTGACACTTCACAGTCCTGTGAAATTGTTCAAGCAGCAACATTTTGCTGAGTTTTTTTCTTTGTTGAATTTATGAAGGCAGAGATTCACAGATTTTGAATGTGCTTATTGAGTCTCTTTAACGTCATATCATATGTACATGTATATTATGTCATGCCGAATGCTTACAGGCTTCAGCGCACATCACCGGTATTGTCCTACTGTTTGTGTGTAGGTATTAAACTGACAGGAGGCATTGGCAGCAAATGGCAGGGCATCTACTGTCTGGAGGTGGTGCCAGGCTCACCTGCCAGCGAGGAGGGCAGCGTCCAACCCAACGACAAGATCCTCTACATCAGTGGCAGGTGCACGCTGGGAATGACCCTGGAGGATGCAGTCAAAGCCTGTGAGATCGCCCCGCGAAAAGTTAAACTCAAAATCATCAGGTCTGTGTCCTCAAACGCGAGAAATGTTTTCATATAGGTGTTTTGTTCTTTGTGTCTCTGAGTGACTCTCATGTTTGTGTCTGCCACAGAGAAGAAACACCAGTGACCCCGAAGGCTAAGTGGAACGGTGAGTTGCTCTGAAGGGTTAATGGGATGCTTTCGCCTGCTTGACTTAACCCAAGGACACATCAACAGGAAAGTTTTGTTTTGACTGCCTAGAAACCAGAAATGCTTGCGCTCCGCTGAGGAATGATCATTTAGGATCAATCATTAGCAGAATGTTTTGTGAGCTGTTCATCTGTATGCTAAATAAATGTTTTTGTACTAACGACGGTGTTACACTTCTAAGCTGTTCTCTCTTGTAGGTCTGTTTGACTGGAAGAAGGACAGGAAATTCTTTGCCCGTTTTGAAGAGCCGGTCTCTCCAGAGAGAGACTCTCCTACTGAAGATGGTGAGATTTTTTAAATTACAATTTAATGAAATTGAAAGGCTTTGTTTGTTATAGAAGTCTTAGGGGCATTTTTACCTAAGCATACAATATTAGAAAGTGTCCAAAAATAAAAAAATAAACAACACCAAGAGAGGTTTTCTGTACTTCGACCTATCTCCTCATGTTTTCTATCAGCACAATGACTCTAGCTTGTTGCTGCTTTGTCTGTTTGAAGCCGGAGCTCGGTGCTGAAAGATAGTTCTCTTTGCAGCTGTGTGTGTGTGTGTGTGTGTGTGTGTGATTTGAATGCTGACAGACAGATCCTGGGCTCTCACAGCAGGATTAATAATTAGCAAGCCTTAGGCCCTCCACTGGTGTATAGGACTGCAGGGCTGTATCTGTCACACACACACACACACACACACACACACACACACACACAGTGGCATACAGACAGTGGTCTACCGGGCAGGTAGCACAGTTGCTTGGTGACGGCGCATGCAGCAAACAGGGACAGTGGAGAGGAGTCAGTCTGAAAAGAGCCGACTTGTTCACCTGTCATAGAAGAGACGCACCCATCAACACTTCTCTTATAAAATGGCCGAAGAGGTGGGAGGTTGGTGTGTGTTGTTTCTTTCCCCCGTGTCTACAGCGAAACTTCCATTGGCAGAAAGGATGCATGGATGTCAAATCTTGCCTCAGGGAACTTCTGTTGACAGCTTTGGACCGTACTCCAGACGTTTCTTTATAAAAGCGTTAACATGGCTGACTGACTTTTTGATGATTTATTATCTGCATCATTTTAGATACTATAAATGACTTTCTGCATTAGCTGGTGATCATTGATAACTCTTAACCTGTTTTTGTTTTGTTCAGTCGAAGCTGTGTGTAGGACTGCGGGGAATTTTCGATGTCTCCCTTTCACCCAAGATAAAGATGTAAGTTTTTCAAATGCTACTTTCCTTTGTCCAAAAGCTCATTCTTTCTAAGTCGACGTCTTCATTTTCACATCCAGTTATGTCGATTTAATTTTTTCTTCTCCAGCACATCTTTCATGTTTTTTTTGTTTTATGTAACACACACTGTAACATGAGTCTACTGTGTGTCAATCTGCAGATGTATTCTCCGCAGGGGGGGCCACTGTCTGCGTGTGTGTGTGTGTGTGTGTGTGTGTGTGTGTGTGTGTGTGTGTGTGTGTGCGTGCATCAGACTTTTTAACAACTGATATTTGTTTGAACAATATGAGGGGATTACTTGCAGGGGGGAAAAAAAGTGTTCCTGCCAACAACAAAAAAATGGAATCAAATTTCCAGAAAGCGAAAATCATTCATCACTCAAATTCCTCCAATTTTTTGTTTTCTTTCTCCTACTTTCTTCCTGTGGTTTATTTAGAGTTGCATCATGCAAGTGGACTTCACAAAACCAGAGGGAGGAGGCCTCGGCTTTGCTTTGGTTGGGGGAACTAATGGCAGCATGCTCAGAGTGAAGGATATCTGCTCTGGTGGAGTAGCTGAGCAGGACGGTCGACTGAGAGTTGGAGATATTCTATTAGAGGTACCGTACATCTCTGTTTTAATTATCCCTGTAGTGGGAAAAAAAAAAGGCCTGATTATTGTCACTGTGTGTTTTCAGGTGAACGGCGTGATCGTGTCCGGTCTGAGCCACAGTAAAGTGGTGGACATCCTGCGTAAAGCGGAGGGCTCTGTTCAGCTCACCATCTGCAGAGACATCCTGCCCCTGACCTACTCTGAGTCACCCACACCGCCCAACATGTCCGCTCACACTGAAGCTATTCTAGCCGAGCAGCCGGCTCCTGTGTCCAGCCCTGATACCTGCTCCTCTCCTGACGTCGTGCTGAAAAAGCCAGTCGAGCGCCCTCCAGGTAGGATGTCTGACAACTGTCTATTCTTTCAACGCAGGTTTTAGAAGGATCAAAGTGCAGAAATAAAACGCTCTACTCTCAAGTGTGAATGACATCTGAAAAATTAGATTTTAGACTTCACAGAGACTTGCCACGTCTGTAACTGTGCTTAAATTATGAGGACTCTGACTAGCTGATTATCTTTACTTAAAGGTGATAGACATACAAAACCACACAAGACCATCAGAGAAAACACAGATTATTTCTACAATGTTACTGCCACTAGGATTCAACCGATGCAATTAACACTGGTTTTTGTTTACACATTCCCCAGAAAGGAGTGGAAGTCAGATAAGACATTTTTTTTTAGAGAACATTACGAAGGCATGTACAGGAAAGCATCAGCAAAGAGATTAAATGTTCTGTTTCATGCACAAAGGCCCCGAAAATGGACCCGAAATGAGAATTCCTCAACCTTTGTAAGATTTGAATCGCAAATAAACTTACTTTGGAATAAAAATGAAAGGTTTTGATCGGGTAAAATCACCAATTACAATCAAATTTCATGCAAATCTGTGCACTCATACTTGTGTTCTAAGTCTTAACATTAAACTTGTTTAAAACACATTTTATAAATACAAATGATGCTGCTTTTATATGCAGCGTATAAAGGAGAAGTTACAGCTTGACTTGCAATCGTTTTCAAGACCAATGAGTTGCCTTAGAGCGCTTTAAAGCAACACTAACTCAAATGTATTGTGTCCTTATATCATTGTTTCAGAGATAACATCAGATCCTGTGCTCGCTGAAGCTGGTGTGGTGCTAACCTCACCCCCGCCGCCACCTCGACGGCTGACTATAGTCACAGACGAGGCTGCAGTTAAACAGGTAACATGCGCTTTAAAAGCATGACATTCTGTGTTATAAATATGATTTTAACCTTTATTTAATTAATTAAGTAACACCCCTTAACTCTTTACTAACATCTACTATTAACACCTTACTCCCTCCTGTCTGCTGCCTCCTCTGGCTGGAACAGGAGAGCTGTGAAAGCACGCCTTCTCATCAAGCTTGCTGCCCGTCCCTCAATGTCACTGACATGTTGCATGGAGCTTCTGACAGGTAGAAACTTCCCAAACTTCTCCTCTCATGTCGCCTCTACTTATTCCTTCTCCTGTACCACCTTAGTCCTCCTCCTCCTCATCCTCCTCCTGCTTCCTCTGTTTGGTCTACTGGTGTTCCATTCTTAACCACAAGGAGGCAGCAGAGAGCAATAAATAAATAAACGCTGCTGCATAGTGCTGAGGACCTCAAATGAGACAGCTAGGAAGCCTCTAGTACCATTGCCTGTAGCCTCACAGCATTAGGTATGGCAGACGTATACAGATATTTTAGCTTCTTGTCTATACTGTATTTTAGGTGGAAAAGTCGCAGGGAAAGGAAGCTCAGCCTTGCATGATTTCATCCCCTCCTACCGAAGAGTAAAATGGTCTGGTCTCACCCCTGCCCCCCTGACTCCCCCAGGAAACAAATTGTGACCAAACTTTTGGACCAGTCCTGCAAAGACATCCGGAAAACTCAGTCAGATGGCTGGAGCAGCGAAGAAGAAGAAGAAGAAGAAGATGATGTGTTTGAAGCCACCAGTCTCGAAACAGCCTCACCACAAACAGGTGTCCGCTCGTTTTCCTCTTATGTTGATGCGTCTGTTTTTTTTTTTTTTTTGCTGTTTTAAAAGTATCACTTGTCCCTTGTCTCTTTTCCGCTTCTGTTTTCCTCAGGCCCACCCATAGTTTCAGAGGAGGAACTGGCAAGTTTAGCCGTAATTAGTCCCTCTAAGACCAGCCAGTACTCCGGTTCCAGGGTTAAAGCTCTCATCCAGATTCTGCAGCATCAACTGGACCAGCAGGAACTGGTCAAAGAATTCATGGTGTGTATCAGTGTCATTAAGTGTTGTGTAAAATACACAGGACAAAAGGTCAACTAAAACTGACTAGATATGACATTAAACCAGTACCCCCATTGATCCTGATTAACCGCACGGCTTTGATTCAGTCTCAAAGCTGCAAGTTTGATGCAGAAGGAAATCACAGGTGTGCTGATATTCAGTACAGCCGTTTTAACCTCGAGCATGATGATGATTAGATTTTTTATAACTGTTCTACGGTTTGCAGATAAACAGTTAAAATCATCAACGGATTGTTTTAATTGTATTTATTTAATTAACCTTTCACTTTCGCTCCAGCAACAAAACACGTTCTACAACTTGACCGAAACTGGACTGTTGCCCGGCCTCACATAAATATTTTTTGCGCAGTTGATACATTTGAATGCCCACACGTTACATTTAATTATTTAATTCAAGTATTTTTTTCAGAAACTATATCTATCTTTGGAATGCAAAGTATGACAGTTTGCTGCGACGGTTATGTAACATCAACGATTCAACATTCAGTACACCTGAGGCAGAGTGATACATTAAGGCTGTGACAGAAATCACATTCTCATTCTTTACTCCTGAACCAGAAAGTTCTCTGCAGAAGACCGTAAAGTGAGCTCAACGGTGCTGTAAAAACGCCGATAATGACATCATTGCTGTCGCACAATAAAACGGGCAGCTCAACGATTGCTGGGGATCGTGCTATGATTAAATAACGGCATGACTTTCTTTCTTTCTTTTTTATAGATGCAATTGTTTTTTATGCCTTTATTAGAGATACGGGACTGAGGGTGAAGTCAGAAATCAGAGAGAGAGAGTTGAACAACCAGTCGCCCTATGTTCAGGGCCTAACCAATCGCTAGACCAACCTCTTAACGGCATGAATTTAGGGACACATAATGTTATACTGATAATATTTTCACAAAATAAATAAAGTAGTATATTTTATTAATCAAACCATATTTTCATGCCACAATTAATTTACTCCTCGTGTGGTTAAAGACGCCCATCTGTTGATTTTCCTTTGCACCACAATGCATGATGGTTTATATTCCTCGGTAAATGACTATCAGTTGTACGGTAATTTCCACAATGCATTGTGGGAAACATTGACTCCACTCTATTGGGTATAATAATTCTCAGTCATAATAATAACAGTAATGCATAAGAATTATATAACGCTTTTCTGAATGCTCAAAGACACTGAGAACAGAGTTTGTTGGTGGTTGCAGGCGATGTAGGAGAGAGGAGTTTTTTTAAAGGTGGGGAGTGGGGGAGGGGGGGTCTGATGTTCTTTGGGAGAGTTCCTCATAATTATGACGGCTGTACAGGCGAATTCTCATTATAGTGTAGTTTATAGTGAGTAGTCATAAAGCACCAACACACATGCAAATAAGCACTTAAAGATACTTCATAATATTAAACGCTGCCGTTTTGCTCTGTTTTTTATGGACAGACACACAGCAGATCCAGCTGCAGTCTTCAAAGTCTAAACATTTCCTTTTTTGTTTTTCTGCCCTTGTTGCTCCTTTCAGGCTCTGGAGCATCTGAAGCCCACGGACAACTGTTTGGTGGGAAAAGCCCCAGAGAACAGAGATAAGAACCGCTACAGAGACATCCTCCCCTGTAAGTCTCTCACAGGAACTTCTGATCACTTTCACTTTCTCCATTTGTTCAAACTCCTGTGTAAATGTTATATTCCCCCCTATTGGAAAGTTTTTATTGGTGAGCTGAAGCCTGTTAAAGCTGGATACTCACAGACCCGGCGTTTATAGGAGTGCCTGTTTGTTAGCACTTTTCTTCGCCTCTCAGTTTAAGTTGACTTTGAGGTCTCTTCTGAAGGGGGTCGAGATATTTGTTTACAACACTGAAGTCATGTCTGCACAACAAATCATCCCCTACATTGGTACCAATGATTCACTGGTGGCCACACTGGTAATCTTCTTGGAGTCAGCCCAGTGTGTAATTACGAAGATGTCATTTGTTTCCAACCTTGTAATTATCTAGGATTTATATTTTTTAATAATTAAAGCGACTTCAGGAGAAAATTACAAGCTGTATAATTGGTTTGGATTTCAGGGTGTAAATGCAGACTCAGTTCAGTGTGTGTGTGTGTGTTCATGCACTCAGGGATGCTATGCTTTTGTTTACGATAACATTAATGATATTAAGATTGTACAGCATGTTGTTAGTGTATACCTTCAAGAAAACACACACAGTATGCAGTACATGCTTACTTAAGGTTATCAATCAATGAACGGTGACACTGCGGCCTCACACACGTGTCATCGACTGCCTTTTAGTTTCCTAAAGTTCAGCATTATGGTCATAGCTTTGTTAGTTCTCTCGAGCCAGAGTGACCTTAGTGGGACAAGAAGGTGGTGCAGGAGAATGGGTTGGCAAATGCGTTGTTATCACTATCATTGTTAGTTTCTTAAAGTAGAAATTACAGAAGCTAACTTGGTAATGTGTGTCAGATAGATAGCAGCTCAACACCAGTCACTCAAATTACCTGATAATTTAAATAAACATTCACTCTTGTGCAGTTGAATGAATCAGATTAGCTACAGAACAGAAAAAAACTTTGTTTTTAAAAGGCTATAAACATGTTTAACTCTGCTGTCAAAGTTTGGAATTTTAATATGGGGCTAATTAGGGACTGATAAGCAATCCGGTAAAAGTTTTTTCCTGCGAGTCTATACTGAAGTGCCAAAATACTGCAGTTCCTCAAGTGCCCACTAGAGGCCGGCATCAAAAGCCGAGGAAGCCCCATCAACACCCATGTTAAAATGCTAATTTTGACAGCAGAAATAAACATGTTTACCTCGTGGTTAAAAAAAGAATTTGGTATCTATAGCTCATGTCTTTATTGGCACACACTGTACAAAGGGGGATTTTTTTTATTTATTTATTTTTACAACTAATCAATTTTTGATTGTATCAAGTCTGAGAATAATTCTTATTCAAGGACGGGGTTGATCTGACTGACAGGTGGGTGTGTTGTAGCTGTTTGCCATTAGCTAAAAGCCCGCCTCAGCTCCACGTCTTTGCCCGTAACCAGGGTGACTGAAAGAGAATTTGAGTCAGCATTTCTAATATGGCCACCGCCATCATTGGGCTTCAAAAGTCAACTTCAGAAACCAGCTGGTGACATCACTAAGACATTGTCCAAGTATCTTGGATTAACACACATTTGGAGCCAGCCTCAAGTGGCCACATGAGAAACTGCAGTTTTTTGCACTTCTCTATTTGCATAATTTCTCAGCCACTTCAGGTTAATGACTGGTATGCAACACTTTTGGATTCAATGCTTGAAATGTGGTTAACCCTGGTGATATTGAATAAAGTAACACCTGATTATAATGTTAACCTGTCACACACACACACACACACACACACACATACACATTAACACTTAGCAATTACTTCTTCAGCCCTCAGAGTGGCTCGAGGGTGTTAAAAAGATCCTAAATGGAAAATCACTGCACCTCACCAAATGCCTGCTCATGTTTAGCCTGTAGCACAATTTGTTTGTGCATTAAGTCCAGAAAAAGGGGGCATGTTGTGTGCTGCCACGATCCTTTGCTTTAAGCCTTTAACTATTTTATTTAGAAAGTCTGATTTCCAGTCTGTGGCTTTTTGACCTCACAAGCGGGAGGTGTGGAACTAACCCAGAACACATTCCTTACTTTCCTCCATCTATCACCTCTCTCATCACCAACAAACTTCCTCACAGCGAGGGTTTGTTGAGCCCGACTCCAGACCCTAGAGCTGTTTACTCGGCTTTATTTACTGCAAGATTGCGTGCCATTTGAAAAACAACAAGGCGTGCAGTGTTTCTTGTTTATGATCAAGAAATGATTTGGCTTATCAATCATCAAGAAAAACACTGGAAATGTCCGTCAGTCTGTTGGAGGCAGAATGCTGTCTTTCTTCTTTTTTTTTTCAGCTTCAATTAATTTATTGTTAAACTCATGCAGTGGTGAATGCTCACACTCAGATTTACTCATGCAGAGAGTTCAGGGTGATTTTCCCTTCACTCTTTCCCCCCATAGATGACAAAACTCGTGTTGCCATTGGAGACAACCAGGACTATATAAACGCCAGCTTCATCCGCTTGCAAGTTGGCGATGAAGAGTTCTTCTACATCTCCTGCCAGGGCCCTCTGCCCTCCACGGTGCCGGCCTTCTGGCAGATGATCTGGGAAAACAAATCTGACGTGATCGCCATGATGACCCAGGAAGTAGAGCGGGGAAGGATTAAATGTCACAAGTACTGGCCACAGAAGCTGGGCGTGCCTCTGGATACGGGCAGGTACCAAATTCACCTGGAGAACCAGCAGCACCTGGACTACTTCCACATCAAGGTCATCCGCATGGTGGAGACAGAGGTAAGAGATATCATTTATGTTTATTGGGATAAATTTAACTCCAATGGTGATTGTAACCTTCGGGTTTAAATGTCTTATTCCAGTCCGGTCAGACCCATTTTGTCCGTCACCTGAAGTTCACACACTGGCCTGACCACGGCGTGCCACAAAGCTCCGAGCAACTGGTTCGCTTCATCCGCTACCTGAGAGCGGTGCATCACGAAGGACCGGCCACCGTGCACTGCAGCGCCGGCATCGGACGCGCAGGAGTTCTTATCTGCACTGATGTTCTTCTCAGCCTCATTGAGAACGATTTGCCTGTGAGTGGAAGTCATTTTCAGATCTGTTCCTTTGTCTCTAAATATAATAACACAGCAATGAGTCGATTACATTAATAGTTTCTGTATTTATAAAGCAGTTTTTCTCAACAACAAAGTGCCCACATATATATATGTATATATATGTATCAGAGGGCAAAGCAGTAGACCTGGTCTAAGTGAGAAATGCAATGACTGCAAGGGTTTTCCAACAATTTCAAAGAAGAATGTAAAAACATTATAGTGAGTAATTCAAGTGTACAAAAATTATTTCATTTAAAACCAAATTAAAGAATTAAAGAATTAAAAATATGGAAGCATTGGATTTATAATTTAAACTTGTGTACAAATGTTTTGATGAGCTCTTTTAAGTTGGCCAAGACATTTTATGCAGATATTCATGTTCTGCAGGAGATGATGTGTTTTACCCTCTGACTGTTTCTGCAGCAACACTGACAAGTTGATAACTTTTCTTTGAGTGAAATGTCTCAACAACTCTTAAATAAATAGTATTTAAAGACATTGACTTACCTGTCAGGATGAATTGTAATAGCTTTTATCCCTTTGTGTTATTTACATTTTATGACCAAATACTTTTTGTATATAAAAATATTTTTGTGTAAAGTACTTATTACGGAAATTATTAGCATGCTAACAAACTAAGTAAGGATGGTAACCAAGCCTACTAAATGTCTGGGCCTGGTTGTTCAAAAGGTTTATTCCGGTTAAGAATTATCCAAAATTTGGTAAACACCTTTTTTCTACCAAGGATCAAGTAATCCAGCTCACATAATCCTGGTTTTAAAAGAAAAACTGGACAGGATAAATTTGGTCCAGGACTTTATAAGGAAAACCAAATCTGGATTGCCTGTGCTTTAAAGGGGACGTCACACGACATAACACAAAGATCCTTACAGCTGTTTCAATTACATGATTAATGTTCAATATTTTTGCAATTGGGTGAACTAGTTTCTTAAAATTTGATTGAAAATCTTGAATCCTGTTGGATAACACTGAACAACCAGGCCCTGCTCTCCTTGCTCTCGTTGGCATTAAGGAGATTGATGGCTGTCAAATCTAAGTTTTGTGTTTTTGTTATGGACATAATGAATGACTTATGGCTCACACACATCCTATAGCTGTGTCTAACAACCTTCTGTCTCCTTCTTTAGATTGATGTGACTGAAATCGTAAAAGAGATGAGGCTTCAGCGTCATGGGATGATTCAAACCAAGGTCAGTGCCAACGCAAGGGTTAAGTGTTCAAAGTTCAAGCTTTATAAGAAGAGACACTTCTGAAAAGTCATGCATGCCCTTTGTCCCTCTCGTTGCAGGAACAGTATCTCTTCTGCTACAAAGTCTGGTTGGAGGTTTTACAGGGCATTTTACAGCTTCACGGCAACCAATGGCAACCGGAAAGTCCCAGAGACCACAAAGTCGTCTGAATGTTTCCACCTCCACTTCAGCGAGCTGTAAAGCACTGACTGACTTTTAGAAACCACGTGCAGGCTATCACAGCACAGACCGGAGATCTCTTTTTCTTTGGCTGTAGTTTAGTTTAATTAGCTTTTATGAAACCTGTACTTCCTCTCCGTTTTGATACTTTGTGTTGAGCCCTTTTGTTATTGACTTCTACTCTTTTTTTTTTTTTTTTTTGTTCTGTATGTGCTCTCGGTGCTGTGATGATGTCTGTTTAATTTAGATCACTGAGGTTGTTTTGCCTTTTCAGGCTTAGTGATTTGCCTTCTGTCTCTTAGCAACTTTTTTTTTTTCAAATGTGTGTGTCACTTTTTGAATGTTTCTCATTTACTTTCTCCCCATTTCCTCATTTTTTTTTTTGCAAGTTGCATTCTTTTCTTTTTTATTCAAACTGCATGGAATTCAAAAATCTGGTAATATTCACATCTTTTATCTGGCAGTCATTTCCATGAATGTCATCAAAATGCACAAGTGTACAGTACGCTCATCTCACCAGAAGGAGAATCTGTTTGTAACCTTGATGAGTAGCGTTTGATTAAGCATTATCATTTCATTAAGTGCATTTGTACCCTGGAGAAAAGGGCATTAGCAAAAGAACAGTATTGATTTTTCAGTTCATCATCTAAGGGAATGAAAAGAATCAAGTGCCTTGGAATGACTCACACCGTTTGCTCTGCATCGACCCCGAGCCGCTTGTCACAGGCGGTCGGGGACGAGGGGCAAGAATCTGATTTGAGAGCTTGTTTGTTGTTTGAGGTGAATGGGAGGAGCATCAGGAGGAGGAGGAGGAGGAGGAGGAGGAGGAGGAGGATTACATCCCACATCTCACCTTTAAGTTAGTTACACTGTAACCAAGAAACAATGTGAAGTTTGCACACCGCCTGGCAAGCTTTTTTGTTTTTGTTTGTTTGTGGGCCCATTTTATACAACTCACAATGAACGTCTTACTACACACAATCACAACTTGCACACCCTAATACAGATAAAGAATGATTTAACATAACAAACGTTTGGATGAATTCATAAATTTTCAATTCACTCTTTTGCAAAAAAAACATTTCGATCAATGTTAACGCTGAATACTATTTTCTAAAATGTACAAAAAAAAAGTGATTTAAATGTCATTTAAATAATTAGTTTTAGGTGTCATTTGTTATATAAAAGCATCCTTTATCTGTATTCCACAGCTATTTTAATACAAACTCAGCCAAAAATGCAAAAAATATGACGAGGTTTACAGACTTTCCATTTTGCCACTTCAGATGTACAAAGCAACGAGCTGCATCTCAAAGTCACAGATGATTTATAGCTGCTGGTTTTAACCTCAACCTTTGGATGTAGCTGCTTGTGAGCTTTGTTCTTTTAGCCGCTATCACACACACACACACAAACACACACCAGCTCTCATATTGCATGCAGACTCTTAAAGTACAGACGTCTGAGCCTGGAGTTTGACTGAATGACTTGAACATGATCAAAAATGTGGAATGTAACAAAGCAATACCCTTCAAGGGGGGGGGGGGAGTTAAGAACGTCAACCTCTTACCCACTAACATCTTCAAAACAGTTTGGAGCATGTTGGTTAAGACATATGCAGTACTTTACCTTTGCCATGTGGATGGCGGTGCAGAGCCGTCAGCCTCTGCGCTGTGTATGCGACATCCTTTCATTCAGAGCTGCTTGGTTGGTTTTCCAGCGACGGGTTATGTGCAAGTTCATGTTCTCCTTGAGATCCTGTTGATATGTTTTCTCCCTCAGAACTTGAAAAAAAAAAAGAAAAAGATGATTATTGAAAGAACAAACGAGCACATTTTGCATTCATCTGTGAAAAGGCATACTGTACAGTCAAGCAAGTGCTTATGCAACAAAAACAGCATTGTGAAATGTAATAACCCCTTAATTGCACAACTGCTTATTTATGCTAAATTAATGTACAAGCCACTATGTAACCAATAACTGAGAACAATATAATACCTCTCTCTTTAATTAAAAACTCTTCTGAAACTTGTTTGTGTGTTTTTTAGCACGTTTCACACCCCCCACCCATTCTGAACGCAACATAACTCAAGTTGAACAACGGAACAAGAGCAGCAGAGAGGGTTTTCCCTGACGGCACACACAGAACAGAGAGCCGGAGGCGGCCCTAAATCTAATTCCACTGAGCCCCCTCTCCACTTTTACTGCAGGGTATACTCCCTCTCGGGTTTTACTGCAGGGTAAATAAGCTGGTCTCACAGGGGTCTTTGTGACAGCATGGAAACCCCTGGAAGCACACTGCACGCCCCACACACACACACACACATATAAACCTGACGCTGAGGGAACGCCATGGAGCAGATTTACTCCCTCACTTTCTCTCTCTACTACTTCCCTGTGTACTCCCACTGCCCTGTCACACACCTCCAGTCGCCCACCCTCCTCTCTCCTCTTACTCCCTCGCTCAGACCTTGTTATTGCTGTTAGTTATGGCAGGAACGACAGCGACTGGGTTATTCAAGGCCCATTCGTATTTATGGTTGTATCATTTTATACAGTTGTGCTTTGGATTTTTAACCACAAGGCCCTAAGGAATTACTGGCCTGGTTCACTGACTCAAAGATGATAGTGAAATGATAGTCTGGAGGTGGAAAATCTGCCAAATAAGTCGATATTGGCTGCATTAGAAGAATATAAGGAAATGTAAAGGCAACATTTTGAATATTCATTCCCTCCCTGTGGATTTGTTGTTCTCAGCTCTGTGTTCACTTGGACTGGACGGCGCTTTCTTCAGCTTGATCAAGCTTAGCTCAGAGCTCAAACATGATTTATAAGTTTGTTTCTCCACAAGTGAACCCGCCCTCTCCAATCATTAGCCCCTCCACTAGTGGGCGATAGAAATGACCACGGCCAAACGGGGAAACTATGTTTAGGGTGTCGTCACGGGAAAGCTTTTTATGGCCTAAAAACACAAACATAAAACAACTAAATCAACTTTTGAGATTCATATCATTACTTGAAATGGATGGCAGAATCTTTTTTTTCCAGATGTTTATTAGCCCTCATCCTCTGCCATCTCTGCCTTACATAACCTGCTGGTGAAACAGGACCGGAGGGGCGGAGGGGAGTGTGGAGACTGGGGGGAGGGGGAGCTGAGGATGGAGGCGATGTGTCTGAGAGCATTGTTTTTTTTTACCTTAAAATATGCTATGAAAGTTGCCTAGTAAGCTTTTAAAGGTGGGAAATCCTTAGTTATGTTACAATCCGTGGTTGTGTTACAATTGAGCAACCAGGAAGAACGGTCTCTCAGAGATAGATAAGGGTGTAAAAAAAAAAGTGCACGTATGCCCTCAGTAATTCCACTTGGTTTTTGCTGGTCTCACAGTCGAACACAAGCCGTTTGTTTTTATCTCTGCGTCTTGGATAAGAATCGCAGACAAACGATTTGCTACCACAAACTCTCTCCCCACACAGAATCACACACACACACACACACTGCTTCCTGTCCCCTCCTGTCAAATATGACCTTGAATTTCTTACAGGCTTCGGCTAGTCTCTGTAAGACTTTGATAATTATGTGGAACCTTTGCCTCTCCCTCTCTGTTACTGATGATTTAATTGCCTTTTAATTAGTTTAAATGCCTCATTGAAGATACAGCCACAATAACAAAGAATGAAATCTTTTTTCCACAGATTGCAAACAATGCAGAAACATTTGATTTAACAGGAAATGCTAAATACTCTCGTGCATTACTTCATCCACATTTTATTGTATTGCAGACTTTAGATCTTGACTTAAATATGAGGGAAAGTTAGAATGTAGTAAGAATGATTTGAATTATTTGGTTGAAGTGTTTTTCTTTTGTTTTGAAGAGGTCAAGTAGGATCGTCCCACTGCAAAACGACTGAGAGTTATTACCCCACCTGAGAGTTATTACCCCACAGGACTCTTAGAAAATGGACTCCGTCATAGACCATTTAAACTGACTCAGAAAACACACAGATGACAAAAATGTTGATTATAATCCCTCTGAAGCAGATGTTTGAGATTTCTGTACTGAAGCATTTCAGTGTGGTTGCCAGATCTCACTTTTCCTGGATGAAATTGTGTTTGAATTTTGTCTGTGGACGTAGTGATGTTGAGTGTTAATGGACGCTGGAAGGAAGAGGGGATGTTGACCTACCTGTGTGCTACATGGGGGAAAGTCATCAAATACCCGAATGTCATCGACACAGTGAAGGAGCCTGAAAAACGTATTTTAGTTTCCCCATGTTGCATAAGCCTGTTGTGTAACACTCTGGATTCTTGTGTTCAAGGAACTTCACGGTCTCTATATTCCAATTGTGGGATTTGATTGTGTTTCAAGCCGAAAAATAAATGAGTATTAATGTGTTTTTCTGCGTTGTTATTGACCATGGCCTTTGTAAGGCGACCCCATAGGCTCCTCTATGATGACAGCTCGCTGACAGAGACACAGAGAGCCATTCATCCCCTCTCTGAGCAGAATGACACTTTTGTGGCTTTCCAGCCTTTCAAAAACCACAGACATGTCAAAGGAACCGATTATGATTAGGGTCTCCTCTTGCATGTTCACTTGTAATTATCTTAAGTTGGTTTTGTAGAGGGTTAGCTCGACTCCCTATTGGGTTTTCTTGGGTGAGTAGCAATTGGAGTCTAGAATTACATCCAGTGGTGATTTGTGAAAGGGTTTTAATCTTCTGAGACTACTTTTGGTTTTGAGTTTGAGTCATTTCCTAGTCTGTGTTATTATGTCTGCAAAAATCTGAAAATATATATATGAAAGACTGTATACCAATATTAGAGCTCAGTTTGTCATCATTATATTCCAGAAATACATGTCCAGAAATACATGTCTGTCTCAACCCGAGGCTCTCGAGCCACATGGCTCATTTGGGACTAGTTGTGGCTCTTTTAGGTCTACTTGGAAAAAAAAAAAATTCAAAGTAATTATTTTGAAAAAAGGGAAACATTGTCAGCAGAAATTATTATTTGCAAGTCATGTCACTGTTTCCCACATATTTTAGGAAAGAGAGAGGTTTTTTGATTGTGGCTCTTGCGGAAATATTTTTTAAGTCGAACAAGGCTGAGTACCACTGTACCAAAGAGTTGAAACATTTAATTGTAAGAAAGGCCTGTCCAGGCAGCAGCAGATAAGTATTTCTAAAACTACAACTCGACTAAGAAACTCTTACATATGGAGCTTTGATGTCACAAATTCATTTTCTTATGATCTAATAAAAGTTAATGCTGGGGCAAAAACAACAAATAACCTTCAAGAGTCTGTACCAAGAGATCCCTCACTGCTTTGTGAACTGGTGTTTTTCAGTCTTCGTCATCTTTGTTGTCTAAAAGC